CGTTTTTAAATTACTTTATAAATGCCTTATTTTATATTGAGACAACTCTAAAAGTTTAGTTAGAGAGTGCTTTTCTTAATTTTACATGCATTTATTTCAAAGAGAAAATACGTTTGAACAATTTGTACAGGGCTACCATCCAAAACCTCGTTTTTAGAACCACTTACCACCGCCCTCTATACCCCTGATGGATGATTGGAACTAATAATATATTATGAATGCTTCAACAACAATGATATACTTCGTATTTCGACCTTCATAGTACGTCCAGTTCTACTTCAATATATAGCCAGGGAGCTTCCAAAAACATGAAATATTCATATTTCGTCTAGTTCTACTCCAATATATAGCCAGGGAGCTTCCATAAACATGAAATATTCATATTTCGTCCAGTTCTACTTCAATATATAGCCAGGGAGCTTCCATAAGCATGAAATATTCATATTTCGTCTAGTTCTACTTCAATATATAGCCAGGGAGCTTCCATAAATATGAAATATTCATATTTTATCCAGTTCTACTACAATATATAGCCAGGGAGCTTCCATGAACATGAAATATTCATATTTCATCTAGTTCTACTTCAATATATAGCCAGGGTGCTTCCACAAACATGAAATATTCATATTTCATCCAGTTCTACTACAATATATAGCCAGGGAGCTTCCATGAACATGAAATATTCATATTTCGTTTAGTTCTACTTCAATATTTAGCCAGGGAGCTTCCATAAACATGAAATATTCATATTTCGTTTAGTTCTACTTCACTACATAGCCAGGGAGCTTCCATAAACATAAAATATTCATATTTCGTCTAGTTCTACTTCAATATATAGCCAGGTAGCTTCCAAAAACATGAAATATTCATATTTCGTTTAGTTCTACTTCAATATTTAGCCAGGGAGCTTCCATAAACATGAAATATTCATGTTTCGTTCAGTTCTACTTCGATATTTAGCCAGGGAGCTTCCAAAAACATTAAATATTCATATTTTATCTAATTCTACTCCAATATACAGCCAGGGAGCTTCCATAAACATGAAATATTTATATTTTATATAGTATATAAAGCCAGGGAGATTTCATAAACATGAAATATTAATATTTTGTCTAGTTCTAACTTCAATATATAGCCAGAGAAGAGCTTCTATAAATATGAAATATTTATATTTCGTCTAATTCTACTTCAATATAAAGTCATGGTGCTTCCATAAACATTAACTCTTTATATTTCGTCTAGTTATACTTCAATATATAGCCAGGGAGCTTCCATAAACATGAACTTTTCAAATTTCGTCTGTTTCTGCTTCAATATATATTGAGGGAGCTTCCATAAACATGAACTATTCATATTTTGTCTGTTTCTACTTCAATATTTAGCCAGAGAGCTTCTCAAGCATGTTTATATGAAAATAAAATATTCTTAAACAAATTCAGGAAACTTCAAATAGATAAATCTTTAAACAAATATATCGACAGAAATATATAGAGATAGATAGGTATAGATAAATAGATAAAAGTTGAATAGATAGATAGAAAACGATGGAGATAGATAGTTAGATAGATATATAGATTGATAGATTGGTAGATAGATAGATAGATAGATAGATAGATAGATAGATAGATAGATAGATAGATAGATAGATAGATAGATAGATAGATAATATAGATAGATACATAGATAGATATATTATATAGATAGATAGATAGATAGATAGATAGATATATAGATAGATAGATAGATCACATTTCCTCATCTAAACTCTAAGGACAAAATAATAGCAGGGGGTGGAAAACAGCCCCTCCCCCATCTATATTAGACAAAAATAGCCCAATCGGTATAGGGTTTATTTAGGTCTCAGTAACTACAGATTTTTTAGTAAATGTAGCGTTTGTAGTGTTTGTACTCCATAATAAGGCATTTGATATTTTGATATTTCTGCGTTTTGTTCATCGACTCTTCAAAGGTCCATTTAAAAAAAGTGTAAGCATTATTTTCAGTAATAAAATTTCCCGATCTAATAATAAACGAATCTAATTTTCGCGGATTTGGGATAATTTGTTGGTCGGTTTATTTGCCTTCACTTTGTTATATTTCCTAAAAATGATACTGATTAAAGGGAGTGACCGGCTATGTAAGGTAGTTGAACTGAGTATGCAGTGTTGTCGACAAAATCTTTCGGATTCATTTGAGACATATTTCACTTTTTAAAGACCTCTAAATCCTGAGTTTGAGCGCAAAGCCGACGTTCAAAACTCGTACTTTGGGGGTTGATACGCTTTCAGAATGATTTTTTTAAAATTATTAATTAACAACATAAAATGTAAAAAAGTTTTACAATAAAAATACAGACGTCATGTATAGAAACATGTTGAGAAAAAAAATAGGAGCAATTACGTTTTAATTTACCGTCATTTCTTAAAAGTTTGTTTTTATGAATCCTGAATTTGAAAATACATGTATATGAAGACGACAATATTCTCAATCAATTAATCATGTTTAAAATAATTTTTTCAAATGAAAGAAATTCCTTTTAATTCAAAGTATAATTTTTATATAATTACCTAACACAGAAATCATTTCTGCATACATATATTTATTTAATATTTATAGGTTCGCGGAATCTGAAACGTTTTTATGTAGAATCTTAGACGGTTTATTTGCCTTCACTTTGTTATGTTTCCTAAAAATGATTCTGATTAAGCCAAATGTTTGAAACACACAATGTCAAAGAATTGCATATAAAAATGTGCACAGCAAAATTGCAATCTATTTTTATCGAAAATTGCACTTATTGCACCTCAGCAGTTGCATACTATTTGAGACCTATATAGAGCTATCTAGATTTTAGATTCCCAGGGGGGCGTAGTTTAAAAAGTCCAGATAAGCATTGTGTAGAACAAGATAGAGAACAAGAATTATCTTTCAAAAGATTATTCTTGCATGTTTTTTTTGCTGTAAACAGAGTTTTTAGTATTTCAAATACCTACGCAGAATGATATTAATAGTTAAAAAACGTTTGTGCAAAAAAACTGAAAATTCTCTTCGCAATAATCTATAGCCTTTTAGTGGACTAACCGCAGCTGATAAATTTCTTCCTTTTTTAAATTTAATTTGGAAACTTTTTTTTAAATCTTGAAACTGACATACATAGCGTTGTGACATTTTATAGAAGGACATTTCATAGATAAAAAAATCATAGATAGGACATTTCATAGTATGACATTTCATAGATAGGACATTTCATAGACAGGATATTTCATAGATAAAGACATTTCATAGATAGGACATTTAATAGTAAGACCATTCATAGATAGGAAGTTTCATAGCTAACAAAATCATAGATAAGACATTTCATAAATAGTACTTTTCATAGTTAAGAAATTTCATAGACAGAAAAGAATATTTAAAGACAGAGGAGATTTTTCATAGACAGAAAATATTTTTCATAGACATAGGAGATTTTTTTGACAAATGATGTTTCTTTCTTTTTTTACAAATTATATTTAAAATTTTTTAAATATTTCATTTTTTCTTCAAAATCAATTTTTTAAAATTCTATTTTTTTATTTAACAGGCAACGTGGGTAAACGGCGGAAGTAACTATGAGGAACTTAAAACTTAAAGCTTTTAAATAGACAGTAGATGAAATAAGTTCTTAAAAAATTTCGTAGATAAAATCTTCTCTGTCTATGAAATGTCTTATCTATAAAATGTCCTATCCATGAAATTTTCTATCTATAAAATGTTCTATCTATGAAATGTCTTTCTATGAAATGTCACAACGCCAAAATACATATAACAATTACAATGCTACAGGTCAAACATGTGGAACTATTTATTATTTACATATATATGTACGATAGCAATTTTGTGGAGATTACTTAGCTTACACTGTTTTGGGCATTATGTCATCTAAATTTATAAAAAAACAAATGTTTACAAGCTAGATGTTGAATATTACAAGGATTTGAAAGTTTACAATAATTTGAATATTACTAGTTACCAAGGTGCCAAATAAAAGCGTAAATTAATTTTCAGTTTTTAAGTTTGGGATGTACATGCATTTAACAGCTGCAGGGGATCATGAATATTATATAGGAAACATTATGTACAGTCTTCTCTGAAGGCTGATGTGTGTAACCCTATAAACTATGCAAGAAATGAATGCTTTAAATGTTATGATGTCAAAACAAGATCGACTACCAATCTTGACATAAGAAAAAGGTCAACGACTTTGCGACCTCATATCTCCTGTAGTTTTGATTTTATGCTCAATGAGAGTGGTGAGAGCAGTAAATGTATTTGGTTACATACTAGCAATTCAAAGCGTATTTTTTCTCTCAGGAGCTTTTTATTTAGATTGTTGTAATTAAAAGCATGTAAAATTGTAATAAACATGAAATTTAAACTTTAATTTGACGTAGAAATTATGTGTTCCGATTTGTTTCATCAGACAGGAACCTCAAACCAAAAATAAGAGTTATGCATGTTCAGACGCGTAATCAGGGGGTGGGGATGGGCATCTGCAGTAAAATCTATGGTTACCAGGGTGTTTTGTTTTTAGGCACCAACAGTTGCTGAGCCCCCCCCCCCCCGGGCAAATTCCTTGTGCAGTCTATATCAGAATAAATACAGGCAATTGTTAAATATGTCATTCAAAACATTGCAAGCAAAGTTTAGTGAGACTTTGATACATTTACTGAAAATAAATAGTCAAACGAAAGAGCATCAGATAAAAAATTCTTACAAATATACTTTCTACAAATGCATTTGTATGTTAACAATTTCAAAATTAACAGCTTTTGCCTTTTGTTAACAGATTTTGTCTTAAATTTTTAAAACTTGACGTTAGTTTTTTCCTTTACAGAAAAATTATAATAATGCAAAAGCGTACAGATAAACATTTTTTCCTCTTCAGAAAAATTATGATAATGCAATTGCAAAAGCATACAGATGAACGTTTCTTTTCTCTTCTGAAAAATTATGATAATGTATGTATTTGCAACAGATTTATTTTTTGTTCCGAAAATCTTAATTTTACAGGGTCTAGCATTCAGGTTCACTCTGTAGATACTTAGAGCAGAGGACACCCTTTAAATCATTCAATGCATTATGATGATCATCTGCGTTGTAGACACCATTAAATGTTATCCAAGGCACAGATGTCAGAGCAGGTACAAGGCTATGCGTTTCTACTCCCAGTACCCTCAGCAGTGCTGGTCCTTCTGTTCCTCTAATACAGTCCATGAGAGCGTCAACTGAAGTAGGACTTGCCAACTCTTCAATACACTGACCACCCGCTACTGGTGGATAAGCAGCTTTCATCATACAATAAACCACAGGGTTAATATCAGTTTGAGCAGGGAGAAGGTTGAGCAGACAAGCTTGAGCCATGTTTCCATAACACTCATCTTCGCCATGCTGGCAAGTGAACTCTATAGCATCATCTGTTTCAGTCCAGTTGGCCTTACCAAACGGTTTATGAAGAACATTGAGCTTGGCACCGAAGAGTGTCCAAGCAGGGTAAAGTTGGTGAACAACAGTTGCAATACTAGCAGGACACAGGCTCTCATAGTATATTGTTAAGTTGACATCTGCAGTGGCAGTTGTTATACCCATAAACAGGGTTATGGCCAGCGCATAGGATTGCATTCTTTACAGCTATAGGATTGTTTTTAACTGAAAAATAATCAATTGTTATCTCTAATAACTATTCAGAAAATTTAGATAAGAATTTGTTGCATTTAGTCATACATTAGTTGGACATGAGTTATGCCCCCCCCCCCCATTTTCTCATATAACACAAAAGCTAGAATATTACGCAATGGTGTATTTTTCGACCTACACAAATCCACTGTACTCCACTTCTGACCTACGCCAAATCCACTATACTACACATCCGACCTACTGGCAGGTGATTTTACAGCTGCTATATGGACTTGTGGCCGCAGCGCCCGGCCCCCTAGCCTATCCTAGCCACGGCGCTCAGCCCCCTAGCCTGTCCTTGCCGCAGCACTCAGTCAAGAAATTGTCTTAACCTAACCTAACCCTCAAATAATTAAAAAATAAAGAGCTGGCGTAGGTCCGATATTGCAGTAGGTCGGAAAGTTAGTAGGTAAAAAGTTCAGTAGGTGGGATGTTGCGAATGACGATGCAACGTTACCTACGCATGTAAATTATGTGCAGCAAATCTTTGTATGCCTGCTGAATACAGATTTGGAGAAATTTGGTTCAATTTAGAATTATTTTTTTCTTTCAAAGTTTAAGTTAGAAAAATTGACAAAGTAGAACTTTTTTAAAGGAATTTTGGTAACAGACAAGCCCATCGAAAACACTGTTAATTCTTTTTTTAGAGCCGTGTTGAGCTTTGACCAAAATTAACCGGTCCATGATTAGTTTATGTAACTATGGGTTCCCTTAACTCTCATACGTTGTAAATGATTAAATTAAACTAGCTATATATATATACTTTGCTTGTCATATTTGGGTGTCTGTCGTTTGTATCCAATAAACGCTAAAATGACTGAGCCCAAATTTTTGTGTGACTTTACTTTATGAAAGATCAAAATTCTAAAAATAAAAAATAAATTGAAAAATTAAAAAATTTTAATTTAAAATAAAAAAATTTAAATTTATAATCAAAAATTAAAATTAAAAAAGTTTATGAAAGATCAAAATTAAAAAAATTTTAAAATAAGCCTTTAAACAAAATTCGATTTACATTAAATTTTGAAAACCCGTGTTTTTTTTTAAATCCTCGAATTTAATTTTTTACAATGTATACACTACAGAGAGAACTTTCACAATTGAAATAGAATATGGGCGCGAAGCGCCCTGAAAAGTATTTATATATTAAAAGTTCTTCGCGTTGAATGATTAACATTCTTTCTCAGCAATTTTCAAGGAAACTGAAAGACTCTCAGTTCTGTGATATTAAAATAGAAGGATGATAAATGTGGGTGTAAACTGCGTATTATAGGTTCAAGGTAAAGGAAAAAATAGTATTTTGCAAACTGCTATCCAAACATGACTGATCACGGAAACTCCCATCGACATGCAAATTGTTATTATTTTGCAATTTGCAAACTTGCATTTTTAGACCCCCTAACTTCTTTCATAAAACGTGACAACCCACCTCTTCTAAAAGGCCCCCACCCTATCTAAAAAATGGCCACCTCCTCTAAAAATCTAGCCCCCGTCAAATGTAATCCACCTGTTGAAGCATACAAGTTCATGACTGTGAGCATAGATAAACAAATATCCAGACACCAAAGCACAAGTTTATCTGAATACGAAATACTATTACTACGGATTATGAACGAGATTAGTTAAACTCATTCTTTTCTCACAGGGTAAAACAACCAATTTTTATATTGGCGCTTCGTGTGCACTGTACCCCCCCTCCCCCCTCCAACAGGAAAAAATAGTAAGCCTTCCCAAAAGTTAAATCTTTTGAACATAATCTGTGTATTAATTAAACTATGGCAGTAAAGCCTAGTATTCACGAAATTAAAGGAGCTTAAAGAAGGATAAAGAAGGATAAAGAAAGATAAAGAGGAATGAAGAAGTAAAAAGAAGGATAAAGTAGAATAAAGAAGGATAAAGTAGGATAAAGAAGGATAAAGAAGGATAAAGAAGGAGGAATACAGAAGAATAAAGAAGGATAAAGTTGGATAAAGAAGGATAAAGAAGGATTAAGTAGGATAAAGAAGGAAAAATAAGGATAAAGAAGGAAAAAGAAGGATAAAAAAGGATAAAGTAGGATAAATAAGGAAAAATAAGGATAGAGAAGAATGAAAAAGGATAAAGAAGGATAAAGAAGGATTATGAAGAATAAAGAAGGATAAAGAAGGATAAAGAAGGATAAAGAAGGATAAAGAAGTATAAAGAAGGATAAAGAAGGATAAAGAAGAATTAATTAAAAGGATAATGAAGCATAAATAAGGATAAAGAAGGATGAAAAAGTATAAAGAAGCCTGAAAAAAGATAAAGAAGAATTAAAAAGATAAAGAAGGATGAAGAATTTGGTACGATAGTATGGATGACGGATGAATATGTAAATGTATCATGACGTGTATCTGACGTATACCTGGAGTAGGGAGGAGTCAGATGACTCATTTCATGGTTCCGTCTCAGCTCTAAAACTCTAAAAAGAAAATTACTTTCCTCTTAACCAAGAAATATACATTGACTAGGAACCGCCATGCGTCCAATCCAAGGAACTATATACAGGAACGCCCAACTCAGATATACGCAAATTGTGTACTGCACACTGTGGGAGGAATGTAAATAAACCCAGTGCCCCCACAGAAGTTGAAGGGAAAGGACTACAGCTCTGATGTGATATTACAGTCCAACAAAAGACAAGTTAATATATCAAGTATAGAACTAATACTTACGATTTTTGGCTTTCTGGTCAATATGGAAAATACAATAGCAATATATTCTTATTCCACCCCTTGGGCTCTTTTCCCTCAAAACTGATGCGTTGCTCCTCCCACTGCAGTACACAGATTTGACGCATGAGATATGGCGGTTCCTGGTCTATATATTTCTTGGTCAAATCTGTGTACTGCAGTGGTTGGAAATCAAAACAAAGAATCCAGAACAAAACTCCCGAGTTTCTTTTTTGGGGTGAATAAATTTGTTAAGTTTTACATTAAGAAATAGAAAACGAATAGTCAAGATTTTGTAGAGTGTAACAAAAATCTTTAAATCTAGATTAAAAGGATTGTTCTTCGGTTAATGTGATTGTAAACGTTGTTTAAAGAGACGCTTCATTGATAAGGTCGCAGATTCATAACGATACCATTAAAAGGTTTGTCTGCTAAATTATGAATAATATATCAATGTTTTTGTTTATTTTCAGTTGTGGTTTCTCTGCATAAGTCACTTGCTCAATTTAACAATATTGATCAGATTAATGATACTGTTAATACAGTTTTTGGTTAAAATTATTGATTTACATAGACTTTTTAGTAAACATGAGGCCGAATTTTAAGAAGTTGAGCCGCGGCTCAAGTATGGTTGGCCTACTTTAAATTGTTTTTAATTTTAAAGATTTAAGTCGGCGCTCAATTGAAACCGATTTTTGGGGGATTTGAGACGCGGCTTAAATTCATTAAATTCTGACATGAAAATTTAGATTTTAAAGGGACTTACGATTTTATTGCATTGAAATAAATGATGTGAATTAAAATAAGTTAGATATTGTGGTTTTCCTGTATTGAAAAGATGTAGATTCTCTCAATTTCTTATATTGTTTCTGTTGCATAATTCTTTGGAAAACCGCATTGGCAAATTAGTGATCTACATATACATAGCTGAAAGGCCCGGCGTTGTCCGTAGAAAAAAAAAATGTTAAGATAAAAAATGCCTTGTTTTATTTTATAGATTTTTTGATGTCAAAAAACTGATTACTTGTTCACAAACTCAAATTTTCTAATCCATATATCTTTGCAACCTGAGAGTGTAAACCTTTGATATTTCAAACTTAGACGATTGGATCTAACAGACTTCTAGTTTATTGTATACACTGTAGACAAGGATTTTACAAAAACTGTAAACTGATTTTTTTAAATTTACAATTTACATTATTTTGTTTCTTCAAAATTTATATGTTATTGTTCATTGAACTTTTGTAAAGAAACGATAAGAAAAAAATGACCTTTAGTTGGTATTTTGTATAAATGCCATGAAATGGAGTCATTTGTTTATTTTATATGTATTTACCTTGCGTCTTTTACTTTTGTAACTAACTTCCACCGAAAAGGAAAAATCGTTTCGCGATTTTTTTTTCGCGACCATTTCGCTTCATTTTCGCATTTCATTCGCTCGCGAAAAGTGCGAAAAAATTTATGCGAAAATGCGAAGACAGAAACTTAAAAATATAACTAGTAAAATCAAATTCTCTTCATCAAACATTTATTAAAGTAAAGGAAGAGAAATTATTTATATGACATAAGGAAACTTCAGATATCAGAGCAGAGAATTCCACAAGTTTTTTTTGAGCAATTTCGCGAAATTCTCGTATTTTGCATTTTTCGCGAAATTTCGCTTCGTTTTGCGTCTTTATTTTCGAGAAATTTCGTGAAAAATTTTGTGTAGTGCGACCGTAAATTTTCGCATTTTCGCGAAACGTTTCGTTCCCATGGAAACCATACTTGGAACTACGAAAAACACTATAAAATTCAGAGTTTTAAATTCAAAGTAATTCTAAACTTTAAATCAATACTTTCTTTTATTTCACGAAGTAGGGTACAGAAAGGACAAAGGTTGGTGCAAAAAAATAGCCCATAACTTTGATATTAAAGCTGCAGCTCTAAAAATTACATTTTGGAAAAGCCCTCAAAAAATGATTTTAAAAAATTGTGAAAATCTCAATATTTGTCAAAAACAAAAATACAAAACATTTGTTCGAATGCAAAAATGGTAATGCCCGATACGGTACCCTTGAAACCTTTATCTGATCAATAATGTGGAATATATTTTCGTTATTATATTGTTACATGTGCATAAGAATGATCTTTTTAGGTGAATAGTGAGGGATAAAATATTTATCCCTATTTTCTGTTGTATATATTCTAGTGGGTCAAATCTATTTTTAACCTGACGTTGAGTTCAGAGGCCCGAAGAAAACCGGGATTTCCAACGGACAGTTCACCTGGTATTTTGAGAAAAATAGGGATTCCCGACCTAGGTGAGCAGGTCAACCTGGACAGAAACAAGAGTTAGTCGATGATGATCTGCAGTACCAGGAGGAGGAGAATAATAGTTGTTTTCTGTTAGAGAGTCTCGTTTCTCATTTTCCAGCAATCTATATAATAATCGTTTTATATCAATTTTCGCAAAAATAAAGTAGTTGTCTCGTGAATCGTGCAATAATTACTTAAGTTTGTGTAAATTAATAGTAGTTTGGTATGCATAGCATTATGCTAATTCTTTCATATAGAACAATATGTTTTAAGTATTTAACTCATATAATTTCTATGTTTTCTTTCAACAGTAGAAATGCACAAGCCACTTTTGTAGAGAAGTGGATATCTAATTCATACTTGATCAGACAAAGCTTTTTAGGGTACACTTGTGAATTGGGCATTGTCATCTGGGTCACTTGAAATAAAGGTTACAGTGCCTTTAAGGATAAAATTATAAGAAATGAAAATATAAAAAATAGATAGATGAGGTTCTACGAGACTAAAAGTAGATAGCTACTATGAGGTTCTTCGAGACTAAAAGTAGATAGCTACTATGAGGTTCTACGAGAGTAAAAGAAGATAGCTACTATATGAGGTTCTACGAGAGTAAAAGTAGATAGCTACTTTGAGGTTCTACGAGAGTAAAAGTATATAGCTACTATCAGGAATTCTACGAGACTAAAAAAGGGTCTACACCCATATATACTAGATAGCTACTATCTGAGGTTCTACGAGAGTAAAAGTAGATAGCTACTATATAAGGTTCTACGAGAGTAAAAGTAGATAGCTACTATGAGGTTCTACGAGAGTAAAAGTATATGGCTACTATCAGGAATTCTACGAGACTAAAAAAGGGTCTACACCCATATATTCTTAACAATGGGTTACGTTAACTACAGGTAATATTAGGTCTATCTAAAGTGTAGACCTGCGAATAAATAAAATATATTTGAAAGAGAACATCTGGATTGAAAAGCTTACATTTAATCATGCCATAAACTTGAGATTTTATATATCTTGGATTCTTTGTATTCGCGCATTTTAAGATTTTAAGATTTGTCCATAAAAATGCGCGTTGATTTGAGTGCTCAATGTTTATCTCCACTTGGCCAGTTTTCAGGAATTTGTGACAATATATCGTACGCGCGTATGAGCGTGCGTATGAGAATGAGCAGTGCGTAACTGACTGCGTCAGTGTTTAGGTCGATGTATGACTCATCAGGCCACCCACCTGGTTGCAAAGCTAAATCTTATTTTGGTGAAGAACCCTTAAAGTTAGTTTATCCAAGTGCAGATTGAAGGATTTGGAAGCTTGAAAAAATATGTCGGGGAAATCTTTGTTTTTTGCGTTCTATCCGCCTACACTATACTAGAGGGTTGAACTCCAGGCTGTATATACAGGCAGTAGGTTACCTGCCGGCTCCAAACACACATACATCCATACTTAGTGACGTAGTAGACAATTCGTGGGCGGACAATTAGATCAGGCTCAAGATAGATAGATAGGGAGCTAGTGAAAGGTTTAAAAATGTCTCGGGATTATCCAGACCCTGATATGCAGAACCTACTCAATGCTGCACGCAGATACTCAAACTCAACCCAGAGCAGTTCTCCTAAACCCTTCTCTAGACCTGGAGTAAGACCGGAGCAGGAGCATAGAGGATCCTTAGGGAGTTCTAGACCTAGCTCAAGGAAACATCATACTCTCACTCAATTATCAGAACATGCATGGGCGTATACAAAATTTGCCGAAGGGGAGGGCTTAACTCGTTTTCAAGGGGCGTTTCAGGTGGAGGCTTAGCACCAACAGACCCCTTTTCCTTGTTTACACCCCTGAAAATATGTTCTTCAAATTAAAAACTTTTCTTCTTCACAACCTATCAAAGGAATTTAGTCTTTGCCACAAATGAAATTTTCTAATTCCTATATCTTTGCAGCCTGATAGTGTTAAACTTTGAAAATTCAAACCTAGATAATTTGATCTAACAATTTGGGTTGCAAAGATATAGGATTAGAAAATAAGAGTTTGTGGAAAAACTTTAATTTCTTTTCACCTTTAAATGATGTGTGAATCACAGCGGAGTTAAAAATCGTCTCAAAATGCAATGTAAACAAACATAACCCATTAAAAACAGTTAACTGTCCCTTTTATCCAACTAAAAAGTGAAGTGTATGCTGTATTGTAGAACGGATCTGGAGTTGAAATCTGCATTCGGAAACTCTCGTCCTAGTTCCAGGTCTGAGCTACTCATGGAGAGCAAACGTCCGTCCCAGGTTGATAATCTTATCATGGAGGAACAGAAACGTCGTTTTTCGGAGGCCGGGGTCAATCGGCGTCCGTCGGCCGCTCAGGTTCTCACTGAGGACACAGATTCATTTATTATCGGGCAGCGGGTTTATGTGGATGGTGTTAAACCAGGCAGAATTCAGTTTATTGGAGAAACTAAGTTTGGACCAGGGGAATGGGCTGGAGTATTCTTAGACGAACCAATAGGTATAATAATAATAATAATAATAATAATAATAATAATAATAATAATAATAATAATAATAATAATAATAATCATAATCATAATAATATGTTAATATGTGATATATTTATAATGATAAGAATACCTTTACATTAATAACAATAAAAAAGTATTTATGGACTGAATTGTAATGAAAATGAAGACTATTTTAAAAGGAGTCCTCTTGAAGAAAAACTACAGGGATCCATAAAGGATAATACTACAGAATTTATTCTGACTGTTTCAATATATCTATGATCCCCTTGCATCTGTAAAATTGCTTCTTCCTTTGCAAAATCTTTAAATCAGCCATTAAAAGACTTTATTCGAGGCTGAAGATTTTAGACCTCTTTGAGATCGTTATTACTAAGTTTCAAAGGTCTTTGCACTCTCATCTTCGTGAATAACCCTGTAAAAAAATGCTTTTTTGTTTTGATTTTTGAATTGATTCCTTGAGTCTGAGACAGAAAGGCGGGTTACTTTGAAGATATAAATCTTGTAAAACTAACAAGTTAATTTACACTCCTTCGTTACATATGTTTGAAAAGCGAGCAGTTTTGCAAAGCCACGTTGCTAAAACTTAAATGCAATATTTACAAGCCCCACCTCTCACACTTGAAGACCCTCTCCCTTCTACTCTGAAAGCGCCGAAATTTCTAGTGTCCCTCCATGCAAAGATTACAATGCCCGATTCACAACGTTAGTTTTGACAAATTTGCCATTGCTTCTTGTAAGCATAAAAAGCGCTATTCACGTTTGCAGAGAAACCATAAATGAAAATGAACTGATGAAAGAAACAAAAACATGAATATCTAATTCATACTTGATCATGCGACCGTTTATGCAAAGATAGCAATGCACAATTTAGAACGGTACTCTGGACACCTTAATCGGATCAAAAATATGGAAGATTCCGTTGTGTTTAATTTTAATATTTTCTCCATTGTTTCTTCTTCGCAGAGATCCCACAAATGAAAAGAAACAGTTTAAAGAAATAAAAACATGGATATTTTAAATTCATACTGGATAAAATAAAGCTTTTAAGGGTAATTTTTAAATCGGGCAGCGCCATCTTTGCATGGAGGACCACTCGAAATTACGCTTACAGTCCCTTATAATAGTGCACGTAAAACTATATGCATCGGTTTGTATCAGAATATTTTCATATTTTGAGTTTTGACCTCTCATTCAAATTTCGGCAAAAAAGCGTTTATATATACTTTATCAAAAAGGATAAAATAGCAAATCCAAAAAAAATCATAATAAAATGGGCCAAAATGGGTTTTTAAGTTACAAATCATTGGGTTTAAACCAGGACCTCTAATTTGTCCTGATCAGTATCAGTGGTATGTTCGATTCTGTAAGGTCTACTTTAAAAAATAATCAATTTTCATCTGGACAGTAATTACATCAAATAATAACAATATTCGATAAAAAAAAGGCTTTTATATTACGATATTGCCTATTCATTCATTCTAAAATGGTTTTAGGTTTTTATAGATATTTTAGTATAATTAGGCAAGCAACTTGCAATATATAATTAATGCAATTAATAACAGGCCGCAAAAAATCTTTTGATGTTGCTATAAAAACTACCGCACCTTAGATTTTAGAATAAAGAAATGAAAAAAGAAACTAAGTGTTAGAAATATACTTTCCGAAAACGAAAAGGCCCATCCATCCCCAAAATATAGTTTATAGATAATAAAATCTGAATTTATGCAAAAGTCTACGATGCAATACGATTATAACTTTTTTTAAATGAGGCTTAACATCAAGGAAGGATTAAATTGATCCGTTGGACAACAAAATAGATATGGATTAGAGATTTCTGGAGGGATTAACTTTACAGAAGGTTTGACCTTGCATAAAATATTTATTTATTATTGTTATGAACCATTAAATTTGTTCCTAAGGCGGGCAAGGTTATGTTTTTATTTGAAGTTGTTATAAGGCAACTAGTTTTATACCATTATATATATATATATATATAATCATTAAGTCATGTTTGAAATGAGTCTGTATAACTGAGCGATTACGCTGTTATATGTCCAAACGAGACTACTGAAAATCATAACTTAGTCCAACAGTCGTAAATTTATTTCAAAGTTTTATGGGTTCCAGTAGTGTTCAATCTCTTGTAAAAATCTTAAAGGGACTGTTTGAAATATGAGGGAATAACTGAGTATTCCGAATATAAAATAATCTCTTTATTTCGTTGACAGTCCCTTTAGTTTTAATACTTTAAGCATACTTCTAAGACCTAAGTCCTAATCTGGAATGCCAAATGGCAAGCTTAAAAACACTAATTTATTTCCAATTTAAACGTTTTTAATTGCTACTGCTGGTATAGCAATAGAGTTCATTACAACTTTAATACTTATAAATAATTAATACTTTAAATTTCAAGCTTTAAAAGACTACTGTTGTATTTTCAAGTGAACTTCCATTTACAGCTTTATCTAATTAATAATGTGGAAGATAGAGTCTTTTTTTCAAGTTTGAAAAGTGTTTGATTCTGACAATTTCTTCCATTGTATATAAAATGAAATGTGCAAATAACTTTATAAAGAAACTACAATCTTATCAGTGAAAGCTTTGGTTCGCATTCGAAAATGCCACTTTATAAATGAATAGCTTCACTTGAAATTACGCTAATAGTCTATTTCAATAGTTTTATGATTAAACATTTTAAACAATAAAACATATTAAAAAAACGTAACTAAAAATCTACAGTTCATTTTCACATGTTGTGTAACTTGAGCTGATCGAATTTTTTTTTCTTTCTTAATTTACGAATCCAAGCTTTATTATACTTTACAAGCAGTAAAATCATAAGACTGTAAATCATAAGATCTACCTGAAAAGTTTGGCCAGTGTATATTATTATGATCCTAAGATATTTGGCCAGTGTATAATATTATGATCCTAAGATATTTGGCCAGTGTATATTATTAAAATGATCCTAAGATATTTGGCCAGTGTATAATATTATGATCCTAAGATATTTGGCCAGTGTATATTATTAAAATTCTAAGATATTTGGCCAGTGTATAATATTATGATCTTAAGATATTTGGCCAGTGTATATTATTAAAATCCTAAGATATTTGGCCAGTGTATATTATTAAAATCCTAAGATATTTGGCCAGTGTATAATATTATGATCCTAAGATATTTGGCCAGTGTATAATATTATGATCCTAAGATATTTGGCCGGTGCATATTATTAAAATCCTAAGATATTTGGCCAGTATATATTATGATCCTAAAATGTTTGGCCAGTGTATAATATTATGATCCTAAAATGTTTGGCCAGTGTATAATACTATGATCCTAAAATGTTTGGCCAGTGTATAATATTATGACCCTAAAATGTTTGGCCGGTGTATAATATTATGATCCTAAAATGTTTGGCCAGTGTATAATATTACGATCCTAAGATATTTGGCCGGTGTATAATATTATGATCCTAAGATATTTGGCCGGTGTATAATATTATGATCCTAAAATGTTTGGCCAGTTTATAATATTACGATCCTAAAATGTTTGGCCAGTGTATAATATTATGATCCTAAGATAGCTGGCCAGTGTATAATATTATGATCCTAAAATGTTTGGCCAGTGTATAATATTATGACCCTAAAATGTTTGGCCGGTGTATAATATTNTAATATGCAATATATGCAATGCATCTTAAACCATCACCATATGTTCACTCCCACTCAACCGTCCACTCCCTTTTTCATTAAACTGCATTCAAACCTCAAACATTTCTCCTTTTTAAAGTTATACTTTCTTTTTTTCATTTTGTATTTTCCCCGCTATAAATATACTTTCTTTTTTTTCATTTGTATTTTCCCATCCATGAATATACTTTCTTGATTTTTCTTTGCAATTACACTATCTTTTTGTTTTTTCAATTTGTCTCTTTTCGTCTTATCATAATTTCTTCTTGTTTTTAATTTTGTCTCTTTTTGTTTTCTTCCCTTTACATGGCGTCCTGAGAGCAGACTTAAAGATTGTCTTTGATCCTTAACTGCTACAGGGTTACCCACAAAGAAAGAGTCTATAAAGACGACCTGAAACTCGTAAAAGACAGCGATAAAAAAGGTTAAATAAAGTCTTTCGCCTTGAATATTGTCTTTCAATTGGCAATTTACTGACATGGCAAGGAAAGAAACCAGTTTAAAATTGCAGAGAATCCGAAATATAAGAAAATAGACAGATTAAATTACGTATACAGTCGAGTCTGGTGAAGTTTCATCCTCTGAGGGTAATCCTGTATCTCCTGAAAATCTTTGAAGTTGCTCAACCTTTTTTTATGATACACACTTTGTCCTCAAAAATCAAGTATAACCTTTTCTGTCGTCCTTCAACTGTCATGCTTAGTGGAACACCCTGTACTTTAAAATTTGATTATAAAACTGCTATTTAAGTTTTGAAGTTGAAACCAAAGATTTGTTTTCAGTGTTTTTTTCCCTTTTGTTTGTACACCTTACACTGTACACAGGTTTTTAAATTATCTTGCTGTTTTCCTCATTCAAATCCCCCCTGCTAGTTTTTTCATTTAGTTTTTAGTTCAATTTAAAATAAGCATGGTATTGTTCCAGAAAACAAACATAAATCCAAGATCTGAAATCTGAGCTCTGACAACAGACACAACTTAAAAGGACTGTAGAGTAGATGTTTTATTCTTCGAATAAAGATCCCCAGCAAAATGATAGAAACAAAGGAGGAGTTTTTAAGAATTACACACTTTTCTAGGAAACGGACGGACATATACCTTCAACATTACTGATCAGAGCTGAAAACTTTAGAATGAGATATCCTTAATCCCGATTACTTAATCTGTGTATCCAATGGACACACTTTTGATTTTCTTCTTAATCCTCTCTTTTTGGATACCCCTACTGCATAAGAGTTACTAATTGGACTAATATCCGATTCATCTTAAGTCAGCTATTCACAAGCTGACTTTAAGAGCATTTAAACAAATATAAACTTAATCATGTTAATATGAGTTTATTGAAAAACAAATTTTATCACATTTGAGGACTATAGTCCTTTTGAACGTTAGTCTTGATAAACATTAATCCAAAACTTACGTTCGGTCAATCGATCATTAATTCAATTGATATGACACTATCAACACCAGAAATACACTAAAATTAAAAACCGGTTTTTAAAAAGTTAAAGAGCGCATTCAAACTTGACACGCTGATTGTTTGAATTTTAAACTTCTTTCTTGGATATCGACAGCGTATTAACATAATCTCGAGTTTAGTAAAATTAGGAGTTCAAGCATTAATCTTTATATCCACCATTCACAAGTTTTCAGCTCAGATCATAGTTCAAAGAGTACCGTTGTTGATAAGGCATGTCATTTTTTTTAAATAGAGGGTCACTTGAGATTAAAACAACATACCTTTAAAATATCACGTATTTTGAAAAAACAAAGTAAAACAAAAAAAAATATTCCATAATACGTTTTTTATAATTTGCTATAAATAAAAATATGCGTTCTGTGGAACATATGATGATTTTACATTTGAAAAAGTCGGATTATGGTCTGTCCTAATTCAGTCAAAAGTTTACGACCGATCATCACCCGGCATCTGTATTTACTCAGGCCTAAGATTAATTTATTAGTTTATTAATTCATAAATTTGAAATAATTATCACGCTGGTGACAGCGCCTGACATGAGGCTTAAAGATAAACAAAATGAAAAGAGAGCTGGAAACTTTTGTGAAGGATACTCATAATCCCGATCTTTTGATCTCGATATCCATAGTGGCCACTTTTAAGCATCAATCCTTAATCTCTTCATTTCATTTATTCTTTCCATATACGATACCCGTGCTAGATATCGAAAAAAGGTTGATCACGAAATCCACAAAAAAATTCCCACTTCAAACAAAATATCCGTTTAAGCTTTATTTTTGTAATTTCAATTGACCTTTAATTTTGAGAGGGCCATACCCGATTCACAACGGTTTCCAAAAATGTGCAAAATATCGTCATTTTTCTCACAATTTCCGGTGTTTCTGTGGTAAATATATTAAAAATAATTGATTTTCAAAACGAAAATGATGGATTTCTCATGAATTGCAAATTAAAAAATCCTTATTAATATTTCATGATTAAAATAAAAAACATTCCATTGTTTTCTGGTTCCCACTGTACTTATATGTTTTCTGGTTCCCACTGTACTTATATGTTTTCTGGTTCCCACTGTACTTATATGTTTTCTGGTTCCCACTGTACTTATATGCCAAATTTATACTAAAATCCAAATCTATTTCATCTCGTCACGTATTTGCCATTTTCTGCACGCAACGATTTAATTGCAAGGTTTTTCATTGCAATTATTGCAGAAATTGGCATCAATAGATTTTATCCTTTTTTTTAACTGCCCCTCAAAGTGCATTGGTGGGAAATAATGGATTTATAGGGTTCTTATCTTGTTGAAATGACTTAATTCTGGTTTGATGAAGTTTTTCATGCTGTCACCTCGACACATCTGTCAATTATTTTGGACTTGAAACATTTTTGCTTCATATTATTCTTTTCATTAAATATTATGAGCAACACGCTGATGTCGTGATAAAATCGTTTTATTATAAATATTATCAGTGCACTGTGTTTAAAAATGAGATTTAAAATCTTAAAAAGATAAAAGGTTTTGTACCGAAGAAATAATTTGACTTGGAGTCGTAATATCTTTAATAATAATAAAAATGATGGATCTGTAATGAGCACAAGATATTTTACATGTGAGCCGAGACACGGAGTTTTCAGCAGATTGTTCAGGTTCTTCAAAATAAATTTATTTTATAATTTTTTACCGACAAAAATAAAAGCCGGTTTTTAATGATATATAAGAACATTTGCATTTGTCTTATTTTTGTAGATTCATCTATGTTTAAACTACATCCCTGTTTTTAGAAAATTAAATAAAAATCTTTTACCCTACGGTCGAGTCCCCACAAAACTGCACAACAGTAAGACGACATTTAATCAATTGTAGTTTATTTGACGTTGTTTTACAGAAAATAGTTTCCCTTTGAAAATCAAATTAAGAATTAAAATCATGGTTTGATGGGTAGCACTGTATTTAAACACATGAATATACACGAACAAGGTCCAATAGAAACTGTTAAATGCAGATTTTTAAAGATAATTTAGGCCATTCATCGATTATTATTCATGCTCAAATTATGGACCATCATTGCATTTATAATTTTGAATAATTAAGATAATATGACCCCCCCCCCCTTTCTTCATATATGTACTGAAGATTTAGTATTGTGGAATAATTTTAGGATTCATTTGAGACACATGAAACGTTTCTTCAACATATATTTACTGAGTTTGAACGCAGAGTCGAAGTTCAAAATTATGAATTTGGGTGGATACATTTTCAGAATCGTTTTTTTTTAATTATAAAACAACGACAACGAAAAAATATAGTAAAAATTCTAGAGTAAACTAATTTGATGTTTAGGAACATATTTCTCAAAAGAAATTTGTCAATAAATGAATGTTAGAACTGATTATTTCCTTTTTCATCATTATATTGAGATTCATATCTTCTATGAATTTGTTAGCAGATTTCTACAAATTCTTTAAATTAGAATTTTAATTCAATAAAAAATTCAGAAAATTTGCAGAAAATAAAGAGAGATTATAGAAACTAATAATTGAATAATTATTTTCGTAACCTGTTCCTAAACAACTAATTAGTTTACTGTAGAATTTTGTTTACATTTTTCGTCGTCGTTATTTAAAAATTAAAAAAAAAACCGATTCTGAAAATGTACCTACCCAAATTCATGATATTGAACGTTAACTATATACTCAAACTCGGTAATTATACATCGTGTAAACGTTTTATATGTCTCAAATGAATCATAACAAATTTGTCCACACTCCTACATATTCAGTTCAACCACCATACATTGCTGGTCACTCCCTTTAAGAGGAACCTTTCTTTAATATAATCAATTTTCATAAAGAAATACATTTATATCTTGATCAGACAAAACTGTTCTCGGTATCGTTGTGAGTCGGACATCATACTCTAAAAATAAAGTGTCACTTCAAATAACGTTTATAATCCCTTTAAAGGGAGTGACCGGCTATGTAAGGTAGTTGAATTGAGTATGCAGTGTTGTAGAAAACTTCTTTACAATCCCTTTAATTTCTATTTTTTATTTTCAGATTAACAAGGGACCCAATAGAGGGGGCACAAGAGATACTGAATCAGTGTAGAAGGTAGAAAAATATGATTTTAAACGAATAAGACAAGGTGTCTGGAGAGTTATATGCAGTAAAAACACTACTTAAAGGTTTTATTAAGATATTTTGAAAAAGAAAAACGCTACGCAGATCATAAGTTTTAAAGTAATTAAGATATTTCATTTTACAAAGATTACTTTAGCGTGAGATCAGTGGTTTTATGTTTTACAGAAAAATTACAAAATTAAGTGTATCAACTTAATTAAAGGAAAAAAAATTACATAAAACTTGATTTTATCATTGTTCAAACAAAAAAATATATACTAGCGAAAGTGCTAGTGCTTTCAAATATGGGCTATTCATGGGTTTTCTCAAATAAGTTCAGCTTATTTGATCTAGCTGTTTGGCCAGCTATAGCTAGCATATATAGTTACATTACATAGATTATCAATTATATAAAATTTAGCATTTTATCATAAATTAAAGATTACTGCGAACTGTAATCGCCTGCTAAAAAGTTAAGTTCATAAAAGGTGTATTAAATTAATTAATCTATAAATGGATAGTTGGTCGGTTAAAAATTCCATAAAAAGGTTTTTACTTTTTAGAATTCTTGATCTCATTTCACAGGATTAAGTTGTAACAAAAATAACCTTTCAAGAATCGTTTACCACAATTCTAAATTAGATATTTTTAAGGTTCATTTTAAATCAGGATATATATATGCATGGATAAATCTAAATAGATAGATCTGGATAGGTCTGGATAGATCTGGATAGATCTGAATAGTTCTGGACAGATCTGGTTAGATATGGATTAAATCTGGATAGATCTGAATAGATCTGGATATATCTGGATAGATCTGGATAGATCTGGATAGATCTGGATAGATTTGGATAGATCTAAATAGATCTGGATAGATCTGGATAGATCTCTGGATAGATCTGGATAGATCTGGATAGATCTGGATAGATCTGGATAGATCTGGATAGATCTGGATAGATCTGGATAGATCTGGATAGATCTGGATAAATCTAAGTAAATTTAGAGATATCTAGATAGATCCAGAAAGATCTATTTTCTATATCTAGATATATACATTCTGGCAGATCTATATAGGTCTGGATAGATCTGGATGGAAAGATCTAGAAAGATTTAAATGGTCTATCAGTTAATGTTCTTTTTCTGTTTGTGTGTGTGTGTGTGTAAGTAATGTGATTGTAAACTAAAATGGAACACCTGAATCATTCTAAAATATAAAGAGTTTATGCTTATAATGCTAGTAATGGGTTCATTGCTTCCTTTTCATCAAACCTCTTTAAAGGGATTGTACACGGGATTTCAAGCGCCCTATATCTCTGGCCGATTGACAAGGGTGCCTTTTAATCTTTATTAAAGCAACGATAAGGAATATTTTGTCACTTCATTGTCCTGAAAAGTGGTCAATTCGGACAATTTCCTTCTTTCATTTCTTGCAAATTATATTTGCCCAGATAAATGTTTATAGGGTACCGGTGTGAATAGGACCTGCTACCCATGCAGTGAAGTTTTAAAACTAATACATAAAACTTCAGGATTTGAGTCGTTGCCACAAACTATAGTTTTTTAATCTGTATATTTTTGCAGCCGGATGATGTAAACCTTTAATATTTTTAATTCATAGCTTGAATTATATAAGCAAAGATATAGAGATTAGAAAGAAATAACTAATGAATGCATATTTATTCTTTGCGCTTGATAATGTGTTCGATCTATATCATACTTTTTCTGTCGCTAAATTGGCCTTATGACATATGACATAATCAGTCTATGGATATACATATCTATACGTTATATGACATAATCAGTCTGGATATATATATCTTTACGTATATGACATAATCAGTCTATGGATATATATATCTATACATATATGACATAATTAATCTATGGATATCTATATCTATACGTTAAATGACATAATCAGTCTATAAAGATATATATATCTAAACGTATATGGCATAATCAGTTTATGAATATATATATCTATACGTTAAATGACATAATCAGTCTATGGATATATATATCTATACGTATATGACATAATCAGTCTATGGATATATATATAATACAATCAGTCTATGGATATATATCTATACTTATTTGACATAACCAGTCTATGAATATGTATATCTTTACGTATATGACAAGCTATGGTCATGTAGATCTATGTCTATATTATAATTAGTCTATGGTATGTTCATCTATAGAGTGTAAGATGACTCATATATTGAGTGTAAGATATTTTAGCTACTCATACACTCCAAATACAACATTTTCAGGGGCCTTGCTACACTGTTAAAATATAAGATTTTGTTCTTTGTATCGAAAGGAGAAAGCATTACGAATTAGAAGCATTTTGATAGAAATTTAGAACGGAAAATTAAGGAAATGTAAGGAAAAATGAAAGGGGGTCTAGGCTGAAAGTTAATCACTTTATCTTTTGATCGCGACCCCTGAAAATTATATCTGATGTTTCTGTCTCGATAAATTGATATAAAAATGTGTCATGTCTCTGTCTGTATCACATGACCAGTTTACTATACTACTATTGGTGGGAGTTCTGATGACGTCATACAGACTTATAAATAATATTATCAATTATATCTTTAAAAAATAAAAATAAAAATTATAAAATAATAATTGTAAAAAACCTTAAGTTACAATTAGGTTTCTCTGGGATATCTTCGTTTTCAGATTGGTTGCATATTCGCTGAATATGTTCTGTTTAAACCTACCATTTCTATACAAAATTGTATATATATATGAATTTTCGTATAAATATGACACAGTTAACAATCAATTTCTCGAGATAGGAACATCAGATATAACTTTCAGGGGTCTCAGGGGTCGCGATCAAGAGCTATAGTATTTAGCTTTCAGCCTAAACCCCCTTTCATTCTTCCTTTACAGTCCCTTTAAGGACACATTTTCTACGGGGTATTGTTAAGACAAAAATGGCTCAAATTTAGCTTTGAATATATCAAAATGTTTTTAATTTCTTACAAAATTTCTAAGTTATTTCGGTCATTCAATATTTGTTTTAACAGTGTACAGATGTGATAAATACTAGTAAACGCCTACACAAATATACCCTTGCCATTCACACCAGTTTATAACCCTCTAATACAGTCCGACCCATACAACTTGGGAATAGGAAGACGACATTTAGCCATCTTGTACTTGATGTAAATAGTTTTACCAGTAGCTAAGAAAACGTTGAGTAAAAAAATGCTGTGTTTAATGCTCTATGGACTATCTAAAATCATAACTTGAGTCTAACAGTCGTCTTTCTATTCCACATTTTGTGTTTGGCTCCCACTTAATATATCTTTTATTCGGCCCGTCCTGTGCATCGTTTTCATTTAAATGTTTTAGACTATTAAATGGATATTCAAAACGACTAGTTTTTAAGAATCGTTTTAAGTTAATTTCTTTGGTCAGAGGAAAAAAAATGCAAAATGTAATAAAATCAAATTTTATGAGAAGGCCATTTTTCAATGTGATAAATACATTTTCAGCACTTTTAAAACCCAATTAATCCCAAAATGTTTTGAAACGGACCTAAAAACGGTGGTGGCCCCAACCCGTAGCAAGCACAATCCATTTATTTCTTAATAAGCTCACTGAAAATTCACAATTCTGGGAATGATTTTAATTCTGTCAACTTTGCCAAGTTTTTTTGGGGGGGAGCGTATTTTCATTTTAACCTAGAGGGGGAAGCAACACCCCCTCCCCCCTAAAAGTGTTCGGGGGGGGGGGGACTGGTAGCTTTGTGGGATTCATAGAGAAACTTAGTATAGTCAATATTTTCACACAACATTGAAAATATTTTTAATGTTTAAAATAAAATTTGGTTAAATAAATTCTGTACAATCAAATCAGATTTTCTAATAATACATTCACCATTTTTTTAGTTCCTCTTGCAGATTCGATACAACAATTTTTACAGATTTTCTACTCTAAGGTTTATAAATTAAAAAACAACATTTTTGACCAGGACATTTTTTCAAATATTGAATAAATGAAACAAAAATTGGTGTATTTCTTATAACGTTATTGGAAAACAAAAAAAAATAAAAAAAATGTAAATGGTTAGAGTTTCAGTTCTACTTCTGGATTCCCCCCCCCCTCCCCCGGCCCTACGTTAAAACCTTAACAGTTGCGCCTCCTGACTCCTGAGCGTGGTTTTGTGAAAGATGAAAAAGAAAAGATAAGCCGTATAGTGGTTTGTATAACCTTGGGCTAGGTCAGATTTATAAAAATGTTTATTTTTATTGTTTTTATTGATTGATGTTTACCCGCAGGCGGAGTTAGCGGGGTTTACACCCAAAACATCTTTATTTCTAGCTTGCTGCTTATTCTGCAGTTTATTACTAGCTTGCTGCTTATTCTGCACTTTATTACTAGCTTGCTGCTTATACTGCAGTTTATTACTAGCTTGCTGCTTATTCTGCAGTTTATTACTGCCTTGCTGCTTATTCTGCAGTTTATTACTGCCTTGCTGCTTATTCTGCAGTTTACTACTGGCTTGCTGCTTATTCTGCAGTTTATTACTGCCTTGCTGCTTATTCTGCAGTTTATTACTGCCTTGCTGCTTATTCTTCACTTTATTACTAGCATGCTGCTTATTCTGCAGTTTATTACTGCCTTGCTGCTTATTCTGCAGTTTATTACTTGCGTGCTGCTTATTCTGCAGTTTATTACTAGCTTGCTGCTTATTCTGCAGTTTACTACTAGCTTGCTGCTTATTCTGCAGTATTACTAGCTTGCTGCTTATTCTGCAGTTTATTACAAGCTTGTTGCTTATTCTGCAGTTTATTACTAGCTTGCTGCTTATTCTGCAGTTTATTACTAGCTTGCTGCTTATTCTGGAGTTTATTTCTAAACAAGGAAATGTTTACCAGATGTTCTACCTTAGCACCCTGTCCTCTATTAGCCCCCTATCATCTCCTAGCACCCTGTCCCCTTCTAGCACCCTGTCCCCTCCTAGTCCCATGTCCCCTCCTAGCACCCTGTCCTCTCCTAGCCCCCTGTCCCCACCTTGCACCCTGTCCCCTTTTAGCACCCTGTCTTCTCATAGCACACTGTCACATTTGCATCTTGATAAGGCATCATCAAGGCACGCTTATCAGATGATCTGTGTGTATTACATGCAGTATACTTGTATAGAGAGTATTCAGTGCATTCAGCGAATACACAAGTTTGACTTCTTAAGTTATTCATCAAGAAACATTAACACGCATATATTCCTGACATTTTAAATTCACGTATATCCAATGAAAGTAGAATTGAAGAGGGTAGGATCGGGGTTGCTTAAAGCAAAAACAAAAATTGCTAACAATTTCCTTAGTAATTATTTACAGTACAGGAGGGCCAGGCCTGTGCAATAACAGTAAACTAAATTTGATGTTCTTCATATTCTATGTCTATTTGTTTAAGGTTTGGATATGAGATCGTGGACATGCCATCTGACCGACGAGGTAGCTTCAACAGTGGATCAAGAAGAGGCAGCATTGATCGAGGTTCACTAAGCCCTATGAGGAGCTCAACGCCAGAGTCTCGGAGTCCTCGGAGAACCCCTGAACCCTACTCCAGAGCAAGTCCAGAGACAAGAAGAGGAAGCATTGGTTTAGTTGACAGAAGAAGTAGTTTCGGAGAACGGCACAACAATCTTGGAATTCCAAGTAGAAAATTCACACCGGGTAAATCACCTCTTGCCTCACCAAGCAATAATATCACAACTTATAGAGAAATAAAGATAGAACGGGACCCGGATATTGAAAGGTTGGCAAATGAAGCTCGCCGGCTGTCAATGGGTGGAAACCTGATGGAACGGCGGGGGTCTAATGCTGTTGATGTCCAGAATCTTAATCGGCGAGCTTCTGAAAATCGACTTGGAGTATCTCCTGGCAGACCAACTGCTGTTTCGCCCAGACTTGGATTTAACAGACGTCAATCAGAGCATTTAACAGATAATGGTCGGCGAAGTTCTGAGTCAAGCAACACTGGCAGATCAAGTCCAATGGCTCCCAATCATATATGCAACAGCTCCAAACCTCCAAGTTTCTCCAGGAAACAGTCAGAGTACTTGACAGAAGGCAGAAGGGGTTCTTACAGTGATCCCACCCACAGCAGTATGGCGAAGCGAGATAGTAGTCTTACAAGACGGGGTTCAGGGGCAGGATTTGAGAAGCATGGATCTAATGCTGACTTTAACAGCTTACCCCGTCGCAGAGGCTCTTCAGCCAACTACTCTGGGTATGATAGTCTACCAAGACGGGGTTCTAACGCAGGCCTCTCTGGATATGATAGTTTACCTCGTAGGGGTTCTCAAGCAGGATTGGAAAGAGATAGACGTTCCTCCTCAGCTCAGAGGACTTCAGAGGAGGATGCAGAGCTGCAACGAAGAAGGTTATCTGAGGCAGGGCTTCGTCGTCCCTCTGCTACTGATATTGTTCTAAACAACAACACAGACGCACTAATGGTGGGTCAGGAGGTTTGGGTTGACGGTACTAAGAAGGGACGCATTGCCTACATAGGAACAGTACACTTTGCCAAGGGTGAGATGGCTGGAATTCATTTGGACCAACCAATAGGGAAAAACAACGGAACCATCAGCGGTCGACTTTATTTCCAGACAGAACCCAAACATGGTCTGTTTTCCCGCCTGCACCGTCTAGCTCTATACCCCCTTCCCGATAATGGTTACGAGGAGTAAGGTGAAGAACAATTGCATATTTCAAATCTCTAGAAGTCTGAAAAGATTTATAAGATATTCAAATTTAAAACATTTTTGTCGAGTATGAACGTGAAGGTATCCTGCACCAGGTGTGCACAGTGCACACTTTTTGCGTATTGAAAATGTAAAATTTTGCGCGCAAAAAGCACGGATTGTCCATGCTCTATCACGTCTAACCAGTGTGAGTGCTGTATAACAATCTTTAGTATTGACTTTATGTTAAATGATGCCAATCAGAGCCAAACCTAACTAATCAATTTACAGAAGAGGTGTCCTAAAATAAATACCGATTTTTAAAAGTTCAAAAATTTATAAACATTTTAAAGATTCTTTTCTTAAACCCAAAATTAATGTGTCATCAAAATGAAATTACAACTGAAAATTGAATTATTCACTTTTAAATACGGATTTTATTTTGAAACACCCTATATCTATATGTATTCTCTTGGAGAAGCTTATCATGCTAAATCTTACATTCAAACACTTCTCTTAGTCAACACCAAACTAAAACAAACCTCAGTTTAAAAAAAACATGACAAATTTACTTTTTTATGGTGACACTAATGAAAACAAATTGGTACAAACATTTATTTATCCTTAAGCTTAATATTATTCAATTAATCCATTGCTACTGTATTTATACTTTAAAAGATATTTAAAGTTTTGCCTGAAGGACCTCGAAAAAGATGCGCCACGTCTAGCCCCCATCCCCCAAATTCAAATTTGGAGGGGCATCAATCAATCCCCCAATAAGTTAAAACAGCACTTATTTTAAACTTCTACTCGTTTTTAAATTCTTATTTTTTAAACCGTTTTTTTAGATCTATTTCATATAACACCCCCCCACCCACCCCCCTCCATACATGTAATATTTACAATATAACATATTAACCAAACTGAATCCAACAAGTTTGTTTTACTCTTAAAGTTGGTTTCTTTTATTAATTATATAACTTATATTTTTGTAATCAATTCTTTTTAATATTTGTTAAATAAATAAACTTGCTTTTTAACAAACAAGCAGATAGTTTTTATTCAAATAGAGAGAAGATTTTGTTTTTACACATGACCCCAGGGAAGTTTATGGATGCTCAAAATTACAAAGATTTGTATCCAAAAATTGTTGATTTTTGTTGAATTTTGAAAATGCGCTAAAAATATTATTGAATCCGCAAACTTTTTTGTTATTTTTTATATTGTGCAAAGAGAAGATGCTTACACATAGAGTCCCAGTGAAAAGTTGAAAATAGAAGATGAGCGCGAGGCGCCCTAAAAGTACAGTCTATATATATTTATACTTTGTTTTCTGTCTGTCTGTTTGTCCGTCCGCTTGTATCCAATAAACGTTACAACGGCTAAACCGATCGGAACCAAATATTGTGTGGGACCTCACTTGACCCCAGGAAAGGTATATAGAATATAGATTCTCAAAATTACAAAAATTTGTTTGTAAAATTTTTTGATTTTTGTTAAATTTTAAAAGTACGTGCAAAATATTATGATGCTCACAGATAAAGCAGGAGATGAAGCCGAGTATGAATTTGTTATCTAGACAGGGAATCTCAATATTCAGCTATGTAGCTGAGGTTTTAAAACCTGTCCAAAGTGAATATGCCTCTAATAAACTTAGATTTGTATAAAATATCCTTTTGAATGGAAACTATAATTGGATTGCAGGAAATNTTGCTTCCGGTTATGTCATTGTATTGTAATGAATTGCAACACATTTGTATAATTAATAGGGATTTACTTTTCAGTTACCACTTGTTTTTTTTTGAGTTAAGCAAAAATGTTTCATTTGCCCAATATATCTATATTTTTAGTTTTGTGAGAATCAGTAATTCAATGGATTTCTATTATTTACTTTAATGCATATGGTTACAAGGAACATGTAGAAATGTTAACGTTTTTATTTTTTTTTTTGAAAAACGATCGTTTCGTTATGAAAACGATGACAAAAAATCGAAAACGAAACGATCGTTATTTTAAAAAGTTCGTTTGTTAAAAATGGTCGTTTTATAAAACTCGTCGTCTCGTTAACGATCGTTAACGACGACCCATCGTTAACGATCGTTAACGACGAACCAATTCGTTGACGATCGTTAACGACGAACCTTCGGTAGCGATCGTTAACGATGACCCTTCGTTAACTATTTTTAACGACGACTCTTCGTTAACGAAGAGAGGAGTTCGACCTGAAGGGCATCTGTACTTATCATTGAGTAGATTTTAAGAAAATATCAAGAAGTTTTAGCTTCCCGCAACTGTTTAACTTCATGTAAGACGATCGTTTTTCCAAAAACGACCGTTTTTATAAAGTTCGTCGCTTTATAGTTAACGATCGTTAACGACAACCCTTCGGTAACGATCGTTAACGATCTCTTCGGTAACGATCGCTAACATAATTTTAAATAAATTTTTTTAAAACGATTATAGTTTTTTCAAGAGATCGTTTTTTAAAAACCAATCGTATTAAAAAACGGTCGCAAATCGTATTTATAAAGATGATCGTTTTCAAAAGCGATCATTATTCGTTTTCTAAAAGTTCAAAACGAGTGGGCAGTTTTTAAAAACGATCGTTTTTTCCGAAAACGAAAAGATCGTTTTTGAAAACGATTGGAAAATGAAACATAAAACGATCGTTTAACGATCGTTTTCAAAAACGATTAACAACCCTAGGTGCAGGACAGTTGAAAGACCTAAGATAGCCCATAACTATAGTTAAAATATTATTAAAGCTACAATTTTTAAAATTTTTTGTAAAGCCCCCATTCTTTGCAGAGTTAAGAATTTCAAACAATGTATACATATAAGTATACAGAAACAAGGTTTTGAATAAAAAAGTGTGAGAAAAAACCTCTAAAATTTTATCACAGTAATACAGACAGAAGGAGAAGTTAAAATTACACGATATTACTGGTACGTCTTTGTAAACTCGTAGCTCGTTTTGATTTTCCGCATGAAAAAAACCTAAGAATTTATGGGATTACAAATTACATATTAAAATTTCAAAACATTTTAAAAGGATCAAATTTGATTAAAAATATCTCTATAATAAAATGATGATTTGGAGTTCTTTAAAACTGTTCCCACATATTCATGGCTATTTATTTACTTTCGCAAATACTGAGATTTACGTAAAGTAGTATAAAACCCATTGAAAAATTGTCAACACGACATTTGATAAATTCTTTCGATTTATGGCTCATTTATGGTTTAATTGTATGTATAATTTATGGTTTAATTGTATGTATAATTTATGGTTTAATTGTATGTATTATTTATGAATCATATTTTTCTTAAACTTTGATCTGCTCTCTAGAATCACACGATTGTCCTTAGTTTGGTTTTTACAACAGAAGCAGAGTAGGTCGACGTTTATAGGTCGTCTTCAATTTTATGTCTCAACTTTAGTATACGATCTTTTGAGCGGTGTTATCATCGATTTTTGATTAAGTTTTTAAAAAAATAATATTTCGCTGGCGCTGGATTGTCGAACATTCCTGGAAAATATGAAAATGTCGTCTTCATTATCAAAATCCTCGAAACAGGAATAATTGTTTTCAAAAGTAACTCACAGATCATGAATCTCATGAAAAATAAAAAATATTATAAAATATCAACTATTTACCAATTTTCTCCTTATACACGCAACTAATAGAAGTGAGAATAGTAGCTATCAAAATCGCTTATTCTCACCGTAAGCCTATAACCCCCTTTCATTTTTCGAGAACACTCCCTTTTTTAAACATCCCAATTTAAGTTTTTTTAATGAGCCGAGATGGAATTTAAAGAATTTGAGCCGCCGTTTAAATCTGCCAAAAGCCGAGATGGAATTTAAAGAATTTGAGCCGTGGTTTAAATCCGCCAAAACCCGGTTTAAACTAAGCGCCGGCTTAAATCTTGAAACATTTGATACAATTTTAAGTGGAACCAACCATATTTAAGCCGCGGCTTAAATTTAAACCGCCGCTCAAATTCTTTAAATTCGGCCACCGGTATTGATAATTTGGACTAGGGTTATGTATCACACTCCTTTATGTGCAAAATCATTGGAGGGTGGAAATCAAATCTATATTTAACCAAAATTCCCAATCAGGATAGAGTTGAAATTTTAAATAATGATCAAACTACTTTTAATGATATTAGCAATGTTTGACCAAAAAAACTAGCTCAGAAGTAACCTGTTTACATAATGTAATTTGATGCTTACTTTATTGTAATTAGTATTCTAACAATATCAATGGTTTATCGTATTTAGAAACACATTTAAAAAAAGTTTTTTTCTCTAAACTTCTGTGATGGCGTCCTCTTAAGAATTAGGAAAATTGTTATTGACCACAGATGCTGAAGTCGTCTTTGCCTTTCCTGATACCAGCGCCTTTACATTCTGCCTCGACTTTAGCCTGGAAAATACATTTGATGAAAGAAATTAAGAAAGAAGTTTTTAAAATACTAGAATACTTGTACAAGGCAGGGCATGTTCATCCTATCTTTAAATCGTCTGTTCCGTTTCTTTCGTTTTCGTAAAAGAACGATAATTCGCCTGGAACGATTACCGGTCCTTAGAACTGCGCGTGTTCCTACTTTTTTTAATCGTTCGTTCCGTTCGTTCCCATGAAAAAACGATAGTTCCTCAGGAACGACGGCCAGCCTTAACTAGGACAGGAGAAAGAAGAAAACTGTTTATCTTGATACCAAAACATGATATACAATGATAACATGCAAGTTAAATACATGGTGTCCCAATCGGAATTACGTGACAACTTTTATATCGTCTTCGATCAATGCGGCATTTTTCATGAATACAATCATTACAGTATTCCATCTTAAACATCCAAAATAGAAAACGCCTGGGCATGAGATTTTAAAAATGTGGTCTACCATTTTTGTATTTTCAAAATTGACGGAGATATTGTAAAATTTGTTCAAATTTCAATTTATTTAATAAATCAAAATTGCCTTAATATCTATTAATAACTTCGTCAATTTTTAAGACACAAGAAAGGTAGATCACTTTATTAAAAGCTCGTAAGATTTACAGCCTCGTTTTTATACTTTCTTTGTCATGCAATAAGTATCAGAAATCAAAGACGACTTTAAACTCGTCTCTCAATTCCCATGTTTTTTGGGACTCTTTGTATGATAGATATATTACATAGGAAAAAACAAAAGATATATGCCATAGGCCTAGGCAATTATAACGAACGACAGTCTTTTAAAATGAACAGAAAATTCTGTTGACAAATGGAAAAATTTGTTAATGAACGAAAAGAAACATTCTAAAAAAATTGCACCCTCTTTAACAAATAGAAATTATAATGATAATGTCCGTTTTTGTCCAGCAACAAAAAGTTTAAACGTGTCCAGGGCTATATTGGAAAACATATCATGATGTAAACTGCAGGAAGCCTGATGCAAGATGAAAGATAAACTAGATATAAAATTAACCTTATTAAAGTTTAGTGTAGGAGCTCTGTCCAAGATACATTCAATCCATTTCCTAAAGAAAATCAAGTATGGGTTATGCGGTTATGCGTACTATAATATACTAATAAATGATCTAACCTTCTTTACTGTAAACTGGTGAATGATATAACCTGTTGTACTGTATACTGGTGAATAATATAACCTGTTGTACTATGTACTGTATACTGGTGGATAATATAACCTGTTGTATTGTATACTGGTGAATGATATAACCTGTTGTACTGTATACTGGTGGATAATATAACCTGATGTACTCTATACTAGAGAATGATATAACCTGTTGTAATGTATACTGGTGAATGATATAACCTGTTGTACTGTATACTGGTGGATAATTTAACCTGTTGTAATGTATACTGGTGGATGATATAACCTGTTGTAATGTATACTGGTGAATGCTATAACCTGTTGTACTGTATACTGGTGAATGATATAATCTGCAGTACTGTATACTGGTGAATGATATAACCAGTTGTACTATATACTGGTGAATGATCTAACCTGTTGTACTGTATACTGGTGAATGATATAACCTGTTGTATTATAAACTGGTGAATGATCTAACCTGTTGTACTGTATACTGGTGAATGATATAACCTGTTGTACTGCATACTGGTGAATGATATAATCTGTTGTACTGTATACTGGTGAATGATATAACCTGTTGTACTGTATACTAGTGATTGATTTAACCTGTTGTAATGTATACTGGTGAATGATATAACCTGTTGTACTGTATACTAGTGAATGATATAACCTGTTGTACTGTATAGTAGTAAATGATCTAACCTGTTGTACTGAATACTGGTGAATGATATAACCTGTTGCACTGTATACTGGTAAATGATATAACCTGTTGTACTGTATACTAGTGAATGATATAACCTGTTGTACTGTATACTAGTGAATGATATAACCTGTTGTAATGTATACTAGTGAATGATCTAACCTGTTGTACTGTATACTGGTTAATGCTATAACCTGTTGTACTGTATACTGGTGAATGATATAACCTGTTGTACTGTATACTGGTGAATGATCTAACCTGTTGTACTGTATACTGGTGAATGTAACCTGTTGTACTGTATACTAATAAATGATCTAACCTTCTTTACTGTATACTGGTGAATGATCTAACCTGTTGTACTGTATACTGGTGAATAATATAACCTGTTGTACTGTATACTGGTAAATGATCTAACCTGTTGTACTGTATACTGGTGAATGATATAACCTGTTGTACTGTATACTGGTGAATGATCTAACCTGTTGTACTGTATACTGGTGTACCATTCTGGGGCATTTCCGCAGCAAGACAGAGATCCGCTGTTGAAAAATATTGAAAATGATTTTATGGATTTTTATGGATGGTTAATGACCATAACCATTATTACGGTTTTTTGTGGTTTTTTGTGAAGATAAACTGCATCCTTAATAGATGTTTAGCAAGAACAACATTGTTGACATGGTTGTATGGAAAATCACTAAAAGTTTAAATTTTTAATATTTATTTCCTGACAATACCAACTAGATTTCTCCTCCCCTCCTCATCCTAAATTAGAACTTGATTTAAAGGGAGAGACCGGTAATGTATGATGGTTGAAATAAGTATGCAGTGTTGTGGAAACATGTTTAGGATATATTTAAGACAAATAAAACGTTTTAATGATGTATAATTACCGAGTTTGAGCGCAAAGGCGACTTTCAAAATCATTCATTTGGGTGGTAAGTTTTGAGAATCTAAATTTTTATAAAATAACGACAACGAAAAATGTAACACAAATTCTACAGTAAACTAATTAGTTGTTTAGGAACAGGTTGAGAAATTAAAAATTAATTCTCAACACCAAAAATAAGTAATCTCATTCAGTTATTTGTTTCTGTAATCTCTCATTCTTCACAAATATTTTTTTTATTGAAAAGACGATATTTGAAGATTTTGTAGAATTCTGCGAACAAATTTGCAAAGAAAAAGAAATTCGATATAATGATGAAACAGAAATGATTGATTCTGACATTGCATGATTTATCAACAAACGATTCTCAAAATGTAGCCACCCAAATGGATGACTTTGCGTTCAAACTCAGTAACTATACATCATTCAAAATTTCTCCACAAAACTACATTCTCAGCTCAACTACCATATATTGCCGGTCACTCCCTTAAGAATCAAAACATTATTAACTTTAAGCTTGGAATGACAAATGTCTTATGTTTCATTATTTCCCAACTTTTCTTAGTTTAAGAATGCATGGGAAGACCTAGGGTTGATACTTGTTTTAAAAGTTGCAACTTATCCCACTACCAGTCGAGACCAAAACCTTTTATTTTTTGTTAGTGATCCAATCTTTTAAATGGTTTCTGCAAAAAAAGTACACTTAGAGCTGAGCAATGATTTACTGAGCTGCTGCTGATTTAGGGGTTTGCCAAAATATTCGGACAAACACACTCCTACAAAATAAATGTATGACCACACAACAACAGCTCTGGGTAAAGTTCCATTAATAAAAAGAAGTTTTAGAAAAATGGAAAAAAATTACCTTAACAATAAAAAATTATGCTATTTTAAAATTTTTTAAATGTTAATAACTAACAGGCAATTTTTCTAATATTCATGCCTTACCTGGATAGCTCTATTTTTAAAGTTTGCTGGCTTCAGAGTTAAAAGTCTGAAAATTATCAAAAATATTTCAAACCTGAAGGAAAAGGGGACCCCCACTATCTCCTTTACAAGCTGCTGTTGTAATACCATCATCCTTTTAAAACATTAATAATTGAAGTTATTTTATAGATTTGATTAATTGATTATAAATCAAAACATCTCATAAAATGTCACCTTTTTAATTCCATTGGCACAAATTTGTTCATCAGAAATTCCCATGGGCATTGTTTTACAAAATATCTGCTTCTTTCTCTACACAAATATAGGTAATATTGTTAACCATTAATTTCAAAACCTCTGTAAAATGTCGTCTTCTACTGGAATCTCCTGTCGGAGACAGCCAAACCAAATTTTCAGCCCGCAAATTCCATTGTCCTCCTCCGACGGAGCTTGAAATATTTCGTTGTTGTGAAATCATTAAAGTTAAGCAAANAATAATCCTACCAGGCTTGTGTCAGTTAGAAAAATCAGTTAATAATCCTACCAGGCTTGTGTCAGTTAGAAAAATCAATCAATAATCCTACCAGGCTTTTGTCAGTTAGAAAAATCAGTTAATAATCCTACCAGGCTTTTGTCAGTTAGAAAAATCAATGAATAATCCTACCAGGCTTGTGTCAGTTAAAAAAATCAATGAATAATCCTACCAGGCTCGTGTCGGTTAGAAAAATCAATCTATAATCCTACCAGGCTTGTGTCAGTTAGAAAAATCAATCAATAATCCTACCAGGACTGTATCAGTTAGAAAAATCAATGAATAATCCAACCAGGCTTGTATCAGTTAGAAAAATCAATGAATAATCCTACCAGGCTTGTATCAGTTAGAAAAATCAATGAATAATACTACCCGGCTTGTGTCAGTTAGAAAAATCAATCAATAATCCTACCAGGCTTGTGTCAGTTAGAAAAATCAGTTAATAATCCTACCAGGCTTGTGTCAGTTAGAAAAATCAATCAATAATCCTACCAGGCTTGTATCAGTTAGAAAAATCAATCAATAATCCTACCAGGCTTGTATCAGTTAGAAAAATCAATCAATAATCCTACCAGGCTTGTGTCAGTTAGAAAAATCAATCAATAATCCTACCAGGCTTGTGTCAGTTAGAAAAATCAATCAATAATTCTACCAGGCTTGTGTCAGTTAGAAAAATCAGTTAATAATCCTACCAGGCTTGTGTCAGTTAGAAAAATCAATCTATAATCCTACCAGGCTTGTGTCAGTTAGAAAAATCAATGAATAATCCTACCAGGCTTGTGTCAGTTAGAAAAATCAATCAATAATCCTACGAGGCTTGCGTCAGTTAGAAAAATCAGTTAATAATCCTACCAGGCTTGTGTCAGTTAGAAAAATCAATCAATAATCCTACCAGGCTTGTGTCAGTTAGAAAAATCAATCAATAATCCTACCAGGCTTGTGTCAGTTAGAAAAATCAATCAATAATCCTACCAGGCCTCTGTCAGTTAGAAAAAAATATGAATTGTTAACTTACCCTAACTCTGGGAGCTTGCAAGAAGGTATTAATCTGATTGATGCACTCATTCGTGTTCACCAAGGTTACATTTATTTCTAGCAGTTTACCACCTTTATCATCTTTTTCGGTCTTTCCAAACCCCTAAATTTATTTGTTTATAGTAAATAACATTAACATATTCTCAGATTGTGTGAAAACCAACTAGTTGTTCTGAGAAACTAATGTTTTAAATTGTTTAAAATTGAAAATTCTATTTGAGGAAATTAGATTGCTGTAATTAGGCTGCTCTTTTTTTGGTGGTCACTTAGGGTGGCCATGGAGATGGTAAATCTGAGAGTCTTACTTGATTTTATTTGGAAAATATTGATATTCATAAATTGTTTAAAGCAATGATTGCAGAATGCACATCCAAATAGATTGTTAGGTACAATAGATGGCAACGTAGAATTTGAACACTCAGTACAGCTGTATTCTTACGTCAGAAGTGTCAACTCAGTATTGTGGCTGACAAAATTATTAATAATAGTGATTATTTTAGAATAAAGAGCTTACCTTACAGTGAAAAAGGTGCAATTTCAATTGTTATTTTTTTCCGTTTTTACACTTTTTATTTGATCTTGAAAAACATGTCAAATAATGTGAGAAAATTTCGTTTTCCTTGTTATATTTGACATTTGTGACATCGTGTATAATTGGTCCATTTCTCTGTTGCCACCTATTGTACTTGATAATCTATTTGTGCACATCAATATCACACCTGAGCTGTAGCCACTTTGTCAGGTAGATCAAGACCTTTATCTAGACAGATTGGAGTATCTCCAAACTCCTCTGGTTTAAACTCTACACGACGTCCTAGTTCTATAAGAGCTATGTCAGCGTGTAGTTCTCCGTATCTGTATCTTGGATGGAGATAAATATTTTTGACCTCAACTAATTCCTGAAATAACAAGATGTTTTATTTTCAAAATAGCCAAAAAAAAGTCTTGATTTAGAGCCTTTTTTTTAATTATACCTAATAAATAATGAAATAAGTTTACAAAGTTAAGCCATTCTATTTAAAGTCTAATACAGTATCTTGAAAGCATTTACCTTAAGGCTTGGTATTGTTGTCCTTAGAATCTGTGACTTTATCCTTCTTTCTCCATCTAGGGTGGGATTAATTTCATCAGAGCAGTGAGCAGCTGTTATCATCCATCTGAATCAAGCTTTTTAATTCATTCAATATTTTTTATAATTTCAGAAAACATAACATAACTTTTTTGTTATGTCTTAAGCTTGTGTCCATTTTCAGGTTTCAATTCATGATTATCAAGTGAACTCTGAAAAGGTGCAAAAAAAGTTTTACAAATTTCAAATTTGATTATTCCAAACCTTTGCTCTTTTTTACTAGATTAAATTTTGACCCTGAGATAAGATACTTGCTAAGAACAAACCAAAATTAGATAATCCTTTTTTGGTGAAGTTTTTCTCTTTTTTCTTTTTTTTCCCTTCTACTAAGAAAAGCAAGTTATTACCCATCAACATTATAATAAATAATTATAAAAAATGATTAAAAAGAATATAAAGATTCTGTATAAAATCCTACTTGTCTGCTATTATTGATGCGGAACAGAAGACTGTTGTGTTAGAATTAGCATTACCCAAAGCTGTGTCATCTTCGTTGTTGCTAAAGGAAGTACAAATTAGGTTTTTTATTAATTATTTTCTTCATGTTTAATGCTATACTTTGCCTGCTTTTGTTACCTTACTTCACAAAAATTTGCATCAGTATCTGCATCCTCTGCTCTAAATATATTTAAATGTCATCAAATGTAAAAACAAAATAAATCAAAACATTCATACATAGAAACATAAAACACAACTTAACAAGAAAAGTGATCAAAGGAATTAAGTCTTTGCCACAACCTCTGATTTTCTAATCCCTTTATCTGTTGTAGAGCTTAGATTTTCAAACTATGAATTCTGTTTCAAATAGTCTAAGTTTGAAATATCAAAGGTTGGCACCATCAGGTTGCGCGCAAAGGTATAAATTAAACTATAAATTTAAATGGGGTGTATGGATAATTTCAAGTGACCTTACATTTAAAAATGGTACTCTTTATCTATATTAATGAGTAATCTTTTCAAACGTTTTAATTGCTGAACACTTACTTTTTAAACTGTTATATATTTAAAAAATATCAATGGCTATGATCTAAAAGTGGCAGAAAAATAAATTTTACTTTTGATTTTTGAATGTTTGAAAACCGCTTTTAACATTAAACAGTTGATACTTTGAGTTGCGTTAAGTAACAGATCAGATGCGTTGAAGTTCTTAGTACACAGCCTACTGCAGCTTACAGGAATTCAAGAGATGACCAATTTATGTTAAAATAGAGAAATCTATCTACTTTATGAATAGTCATTGCCATTTGATAATCGGGCATTGCCATTTGGCCTCTTTGCATGGAGGGTCACTTGAAATTACCAAAAAGGATGATTCCTGTCATACTTACTTGGCCTCTTCTGACGTCTCATCAGAATTTTTGATGACCTCAAGACCAATGCTTTCAAGAAAGTCAAGATCTTTATATCTGAAAATAAGAGTAATTTAAATGTCAATGCAAATCAAAATGAAGAAGACATAAGTTTTAGAAGTGATTGGTTACCTGCCACAATCAAAGTTAGGATCTGAAATACGAGAATATGATTTCCCTTGATAGACTTGCTTCTCCGTGCTTAAGGTTGATAAAAATCCACATGATCCACAGCTCTCTCTAGAATATTAAAGTGTATTCAAAATGTGCCAAAAGACAAGTAATAAATATTTATCTCGTCATTACATGGAGGCAATAGGGTTTGAGTAAATATAAGAGGGACTAAGCTTCCCAAACCTTGTTATGGTCCTCAAGCCTGCTCTAGCGGAGCCACTTTGCTACATAGCAATTCTCAAATTAGCAATATTTTGTAGAACACAAGTGATTTTTTTTCGCTTAATTGGTATAGAATCCTAATTTTAATTCTAAATAAGCGATTTATTTTTATTTTTTAATTTAGAGGGTAAAATTGTAGAATATATATCATTGCTTATACCTGCAACTTCATCATGGATAATAATTTTGAAATAATTTTATTTAAAAGTTGGAAAACGTAATTGAGCCTTTGCCACAAACTCAAATTTTCTTATAGTCAGATTATTTGATCCAACAGAATTCATGGTTTTAAATATCTTAGGTCCACAACCTTGGGTTGCAAAGATACAGCGATGAGTAATTAAGAATTTGTTACAAAGACTTAATTATTTTATTTGCTGTATGCAAACCCAGGGGTTTTGGAACTTCCTTCTACATCCTTATATGGAGTATTGACTCCACAATTGTCTTTGGTTTGGTTATTTGTACAGTGGTAGACGATTATATCAAAAGGATGAAGACGACTTTTTTATTTTAGTTTTTATTGTTAACAAGTTTTTTTTCGAATTACAAGTTTACAAGTAATCAAAAAGAAGCTTTTTTGATTGACAGCTTCTCTTGACTTTTTTGTTTACAAGTATCAATGCTTAACAGCTTGATATGAAATCGAAAGTTGTCTTCGTAATATTGATGTAATCGCCTACCACTATATATAAAACAAAACTAAAGTTTGAAAATTCTTCCCAACATTAATAAAACAAATTAAGAGTTATTTAAAACTAAATTGAATAAATAGGTTGCATGAAACAATTTCTTTTTCTATTATTGTCTAAGTACATTTCTCATCATAAGATAAATCCATTGAAGGCAATTATAACAGTATAAGATGTGATGTTAGTACCTACAAGAATGGGCCATGAAGAAGGAATAAGCAGTACAGTATCCTTCCCTAGCCCACTGAGGACATAATGGGAATTCATCCACACACCCCTATTGAGTAGAAACATTTTAGAAATGAGGATTAGAGGACAAACATTAATAGTTTGAAATATCTAAGGTCTACAACATTGGGTTACAAAGATATAGAGATTAGAAAATTAGAGTTTGTGGCAAAAACTCAACTCCTTTCAATTTGCATAAAGGAATTTATTTTCCTTTGATATATCAAATTTAGATTATTTAATCTAACAGAACTCAAAGTCTGAAATATCAAAGGTCAAGACATTGAGTGTTGCAAAGATAAAAAAGTTAGAGCTTGTTGCCACTTCACATATTATATCATATATATTTTTTTTGGTTTTGCATGAAATTTCCCAGTTACATTGATTTATTTGACAGTGCTGGTCAAATTTGTCCATTTTGTAAAAAAGTAACATTAATGATTTTCTTGACTTTCCCTGTAAACTATTTTGTCAGAACGTAAATGGTGCAGATGCATTTAGGTTCTATTAAAGCCAATGTTACATGGACATCTTGTAGATAATTGACGTCCTCTGGACATCATTTATACGTCCTATGGTGTCTAGGGATAATTTGGATCATCTTTGTTATTTAAAATCCACCAAATTGAAGGAATCATTATTTTCAAAAGTTACAAAATGAAAATTACTATGTTGTGTGTGTTTGCATTCTTAAAACGCCTTAAAGGGAGTGACCGGCTATGTAAGATCTGTAGATCCTGAGTTTGAGCGCAAATTCGACGTTCAAAACTCTTACTTTGGGGGTGGATACGTTTTCAGAATTAGTTTTTTTAAATTATTAAATAACGACGACATGAAATGTAAAAAAGTTCTACAATAAACTACAGACGTCATGTACAGGAACATGTTGAGAAAAAAAAATTAATCTTATCATCGAAAATAAGTAATCTTGTTCAAATATCAGTTTCTATTTTGATGCTCAAACTTAGGATTTACATATCTTTAAAAAGTTTAATATGTCTAAAATGAATCCGAAAGAAGTTTTCCACAACACTGCATACTCAGTTCAACAATCTTACATAGTCGGTCACTCCCTTTTAAGTCATACTTTGCATAACTAATTTTTATGATAAAAAGATATATACCTTGCTGCCGCAACGGTTGCAGGACTCCATACATCCTTTCATTGTAAATTGAAACATGTCAAGATTTGTCACAACATTCTGATACGGATCAACCTCACTAAATATAGAATTCTGATACGGATCAACCTCACTAAATATAGAATTCTGATACGGATCAACCTCACTAAATATAGAATTATTCTGATACGGATCAACCTCACTAAATATAGAATTCTGATACGGATCAACCTCACTAAATATAGAATTCTGATACGGATCAACCTCACTAAATATAGAATTTTCTATTTTAAAAGGGCAGTCAAATTATGGATTAATTGGCATATTTTTAGAGACGTCTGCGGGAACAAATTAGACAACGTTATTAGGGTTAGTTGAAGCAATCTCTTCTAACACTAAATTTTCTTCTAACATTTAGGGAAGACGCTTCAAAGGAATTGAGACTTTGACACGAACTCTGTTTTCTAATCCCAATATCTTTACAACCCAATGATATAGATCTTAAATATTTCAAAGGAAGATTTCTGTTAGATAAAAACATCAAAATTTGAAATATCAAAGGTTTACACCATCCGGTTGCAAAGATATAGGGATTAAAAAATTTGAGTGCTAAAGACTAAATTCCTTTGGGACCAATTGGCATGTTTTAATAGAAGGCTGCGGAAACAAAATAGCCGATTGTTAAAAAACCATTAGAAAATTTGTATTATTTCTTATTCTTACATACACATTACAAATACATTTGGTTTCATGTTAAGTACATTCATCCCGTACCTCTGCCCCTTTAGTTAAAGTAAATTCAACCTATATGAAGCATAAAGTCTGACCGGGTCAACCTTGTTGCACCAGTTGAGTGTCTGCTTTATTAACCCAATGTCCGGGCGATACAGTACAAACTAAGACCGGAAAGGTTGACCCGGCTCAGAAATTCAAATGTACTACGGCTACCCGTGACAAAAGTTACCTTGTAACGAATGACTTGTCCAGTGCACAAGCTCCTTTTTTACTCCATCTTTGACACAGGTTTGTCTGATCCTCACACTTTCGAGGTTTATTGTTGACTGGAAACCTAGGAATATATCCGAAAATGTATCCAGAAAACAGAAAATATATCCGGAAAACAGAAAATATATCGAGGAAAACAGAAAATATTTCCGGACAACAGAAAATATATCCGGAAAACAGAAAATATTTCCGGAAAACAGAAAATATATCCAGAAATCATAAAATATATCCAGAAAACACAAAATATATTCGGAAAACATAAAATATTTCCGGAAAATAGAAAATATATCCGGAAAGCATAAAATGTATCCGGAAAACAGATAATATCTCCGGAAAACAGAAAACATATCCGGAAAACAGAAAATATATATACGGAAAATAGAAAGTATATCCGGAAAACAGAAATTGTATCCGGAAAACAGAAACTATATCCGAAAAACAGATTATGAATTCGGAAGACAGGAAAATATATATGAAGACTGAAAAGTACACACATAATCTTTGATATATACGATTTCAGGGGATACATAAAGGGTGTCCCACGAAACATGACTGTAGCAAGACGACTTGAACGGTAAAGAAAAGGCAGACCACATTGAAAAGGCAGACCACATTTTGGGTATGCCAGGACTAGACAAATGTTGTGATTATTGTTTCAAGAATCATACAGTGATAACCAGAAAACTCTGAAATTAGAAGACGACTTTTAGACTCAAGTTACGACTTTAAATATTCCAATTATCATCGGACACAGAAATTGTGCAGTGTAAACAGACCCCTTTCAAAAGTGTCTTATGGTCAAATTATTTGCTTTGTAGCAACCTTAAATACACTTAAGTATTGCTGTAAAGTCGTCTTCCTATTTCAGAGTTTTCTGGTTATCACTGTACATGCTAAAGTAGGTTTACGACTAAATGTGACAATTATGTTCCAAGATTGAAGACGACAGTCAATTCGTCTTGTTGCCGTCATGTTTCGTGGGACACCCTGTATCTCCTGAGAACAGGACTAGGCTCTTGATTATATAAATTCTGTGATACATTCGTGTCAATGTTAAATTTTTTAAAATATATATAATGCAACCCTTGCTATCCTTTCTAAATTGGGACCTTTTCAATTTGTCCAAAATTGTGCAAAACAAAGTTGCAAAAAAGCGGAATAGTGAGCAAAATGACATCTGTGAATGATTGCGCAAATTGCTCTTTTAATAATAATAAATATTTTGCGTTAAATTTCGCGCCAAAAGTTTTGCAAATGAATTCACCTAGTTTTTAGAAAGGAGTTAAAATAAAACAAACCAATTCCCAGGAAAGGTAATTGCTCTATAAATAATATCCTAAATGATACAAAATATACCTAGGGTTCTCAGGAAGTTTAGATGTTTGCAAAATATTTTTGAATGGACAGCAAATCATAAGTTCCGCAGATGCTTCGTCAAAACTGCAAAACCTTGTTGTCTGTTCTAAGGTTTGAGGGTTCAGATCTAGTTCTTCCATTATATTACACCTGAAAACAAAATATCTTTAAAAGACATGTTTATTTTTTGTTTCTCAGAAGCAATGGAGAAATTCATAGAAATAATCACTTTTCGAGTCAGATTAAGATTGACACAGATTAAGGTTTCCAGGGTAATGTTGTAAATCAAGCATTGTCATCTTTGCATGGAGGGTCTACATGAAATGTGAAATCCTAGATTTTAATAAAGAGTTTAAAAAGAGAATTACTAACTTACTAAAAATCAACTAAAAGTTTTCAAAGAAATTACAAGTGTACTGACTTAAAGGGAAGTGCACGCATAATTTTCAGTGAATCTACATGCAAGGATAGCAAAAAGTTATCTGATCAATAATGTGGAAGATATTGTTGTTTATATAGGTTTAATTCTAATAATTCCCATATGCTGTCCTGCAATAGAAATTCACATGACACTTTTGTTAGAGAAACCACAATTGAAATTAATATTTTTAGGATTCATAAACATTGATATCCAATTCATATTTGATCAGACAAAACTTTTAAAGGTACTCTTGTGAGTCGGAAATTGTCATTTTACATGGCGGGTTACGCTTACATCTCCTTTTAATGTGTTCAAGAGATAAGCTATATTTGTTATTACCTTGAGAATGGAGTACAAGTTGTGTTAACAACACCTAGACAGTTAATCTCCACATTACTCAGTAAAACTTCCACCTCTGCGATCTAAGTAAGGTAAACGTTTATGCCTTCAGCCTTTCAATTCCATTTTTAAAATCTTTAAAGTCAAAAGTTTTAATAAATAGGAAATAAGGTTTAATAAATAAGAAATAAGGTTTAATAAATAGGAAATAAATTTTTATAACAAAATATGAGTTAACCCTAAAAATGCAGAAGGGTAAACTCCCCTTTTAGAAGTTAGAACTCAATGATGAATAAAAAATGCTTCCGAAGTTAAAAATTTTTCAAAAATAAATTCTTTTAATTTTTCAAATTTTCCGACATACTTTTTGCATTTTTAAAGCCACACTCAAACCTTTTACAAATACAAATAAACTAAAATGGAATTTCTAATTTGCCACAAACTTTTTAACTTTGATTATTTGATCTCGAGCAAAGTTCAAGATTTAGAATGAAATAGTCAGGATGCAAAGACACTGTATCAAGTAATGAGTTCCAATTGTAAAAATGTTTTGTTCTTACATATTCATAATCAGTATTATATTCATTGTTTGCTCCATCGTCATACTGTCTTTGATCTATTCCATCATCATATTGGCTCACATCTTCTCCTCCAACTGTTAAATCATCTAAGCATAAAGATCACTAAATGTTCAAATTAAATGTACAGTTTGTCAAAAACTAATTTTTTTTGTTAAAAACGTAATTTGAAGTGACCCTCCATGTAAAGAAGGCAATGCCGGATTTACAATGGCACTCTTGAAAGCTTTGTCTGATCAAGTATGAATTAGATATCAATGTTTTTATTCCTTTAAACTGTATTTTCATTTGAGGTTTCTCTGCCAAACCTCTGCTTGTTTATTATAAGCAATGGAAACTCAGAGAAATATACACTTTTCGTGTCATAAAAACAACGTTATCTTCCACGTTTTTAAAATCAGATTAAAGGGAGTGTTCGCGAAAAATGAAAGGGGGTATAGGCTTAATGCGATAAAAAAGCGCTTTTGATCGCTACTAATCTTACTTCTATCTGTTGCGTCTATAAGGAGAAAATTGATAAAGACGTCTCATACCGAAGAGCGTAGCGCCCATACAAATTGAGGAAGTTGGAACATACGACTTAGACCGTAAAAAAATTAAATTAATATCACAAATCATTCAGATATTACAACCTATAGTCATCGATTATCTTTCGCCACATTTGTATATATTTAATATTTCATACTAGTTTTGATTTTGTTTTTTAAAATAATATTTAGCTTACAACTTGTTTTCGAACATTCCTGGAAAATATGAAAATGTGGTCTTCATTACCAAAAATCCTCGAAACAGGAATAAACGTTTTTATAAGTAACTCTCAGATCATAACAATTAAAACATATTATGAAAAATCAACTATATATAAATGTGGCGAAAGATAATCGATGACTATAGTTTGTAATATATGAATGATTTGTTTGAAATTAAATTGATTTTTTTTACGGTATAAGTCGTATGTTGCAATTTTCTCAATTTGTATGGACGCCATGTTATTCGGTATGAGACGTCTTTAACAATTTTCTCTTTATAAACGCAACAGATGGAAGTAAGCTTAGTGGCGATCAAAAGCGCTTTTTTATCACATTAAGCCTATACCCCCTTTCATTTTTCGCGAACACTCCCTTTAAGGCTTCAAAGGTACCGTTGTGAATCGGGCATTGTCATCTTTTCATGGAGGAGTTTAAATTACGCCTTTTGTCCCTTTAAATCTAGAAAATACCTGCTGCAACGGATTCTGCAGCATTGTCGTAATCGTCGTAAACAGGCTGAATTCATCAATATACTTTCGTTTTTTCAAACAACAGAAATGTCAAGAAGGCAATATTTTGGACAGGTTTAATGATCATGAGGATAGTCTATCTATATATTCAACGTCTTTTTAGTGCTTTTTATCAAGTATAAGTGCTCTATCCCGATGTCATATAGATTCAGTCTATTTTGACTTTGTCACATTGGTCGTTTTTGATTTGGGCTTTGATTTTACCGCTCTAACTCTCAAATGCCTTTCTGTAGCCCTTTACATGTTCATTTTACGATTGTAAAGTTCCTTTGTTAGCTTTGGTTTTTAAGAAGTAATTGGCAAAATTCTCATAAATTTTAGCTTGAGAGCTTGCAAATTTTAAATCACAGTGATATATTTTCCACATTTTGTACGCAAATTCCACATTTTGTAAATAAATTTTCATTATGTCACATCATCAAATGAGAGACTAAGCTTGTCAAAAGGCAGTTAAAAGAACATTGATCTAATTGAACAACAGGGTGTCCCAAAAAACATGGGAATTCAGTGACGAATTCGATATCGTCTTTTAAAATAATTCTTTGATTTAGTATAGTGATACCTACTGAGAAAGCTGTAATCTGTAAGAGTTTCGTCTGCTATGTTCACATTTTGTTTGTTAATGTTTTGACTGCATACGGTTGTACTTAGTATAACAAGAAAATTGCAGTATACAAACAGAGTAAACTTGTCCGTCTTCACTGTTCATCTTGCGGAGACATTATAGACACATCTTTACAGTCTTTTACCGTTTTCATAAAATAAACTCTAGCAGACATAATAATATTATTGCTTTTGAAATTAGGTATTACAATGCTAATTCATAACAAAGGCGATATTGAATTCGTCACTGAATTCCCATGTTTTTTGGGACACCCTGTATTAAAGATAATTAAACAGATTACTGAAAAATAATTCATTCTTCAATGCGTATAACGCTTATCTCGCAACTTCCCCTCCAAAAAAACTGCTGCAATTATAATTTTGTAAGTAAATAAGCTGCTGCATTTAAAATTTTGAATGTATTTAAGCTTCTGATATTAAATTTTATAAGTAATTAAACTGCTGCAATCATAATTTTGTTAGTAAATAAGCTGCTGCATTTAAAATTTTAAATGATATAAGCTTCTGATATTATAATTTTGTGTTAGTAAATAAGCTGCTGCAATTTTAATTTTGTAAGTAAAGAACCTGCTGCCATTTTAATTTTTCGACAATGGAAGTTTTTTAACCAAGTTCAAATTTTGCAAATGAATTCTGTGTAGAGACTGTATGTGTAATTTCCATAGATAAATAAATAAACATAGATAGCTTATGTACGCCAAATCACCAAGAATTGTACAGTCCGCGAACTCATACTTCTAGGGGTCAAAGTGTACTTCATTGATAAGCGGGGTGGTTTGGTGTTTTAATGGATTTCATAATAGAGTGTAAAATAACTCAGGGAATGGAACTTTTTGAACAACAATATTTCACTGAGCAATATATCATACTGACGAAAACTGAGGAAGGACATGAGAAGGACTGAACTAACTTAAATTTCTCTCTACAGAACTCATGTACACCACAAGTACTCAATGACATAAGAACAGCCAATGTTCACAACCGACCTAGTTAATCTATTGAATATCTTTAAAACATCTCTGTACATTTATATCTTTCAAGATGAAAAATGTCGTCTTATCTATCTTTATCTATGGTAATTTCAGGTGATTCTCCACGCAAAGCTGGTAATGCCCGATTTACAACGATACCCTTGAAATCTTAATCTGATCAAAAATATTTAAGAGAAAACGTCGTTTTTATTACTCTAAAAGTGTTTATTTCAGAAAAGTGACATTTTCAGTTTATAGGAACAAAAAATTGGATATTTAATTTATACTTGATCAGAGAAAACTTTAATGGGTACCGTTGTAAATCATGCATCGCCATCTTTGAATAGAGAGTCACTTACAATTACGCTTATAGCAGCTTACAGCAGCTTACAGCAGCTTACAGCAGCTTAAAACAGCTTACAGCAGCTTACAGTAGCTTACAACAGCTTACAGCAGCTTAAAACAGCTTACAGCAGCGTACAGTATCGTACATCAGCTACAGCAGCTTACATCAGCTTACAGCAGCTTACAGTAGCTTACAACAGCTTACAGTAGCTTACAACAGCTTACAGCAGCTTAAAACAGCTTACAGCAGCGTACAGTATCGTACAACAGCTACAGCAGCTTACAGCAGCTTACAGTAGCTTACAGTAGCTTACAACAGCTTACAGTAGCTTACAACAGCTTACAGTAGCTTACAACAGCTTACAGCAGCTTACAGTAGCTTACAGTAGCTTACAACAGCTTACACCAGCTTACAGCAGCTTAAAACAGCTTACAACGCTTACAGCAGCTTACATCAACTTACAGCAGCTTTACAGCAGCTTATAGCAGCGTATAGCAGCTTACAGCAGCTTACAACACCTTACAACAGCTTACAGCAGCTTACAACAGCTTTCAGCAGCTTGTAGCAGCGTACAGCAGCCCCCTTTTACTAGAAAAGTTATGATTTCCTGAGTATATGTTGGACACCACGCATCAGTGGGGAAACATATTGATACCTTTGTATCAATATTCCTGGGACAGCACACTACAGGATGGATTCCACGTTGCTAGAAAACAACAAGGTTGAAAAATAATGGATTGAAAACTTAATTCTTTCCCTCAATGACATTTTTCAATAACAGAAATGAATTTGCCTATTTCCAAAAATAAAAATATAAAACAAAGGAATTGAGTCTTTGCAAGAAACTCAAATTTTCTTATTCCTATAGCTTTGCAACCTGATGGTGTACACCTTTAATCCTACAAAGTTGGATTGTTTTACCTAATGTAATTCATAGTTTGTAAAAATATAAAGATTAGAAAATTATAGAGTTTGTGGCCAATACTCAATTCCAGGAAACTGTAAAGGGTTTGTAAATTTGCATTTGTGAACCTTTGAATTTTGAAATATCAATGCGTAATTAAAATCAATTCCTAGCTTTCTTTTGTTTACTTAATTGTTGTTTTATAAATTTTGTGTTTAAATAGACAAACTCATCTCACGAAACCTCGATTCAAGAAGAAGAGGGGGTTATTCAGTACACATACTGCAGAGTCTGTAGGGATTTGTTAAAACTTCAATTTTGGTATATATTTAGATCAGATATTTAGGAGGCATTTTGCAGTTGTACACATCAATATGAAATGATCTGAGAGATAGATAGATATTTTTCCCCTAAAATGAAAATAATTATAAGAAAGCAAACGAAGAAAGCACTGAAAAGATAACATGTTTTTAAAAATACACAAACAAACCCAATTTTTATAAAATAGTACAGTTTTGCCCAGCTTGTCTGCTGTACTCAGTACACTGAACCTCTATCAATATACTCTGTATTATAAAAGTATTGTAATTGTTCAGGCCCCAAATTATGTGGGTTGTTCTGAAGAAAAAGGTGAATACCCCTTGAATGGCCGATATATTTATAGTGCACTGTTGGACAAGGAACAGGTTTATAATTTACTTATCTTTGCAACTGATCAAGACTTCTTTCTTCTACAGAAGAAAAACAATCTTGAGCTGAAAACTATAGAATTGTGGATACTGAGATCAATGCTTGATCTTCACTTTTTATTAATTTCAAGATTAATTTATTCCTAAGTTTGTATCCGCAAAAGTGTAAATAACTCAACCAATCGAGTGGCATTTGGAGAAACCGGAACAGCCAATCAGAGAAGCCGGGAAATTTGAAATTTTGCGCGCCATTGAATGAGTGAACTCTCATTGGTCGGATGCAGGAAAGTAGAAGTGTTCACACTGGATATTAACATTAACCCATCGGGATTAAAGATATCCCATTCTTAAGTTCCCATAATTTAAATACTTGACAATTTTGAAGATTTTCATCCTATTATTAAAGATAATTTGGTAGTGTGTTCTAAAGTTAAATATTTAATAATGCCACTGTTTCATGCACTCAGAACAGAGTTTGTCTGGATATTAAAAGTATTGTTTTTAAAAAAGCAAGTTAGAATTTTATTATGGCATTGTTTATAATAAAAGAGTTCACAAGAACGAGGAGAACCAAATTTTATAAAAAAAAAATACATCAATATGACTTTAGATTTAACGATTATTAAAATAACCGAAACAACAATTGGAAAAGTATTAAAGACCCATTAGAAGCGTGACTAATCCCGAACAAGATATAGTAATGAAGATGAATATAGAAGGAATACAGAAACTCAAAACATCAGGGATGAGGTACACGCTGATACAGGTTTTGAGGGGAAACACAGCCTTCAATAGACTTTAAATCAAATACCATAAACTGGTTTTTCACCCTCCTCACAATGGAAACTCGATTACGCATGGCAGACCTCTGACAATGATAGGCAAAAGACACACTCCCGTGTTTTAAAGCGATGAGACAGCATGCTTAGCGGGTTATTTTTTCTTTAAAAAATCTGTTCACGTGAGAATACACATTAAAAGTGAGGACTACGGTATTTCTCATACCTGTTACCCTTACACCTCCATCCTCATCCGCCTGCCTCCTAAATTCCAACCTTATCCTTCTTCACGAGCAGATATAGTGGAACTCAGAAACTGCTTTGCTGTGGAATCGTAATCAAAACTTTCTGAGAGAGATCATCATTGGTTGCATTGGGTGTTCCTTTCCTAGGGGGTACATCTAAATCACCTTGAAGCTAGCCGAATGCAGTTAAGGCTAGGAGGCCATTTAATTTCTTTCTAAATTACTGCAAGACACTGATACATGTAATGCACCTGACAAAGGGAAGTTCTCATTACACAATGTCAGCAATAAACCTGCATAGATGGCCGATATCAAAAACAACTAGAATAATTACAGAAACTCAAGAGCTGATATTGAAATACTACAAATTGCCTGATCAGCATCTCGAATCTGCATATTAACCATCCTGGGGGGGCGGGGGTATGCAGCTAATTGAATGAGCAAAACAGGACAGCCAGGAAACAAGAAGATTTGAAAAATGATTATCTGCATTCTGCATTAAATATATGGTATCAAATAAATTGTTTCATAAAAAAAAAAAAAATTGATAAAGTTAAAAAAAAACCATTAGCAGACATCTATATTCAGGGATATTTATGGATCCTAAAGATACGAAATACAAAACCTTAAAAAATAATTTAATTTTTTGTTGTTGTTAAAAGTTTAGGTATTTCTTTAAAAATTATAAAACTTAACCCGTAAATGGATATTAGATGCAAAAAGTGACGGTTAGATGGCATAGCAGTCAAAAACCTTTTGTAACAATATAGCATGTCGTGCCGGTACAGGCATAGGCCTACTTAGGCCAGCACGTTAAAGCTGATTAGCTATCTGTATATATCTGTAAACTGTGTGCTTAATTACCTCAGTGCTTGGAGCTGGAATAGGGATTTCAAGCCTGCCCAGACTCTCACAGTCCTGTAAACACAAATATTTCGAATAAAAAAAATTGCTATCACTATTTCACCCTAAACTGGACGTTCGGTGCGTACGGCAGTAGCCTGACCGTACTGCAGTAGCCTGACCGTACTGCAGTAGCCTGACCGTACTGCAGCCTGACCGTACTGCATTAGCCACCGTACTGCAGTAGCCTGACCGTACTGCAGTAGCCTGACCGTACTGCAGTAGACTGACCGTACTGCAGTAGCCTGACCGTACTGCAGTAGCCGGACCGTACTGCAGTAGCCTGACCATACTGCAGTAGCCTGCCCGTACAACAGTTGCCGGACCGTACTGCAGTAGCCTGACCATACTGCAGTGGCCTCACCGTACTGCAATAGCCTGACCGTACTGCAGTAGCCTGACCAAAATAATTGGAGGTTGTGATGTAAATTTTAATTTTACAAAACTCATAAATAATTTATACTGAAAAGAAAAGGATTAATAAAAAAAACAATTCAGCCAATTTAAAGATAAATACTGTAGTTAGACATTTATGTTAATAAATAAATATTAAATATAAATATAAATAAATGTTAAATCAAAAGAAATGGAGTCTTTGCCACAATCTCTGACTTTTTCATCCCTATATCTTTGCAACCTGATGTCGTAGACTCTGTATTTCTGATGCATATGAAATCTGTTAGAAATCTGATTATGAAATATCAAAGAGGTGCACCATAAGGTTGCAAAGATTTAGGGGTTAGAAAACTTTTAAAAAAACTGAAGAGCTCTTTTGATAAGTTTCCATTAATTTCAAAATCTTGATTGAAATTTAGCTCAGCCCTGCTCAGTAACCATCTCACGAAAAGTGTTAAGCATAATCCAAAAGAGATATATTGATTTTTACCAAAAACATTCTGTTTTTATAATAATTTTGCCAGCCCATACTTGCAGTACCTGGATATATCTAGATGCTCCTTTATAATCTAGTTCAGCGGGAAGAGAGCAGAAATCAGAAGGAAGTTCAGGAACATAACTGTCTTCCCTTTCTTCAACTGTAAATATTTAAAAACATTTTAATAGAGAAATTCTTCAGAGAAATTCTGAAAACTCGGACTTTCTAATTTCTCTATATAAGCAATCCAATGTCGTAGACCTTTTATATTTCCCTAATAGATCAGAAAAAATAAGTTTGAAATATCAAAGGTTTACACCATCAGGTTGCAAAGATATAGGTTTTAGAAAATCAGAAATGACTCAATTTCTTTGTTTTTAGTTGCAGTATTGTAACCTTTAAATTAACATTTAAGGAGAAAGTTGATCTAAAAAAACAATTTTAGACATTAACACTAGACACTAGACAGCTGTTGTCTGAAGCATTTTGTCTTTTTCTTGTTTCTTAGAAACCCGATATTTTAAAGAAAGTTCCATTAGCCATAAGTTTGAAATATCAAAGGTTTATAATCATCAGGTTGCAACGATATAAGGAATAGAAGATTAAAATATATAGTATTCAGTTCCCAAGTCCTGAATTTGTATCTTTTGATACAGGGCTACCCACAAAGGATGAGACTTCAGAGACGTTTGGCCGGGTTTAGGGAACATATATACGAATGTGTTGTTTTTATTATATAAATTTATAAGGAAACTTAGCTTACCAATAGGAACAGAGAACACACTCTGCAGAAATGATTTTTAGTCATAAAAAAATTAATAAAAACGACAAGAAAAAAAATTAAATAATTTTACGAATATATTTAAATTTCTAAAATAATCATTCCTTAAAAATGAAAATTATTTTTAGTGCATACATCAATATCATTTTTGTAGGAACAAATCTGAAATGATAACGACTAACTATATTTTTATCTAAGTTTACAAAGTAGAAAATATATATATCATGACGTGGCTTCTGGAAAACTCCCCCTATTCTTCTCCTGTGCCGCGAAAAGGTTNATAATAATAATAATAGTAATATTAATGATAAAAATAATACTAATAATAATCAAAATAATGATAATGATTGTATCAATAATAATAATGATAATGATTGCATCAATAATAATAATGATAATGATTGCATCAATAATAATAATGATAATGATTGCATCAATAATAATAATGATAATGACCTAAATCTAGTCAATTCATGCAGTGAGAACTTTAGAATTCTGGAATAGAAAGATGACTTTAAGCCGAATATCCATGAGAACAGGTAACAAAATTGATGAATAGGGGAAAACCCATCATTGTGGTATGAGAGGGACCCGGATTAACAATAAATGTAATAAAGGCAGGGTCTTAATATTACCTGGAAAGATAAATGGATAAGGTGTTCATGTACTATGCTAAAGATCATACTAAACCAAGAGTTTAGGGGGGCCAAGGATGTTGGCCTGGGGCTACAGAATACTACGGGTTCTGATATCCCTACACCCGGGTACGCTTCCATTCAGGGTTCATAAATAATACATGCCTTAAGCGGATTAACCAGACTACCTCAGGCGTGAGGAATACACGTGTCATTAGGGGGAGTGCTAAGGGGTGGGAATGCCTGGGGCCAGGAACAACCCCAGCAATTCTCTTTAAATAAATAAATAAATAAGTTATAATTTTGACTCTGTGCATTGTACACAGACCCGTTTTACTTTAGAAGATGATTTACAAGATGCTGATAAAGCTATTTGCATAATATAAACACACATAAAATTGATTAAATGTCGTCTTCCTTTTCCACATTTGTATGTGTCCTACTGTAATAATTACTGTTAAATGATTATTGTTTCTAAAATATAGTTAAAATCAGTGGCAGCTTCAAGAAGAAGGAAATAATTCAATAATTGTAATTTTTTCCCTTTCACTGGCCNGTGCCCTCTTTCTATTGTTGTGCCCTAAATAAAAGGAAATAGAAGTTGCCCCCTCTCTATATTTGTGCCCTAAATAAAAGGACTAAAAGTTGCCCCTTCTCTATATTTGTGCCCAAAATAAAAGGACTAGAAGTTGCCCCCTCACTATAGTTGTGCCCTAAATAAAAGGGAATAAAAGTTGCCCCCTCTCTTTAGTTTTGCCCTAAATAATACGAAATATAAGGTGCCCCCTTTCTATTGCTGTGCCCTAAATAAAAGGACTAGAAGTTGCCCCCTCTCTATAGTTGTGCCCAAAATAATACAAAATATAAGGTGCTCCCTCTCTATAGTTGTACCCTAAATAATACGAAATACAAGGTGCCCCCTCTCTATAGTTGTGCCCTAAATAATACAAAATATAAGGTGCCCCCTTTCTATAGTTGTGCCCCAAATAAAAGGAAAAAGAAGGTGCCCCCATTCTATTGTTTTGCCCCAAATAAAAGGAAATAGAAGGTGCCCCCTTTCTATTGTTGTGCCCTAAATAAAAGGAAATAGAAGGTGCNAAGCCACTTTTGACTGTAAAGTTAGGTTACTTAGGTTCATTATTTCCTGAAGACGATATTTTTACTCTCTATTTATCACAAACTGTCATGTTTACAGTGGGAGTCTTTTAGAATTTAAAAAAAAATACAGTCGTCAACGAATATTTCAATACAATGAAGACGACTTTTGACTTCAATTTTTATTTCTATAAAACAATTTAAACATCATGGATATACTTACACATAAACTTAAAACATGGAAACATAGAGGGGCTGTCAATTAACAGCTTCTCTTTGTTTACTTGTAAACTTGTAATTTGAAAAAAAGCTTGGTTGAAATCAAACGTTGAAAAGCCGTCTTCAATGTATAGATATAATCGCCGAACACTGTACAAGCAAAATAATTCTGGACTAATTCCTATGAGGTTTGAAACCCAACTGACTGGTATTACGTTGAACCAAACCTAATCTTGAAGCTTTTAACCTAAAATGTTTACAATAACCCCACTGTCAAGGGGCCTCACCACCTTGGGTTTACATAATATTTAAGCAGTAAACAACCGTTAAAAAATATAGAATTTAAGCTTTTAACACTTTCAGTGACATCTTTGTCCATATTATGAAAATGTCACACAAACTTTTAAAAAAGCCTTAAAAATATTTCTAAATATTTTTCTCTCCTGCACCTATACGCAATTCAGTTCTAGTTTTTATAGCTTTCATAAAAAGAGAGCGTCCTATGTCTAGGACTGTGCACGTTCTGCTTTTTCAATTCGTTTGTGAACGGTTAGTTAAAACCGTTTTTTTTTCAGTTAGCCCTTCAGTTTTTTTAGGTAAAATGAAGTTTCGTTTCCTTACGGAATTTTCTGTTATAATTAAAAGCTAAAATTCATTAACGATTTCAATATATCATTAAATTTATGTCAACTTATTAAAATAGCTCAACAAATAAGATACATAAAAATTAAGCTTAAAGGGTCTGTGAGTTTAAACATTTGACAGATCTACAAAAACAATCTTTTCCAAAAAAATTTTTTTTTTATTTCTTTTGCATCTTTATCAAAACAATATCTAAGTTTCTGTTTTTTTAATAGTGAGAAAATACCTGCATTTTTATATTCAAATTTTGAAATTAGTTTGCATATGCTCCAATCGTTGCATTATCAAAACCGGTTATCATAGTTAAGTGTAAGTGTACTGTACATGCATTTATTTGTACCAACCAGTCAAGACTACCAAGTGTAAAGTTGACCCACACAGCAAAATCAGGAGACGACCAAGGAAGTCTAAAATTGACTTACAAGATATGACGTCCTCAAGACCCATAATTACTCCTAGCGAGGTAGTCATATTAAGACCAAAAAGACGATGCTCATGAACTGGGGTATCAGGTTACCAATGGCATTTGTCGTTGCAGGGGTCCCTTGTGTGTGTCTATAATGTGTCCCCACATGTGTTTCTCTGGCAGCTGTTTTAAAGCTGTTCTTCAACCCCTCCCCAGTCCCCCCCCCCATCCCTGCAGTCGTCTTATATTCACTTACAGAGGAAGTCATGCGGGTGTCCTCAAAAAATTGTCCTGACTGGTTCTTCACAGTCTGAGGATGGTCTTGGCAAGACCTCTAACAGATGTGGATCAAATATGAGGGGAACAGGCTAAAAGAATGGGACATAACACATGTGGATGAAATATGATATCATTATAAAACTGAGGATCATCTTGGTGTCATGTCTTGGCAAGACTATTAACTACTATTAACTGCAGATGTGGATGATGAAATATGGTGAGGAATAGGCTAAATCGGTAAGGGGGGGAACAAGTCTTTTTTTGACTTGACACAAGACAAATTCAAGATGTGGGAGATAACTGAGAACACGCCTGAAAAAGGGGACGGGGAGCAGGATACCCATATATTTTAAAGGTTATATCTCATATTACAAGATATTTGCTGAAATTTTATATTTTTGGAAAAATTTGAGGGTCTTGGGAATGCTTAAGGACGTCCTCGACCGCGTCCAAGACACTCCCGTTCATGCTGGGCAGTCAGTTTTGTGCAATAAATATAGCCTCGCGGCAATTAAGATTCATTTGAGCTTTTTTTAATTAAAAAAATGATTAAATTAGAATTAAAGAATAATACTAATCACTTCATGATCTAGTTTTTCCTTTATTTTTCATATTCGTATGAACCCATATAAATGTTTATAAATTGTGAGACCCCTTATAATGTCCAATATGAAGATGAGTGTTAAACTCCAGCTATGACTTCTAATTGTCAATGAAAATAAAACATAATAATGGTGCAGTACACTGTACACGGCCCTATTTTACTTTACAAGTTCAAGCTGTTGAAGCTTTTTAACAAATAAATAAAGGAGAACAAAGATTTCTAATTCTGGCTATGTAAGGTAGTTAAACTGAGTATGCAGTGTTGTGGACGAATTCTTTAGGATTCATTGAGACATATAAAACGTTTCCACGATGTATAATTACTGAGTTTGAGCGCAAAGTCGACGTTCAAAATCATGAATTTGAGTGGGTTCGTTTCAAGAATCGATTTTTTAAAACTAATAAATAAAAACGACGAAAAATATAGTAAAAATTCTATAGTAAACTAATTAGATGTTTAGGAACATATTTCTCAAAAGAAATGTGTCAATAGATCGAAGTTAGAATTAATTACTTTCTTATTATCATTATATTGAATTTCTTATTTTCGATGAATTTGTTCGCAGATTTCTTCAAATTCTTCAAATAGTAAAAATTCCAAAAAATCTGCAGAAAATCTTTGTGATTAAAGAGAGATTATAGAAACTAATAATTGAATAAGATTACTTATTTTCGATGATAAGATTTATTTTTATTTTCTCAACCTGTTTCTAAACAACTAATTAGTTTACTGTAGAATTTTGTTTATATTATTTAATAATTAAATAAAAACAATTCTGAAAACGTATCCATCCAGAAGTACGATAGGCATGTCTGATTTAGAACGATACCAATTACTATAGTGTATTATCAAGCTAGAGTGATTATCCATGTTTTTGACTTTGAAAATTGACTATGTTCAATGGTGGTTCCTCTACAAGTTTGTTGAGAAACTATGAATGAAAATTGTCAGAATTAACTAATCTAAGGAAATGACAATATTTTTCTAATTATTTATCATAGAAAGGATTAAACCATTGAGAAGCGTGGATGCCCTATATCCATGAAAACACACCCTTCAAATTCATATTTGTTAAATTAAATTGTAAAACTGTTTGAAGGGAGAAATTTGAATTCCGATAAATACTAATACCTGCTTGAGTTAAAAGGGCTGTTAATTGTCTAATGGTAATTGATCTCCAAGTTAAAGAGCAGAGTGCTAAAGGAATTGAGTCTTTGCCACAAACTCTTATTTTCTAACCACTATATCTTTGGAACCAAATGTTGCATACCTTAGATATTTCAAACTATGAATTCTGATAGATCAAGTAATCTGAGTTTGAAATATCAAAGGTCTATAACATCGAGTTCTAAAGATATCGTGCAGGTTTTAATATTTGATTTTGTTCCAAAGACTCAATTCCTTTGCAACGGTATCCTTCAAACCGTTTAATAATCATGAACTTTGAAAAATATCGTCGTTTCTTAGCTTGAAAAATGTTTAATTCTTGAATCCAGGGTGAAAGGTTATTTCCCCAACTACGCCATCTTCAATTTTCCCAAAATAAAAAATACTGAATTGTGAAAAAATTATGAAAAGAATGAAAACTAAAGAGCCCAGCGTTGCCCTTGGAAAAAACAAATTTTAATTTTTAAAATAATTTCTTCTATCTATTTCTGTGAATCTAATTTTTTATGTTTTGAAATGCCTTAACAACATGATTGGACTGCGCCAAAATAAAGTCATTAATGGTTTTTTTTTCTTAATTTTAAAACATTTGGCAGGCAATATTTTAATTTTTTCACATTTGTTTTAATTTCACAATTTGAAAAATCAATGTTTTTTCAACATTTTTGTCATATGATTATGTATATATATAGGTTTCTCGGCATTTCATAGCGATTTATTGCGTAAAGCCAATAATAGATTTTAAGGTGTGAAAGGGGTAAAATAACAATTCATTTAAATAAAGAAACAAAAAACTCAAAAATTAGAGAAATTTACAAATTATTGATTTTATGTTAAATAGTCTAATTCAGGACTATACTGAAAAGAATTGAGTCTCAAATTTTCTAATCCCTATAATATCTTATCAATCTTATGGTGTAATTTTTTGATATTTAAAACTTAGATTATTTGATCTAACAGTTTTATAGTTTGAAAGATCTAAGGTTTACGGCATTGGGTTGCATTAGAAAGTTAAAGTTAAATTAAGTTAAAATACTAAATTTTTTACTGTTAATTTTCAGAATAAGCAAATAAATAAGTCTAAGTACATGATTAAGTAACGAGCTACAATTAAAATTAAAAATTGAAAAATATTTTTTTTAAATTAGATGAAAAAGTATAAAAATTTAATGAAGTGCTTTGGTGATAATTAAAGTAAATTAACATAATGAAAATTTTATAAATAAAAAAATCTCAAGATTTTTTTTTAAACAGTAAAATCGAATTTAAGTGATTTAGTTTACCAGCTATAATTGTGATATTTTAACGTAATTAAACGCATGGAAGAAAATACTGTAATTATTATATCTTTAACCTAGTTGGAAGGGGAGAAGAGAGTTAGGTTTGAACCCCAGCAGAGACCAAAATATAGAAAAATATAATTGAGTCTTTGCAACAAACTCTAATTTGTTATACGCCATCAGATTACAAAGACTTATAGTTTAAAAAATTTGAGTTTGTGGCAAAGATGAGGGAGTGAAGGCACACCACATCATTTACAAATGACGTCAAAATTCACCATTATTATGTCCGACTACACCATTTTCCCGTCCCATAGTTCCATACAAACAAAATGAACGGTAGTTCCACCAGCTAAATCCGAGCTTCCGTTTAAAAAAGCAATTTAACTTCCTTGAGGGATGATTTATTTCTCCAACGGGTAGCTTAAGTTTACACAGTACACTATATATATATACTACATGAAGTACGGTACAAGGATAGAAAACTACTGTTCGAATCGAATGTAGTAGGGTCAGTTGTGAGTACGCTCACGATATACTGTAAAATATTATTAATGTAGACCATCTTGATTTTGCAAATGTTAAGTATTTCAGATTAGTTTATGTAAAATGATACTTGTGTATGTGTTAGAAATAATTGTTATTTCTCAGGAATGATTATTTTAGAATTATTATTATATTTATAAAAATAAAAAGTTATTTTGTTCTTTTAATTTTTTTTTTTACAAAAAATTGATAAACTAAATATCATTTATCAGAGAGTTTTATCTGTTTCCACTGGTAAGATAAATAATCCCATAAAGCACTTTTTCAGGACAAAGAAACTGAATACTTGTATATTATTCTAATTTTCTAAATCTTAGCTTTCTATCTTTGAAACCTGAAGATGTGAACCTTTGATATTTCAAACTTTTGCCTTTGGAACTAGCAGAAGTTTTTTCTTGAGTTTTCAAAGGAATTGAATCTGGTCCACAAACTCTAATTTTCATAAATTTACAACCCGAATTCGTAGACCTTTGCGATTTCAAACTTTAATTTTGGGTAGAAAAAGTAGTCTGCATTTAAAATTTCAAAGGTTTCCACAATCAGATTGCAACGAGAGATTAATGTGCCCCTGCCCCTGTTTGAATGTCACATTTTTCATTTCTGTGATCGTTTTCACTTTTCTAAAATTAACTGATCGCTTTGTTTATGAAGAAGAAAATAAATAATTACCGTTTTCTAAGAGCGAAAGTTCAATTATAAAACGATTTTTTAAACGATAACAACTTCACTATCTGCCATATTATAATGGTTAGGCATACATTTAGATGTTAAATAATTTAGACATGCTGTATTTAAATGTTTTAGCAAGGAACAAAGATGATTTAGTTGACCTGCCGCCTGATTTCTGCCATCTTCCCCCTGAACTAGATAGTCAAGGAACATCTAAATATATCCAGGTACTGCTAGTATGGGCTGGACATCTAAATATATCCAGGTACTGCAAGTATGGGCTGGACATCTAAATATATCCAGGTACTGCAAGTATGGGCTGGACATCTAAATATATCCAGGTACTGCAAGTATGGGCTGGACATCTAAATATATCCAGGTACTGCAAGTATGGGCTGGACATCTAAATATATCCAGGTACTGCAAGTATGGGCTGGACATCTAAATATATCCAGGTACTGCAAGTATGGGCTGGACATCTAAATATATCCAGGTACTGCGAGTATGGGCTGGACATCTAAATATATCCAGGTACTGCGAGTATGGGCTGGACATCTAAATACATCCAGGTACTACGAGAATGGACTGGACATCTAAATATATCCAGGTATTGCGAGAATGGGCTGGCAAAATTTTTATAGAAAAAGAAGGAAATGTTAAGTTGTTTCTTAAAAACATAACAGGGCAAACCGTTATAGTTATCTAGTCTGTAATTCACACTTGTACCTTCAATTCTTTTAGTAGGAGTACTAAAAAGGTTTCGGCCATTTAAAAATAGATAAAACTGTGTTCTGCAATAGTTTGTTGATTTTTATTATATATATATTTTTTTAGTATCAGCGATACAGCAAATATATATACTAGAAAGAAAAGTAACCTTTTTATGAAAGGAGAGATTAGATGCCATATTCGTCTCCAATTTCATCTCTTTAAACCCCCTGGCATCACATTGAAGGGGAAATTTACCCCGAACTAACCAGGGCGAGAGCATTCGGTTTCTTCTATTAGAATTTAATCACTTATTGCTCCATAAATCAATAATCTTTAAACTGAAGGAGTTTTGTTGAAATGCATTATTGTTTAAACCGCATCATGCCGACAAAACAGTAAAATGGAGGAAAACGAATTAATTGTGTTCGAAAGTCATAATGTAAATATTTATGTTTAGAAGTGAAAATATTTGTAATTTTAGGACTGTGAGAGCCTGGGTAGATTTGATATTCCTATTCCGGCTCCTTTCGAACAGGTAGGCAGTCAAAGTAATGGAAAGGAATTAAGAGTCTTTGTCACAAACTCAAGTTTTCTAATCCCTATATCTTCGCGATCTGATGATGTACACCTTTGACATTTTAAGCTTAGATTATCTGATCTAGCAGAATTCATAGTTTTAAATATTAGGTTGCAAAGATATAGAGCTAAGAAAATCAGAGTTTGTGGCAAAGACTCAATTCCTTTGGCGGTTTTTACGCTTTTCAGATTTAAATTTTCAGAGAGTTCAACCCAGGTTAGTTGTTCATTTGTTTTGATGTTTCATAATAATTTAATCATATTGCAAACAAAATTCCATCTTGTCAGGCAAACATCTTTTTAAACAGTTTCTTGAATATCCAGACATAATCCTTTCTGAAAAATAAACATGAACTACCACATTTATCAAGTTAGGATGGTTTCTCATGCTAGGATCAAATATAAATTTAGGTTTTTAATCGAAATTTTTTTATTAACAGTTAGTAGATTTTTTTTCCCTAAAAGAGTTGAATCTTCAAAAGTTAATTGTTATAAAAAATTATGATAAGGAACATCTTTGAGTAGAATTATGGGCTGAGATGTTAAAATATGTATTTTTACGAAGGAAAATTGATTTTCTAATCCCTATATCTTTGCAACCCAATATGGTAGACCACAGATATTTTGAACTATGAATTCTGTTAGAACAAATAATAAGTTTGAAAAATCAAAGGTTTCAAAATTGGGATGCAAAGATATGGAGAGCAGAAAATTTGAGTTTGTGGTAACAACTCAGTTTCTTTACATGGGACTGTCATAGTAATCTTAAGGAATCCTCCATTAAAAGATGAGCCATCACAGCTCACAACGTTACCATTTATCATTCATCAACATTTGAAGAATCGAACTACTAAGTTGAACTTGGCTCTGGTGCTCCAACAAATATTTTTTAGATAAAAAATTGACATTTCTCAAGTGTTCTGTCTTGAAAGGTGTTAAGTTCTGATAATTCTCTATTACCTCTGAAGCAAGAAATATGCAAATTACGTTTTTAGTTAAACCATGAATAAAAACTGCATTTTAAACATTAAAAACATCGTTATCAATCATTGTCTTTCTTTTCATACTTGATCAGACAAAACTTACAATAGGGTTGCAAATATTTGTGTACAGGGTGTCCCATGAAATATGACAGTCGGTAAATATTTTTGAATGTCGTCTTCCAGATACTGTATCAGATATTAAAGACTTATCGCAGTTTATTTAGCCAAAAAAGATCTTATATTCAAATTTAATTACTTTAAAATAAATTTTACTATAATATGACTGCCATATGATATACTTTATCATTCTCTTTTGTATAAAATAACGTAATAAATTAAGGATGAAGACCTTTATAACTATTCACCAACTGTCATGTTTCGTGGCACACCCTGTATTATCATGGATTATAGTATTAATGAAACTTACTTGTTTTTATTTTAGCAACATGGTATCCATCCTGTGGTGTGCTGTCCAAGAAATATTGATGAGAAAGAACCTGCAATGTATAATAAAGAGGAAATCATAACTTTAATTTATAATATTTTCCTAATTAAAGAGTTTATTCTTGGGTCCGTGGATTAAGCTGTAAAGTTAGACTAATGAAGAGACTGAATTAAATAAAACCTATGAAGGAGTCCTGTTTCCGTTGCTTGAAATCGCATACAATGCTGCTTCCGCTAGTTGCGCGCAATTGCGAACAGTGAAGCAATTAAATATTCATAGAATTGCGCAAATAAAAATTTTTCAAAAAGGAATTGAGCTTTTGTCACAAACTTAAATTTTTAAATCCCTATATCTTTGGAACCTGATGGAGTAAACCTTTGATATTTCAAACTTAGATTATTTGATTTAACAGTATACTTAGTTTGAAATAAATAAGGTCTAAGACATTGGGTTCCAAAGATATAGGGATTGGAAAATCAGAGTTTGTGGCAAAGACTCAATTCTTTTAAACACAAACTCAAAGCAGTTGAACAGAATTTTTAAACAGAATTGTGCATTGGCTGTGCTTGCTCCGCAAAATTCATTTTCACACAAATATGTGGAATGCCGCGCAAAAGTTCGCAGTGTATATTTGTGTATTTATTCCGCTGGAAACTAAATATTATCTTCTTATTATTTCTGGTTTTCAAATAAGTCTATTGATTCAGCCTGTATACAATGATGCAGAAGATTCGGCTACAGAAGGTGTTTTATAAACTAAATTAATTTGTGTTGTTTTTTTTTATGACAAACAGTGACACACTCCATAAACATTAGTATTTTTTCTACAAACTTTCGGGTGTACACGATTTTTGAAGTGTAAGTATAAATCCAATTTTAACAATTTCATTAATTTTAATAAATTGGTTTGCCATACTTAGTTCATCTACTGTGCCCTCCAAAAAAAATCTAACAATTAATTTTTACATTAAATTTTTTTTAACAAAATTTTAAAAAGAGCAGTAAATTTTTTTCTCTATCTGTTGTATCTTCTTTTTAGCTGATCATACATCTGTTTTCTGTTCCTCTCTTTTAGATCTACGCATTCTAACGCTTGTAGACAAGGGAAAAATTCATTTTGACACATATTTTTGATTTTATTTCTCCCTAATATTGTAGTATAAAATTAGATATCAGATGTATCTGTAATTTTTTTGTTTATCCAGGAATGTCTGACTATACAACTGACTATTAAGGTCAGGCCTTCAAACACATATTCCTCAATATTTTCTTACAGGTTGGAATAATAAAAGTCACTGCTAAGCAGGGTTTGAAAATTCTGAGGATATCCTTTGTCAGAATTCAGCCTTAATAATGACAAATGGAATATAAAAGGTTAGGAAAGTAGTGGATATTTTCAACAAAAGAATTCTTGATTCTTGTAAGTTCATCTCGGACAGAGTGCTTCAAAATATGGCCTCTTCTACAGCTATCTTTTTCCTTTGCAGCCCGCAGAGTATAAACCAGTATCATAGTGCATGGTGCACAACCTATCAGGATTCTTCTTTATATGTTTTCATTTTCCTTGGACATGGCAAAAGGGGGGGGGGAAGAGAGAGAGAGAAACTCCTCCTTCTCTGCACTATTATTTTCTTCTTTTTTTCAAGTAGGGTGTACTGCCAAGTTATTCCACACAGGGTTCTGTTCAGCCACAAGAAACTGGAAAGAGTTGTATAAGAACCTGACTGTTCTGAGCTCCCTTGATGATTTCACATAGAACTAGATTCAATCAAAAGAAGTAATGTCTCTCTGACGAGTTTGGATACTTAATAACAGCTAACCAGGCTTGTAATTAAGGAGTTTCTTGTAGTTCCGTTTTTTTCTAATCCATTTGTGTGCATTTGCCATTTTCTTTCTCTCACCCTGTAACTCTGAATACTGTTAGAAGCGCCTATTAAGACCTAGTTAAGTTGCTTCTTTGAAAGCTGAATGTAAACTGTGCCTTACAAAATTTTAAATTATTTTTTAAACCTTATTTATAATCCCTGAAACAAAAAAATTTACATTTAGTCTAACTCATTTAATGACCTTTATGTTTATTTGATATAACAGTGGGAGCATTAGATGAGAGACAAAATGATTTTGGGAGTGACTATGAAGATAATAAATATGATGAGCATGTAAGAAAAATACATTTATAAATAGTCTTTGAAAAATGAATTATGTATTTCAGAAAAATTCAATTATTATCAATAATTTCCATTAACATTAATGGTTTTTTTATTTATCAAATATATTTTTTAAAGAATAATCAAGATACAAAGTTAATTTAGATTCTTTTTGCATTGACACTTTAGATATAAATGATAATTAATGTATACCGCATGAATCTGCTTGAAAAATTAACAGTTACTTAAAATTGACATCTAAACTAACCTTTCTCAGACTGAAGTTCTCCTCAGTAACGTGGAGAGTAATTGTAAAAAAGATGCAAACTCAGCTTGTACGCCATTTTCTAGGTAACTTAACAACCCTACCTGTGCAAAAAGTTTGATTGAACATGGGAATCACAAAAAAAAACATTTAATCAGAATCTTTAAAATACAGTGTTTGACCAAAATTCTTGTATTGTATCGCCAATTCTATGATTAGGAGTAAAGAAGTCATTAGTGCTAACAGTATGCCAGAGAGGAATGTGTTCAAAATAGCAAAAGAAACGATTGGATGTCATTTTCTACTATATTCCATGCTATCTCTATGCGAAAAACAACATAAAAATCATACTTTCTTCCGTCCCTTAGTTGCGCTATTGTTCAAAAATATCATGTTTACTATCATTTTCATTTTTTATAACCGTATTGAATCCAACATTTTCATATGTAATTTAACCAAGCTATTTTGTTTTCAGATGTAACCTAATGGAAGAATTAGATCTAAACCCTGTAACTTTGGCCACAAGTTTTTGTAGTTTTGATGAAGAATCTGCGGAACTTATGATTTGCTGTCCATTCAAAAATATTTTGGAAACATCTAAACTTCCTCAGAAACCAAGGTATATTTTTTCTATTTAATCATTGTATCATTTATGAAAGTATATAGAGCAATTACCTTTACCTGGGAAGGGTTATTTTCATTGACCCTAGCAGGGGTGTATATTTGTGGAAAAACTTGTTCCCCCTTTCTCACTTCCTAACTCGCATTAGGAAAAATAAATGTTTTTTAGGGGAAGATAAATGAATATTAATTAAACAGATAAAAATATTGCAACCAGTGTGAGCTCAATAGCTTGGAATAGGGATAGTTCCATTGATTAAACGCCCTCAGTTCTCATACAAACCCGAGCTAAACTCAGATTGGATAGTTTCATTGATGTAACCCCTTCAGTCCTGGATCTGCAGTTAAGCTCAGATTTCAATTAGTCTGGCCTATAAACAGGACAACGTTTGTATATAGCTATAGGTCGGACAGAAAGTGGGGCAGATGATAAGTTGCCAACATGGAGAAATATTTGTTGTTAGAAAATGCCAACCCAGAAAACACATGTGTCAACATGCATGTTTAAATGCATGGAAAACCAAACCTTTGCCCCAGATCCGAGTTTAAATTCAAATCAATAGGCATGAACCATGGCTTAAATGGAGAAAATAGGATCAGCCTGGGCTAAAACCGAAATTGAGTCAGTTATGAACAAGAGTCGGAAGACGGAAGATTAACTTGTCGTCAGAGGCCAATGAAAGGTGGAGAGTCTGTTAGAGAGCTCTGGTTTCTCATAGAATCATAAGGATCATTTAATTTGTTTAATTTTTGCTTGTAAATACATTTTTTCCTATACTCTGTAGATTTACTCACATCAGTTTTTGCAGTGTAAACTTCTGGCAAAGTCAAGAATTCACGCTGAGGATTTTACCATGGAATAAGCCTAGTGTAAAAAACCTTACTTGGGGTTCCTAAATGAGAGTATGTGTAAGAAGAAGGATAAGTAGATTTCTCCATGTTCACATCTACCGAACTACATTTTTCTGGATCTAATCTTGTTGGTGTATTTCTTTCTTAATAAGGGAGATATTGGCTTCACTACAACCCAGTTGCGACACTATCACTTTTGTTGGGGGGGGGGGGGGGGCAAAATTTGATTTTGATGGGCAGGGGTGGGGGGAACAGAGGGGCCTAGCCCACCAGGGCAAAATGAACTTCAAAAAAGCACTGTTTTCAGGATTTCGTTGAAGGGTTGGCTCTGTGTTCAATAATATACCTAATTCTTATAATAACCATGGCTTGTTCTTGTGTTTAAAAAAATATACTTTTTTATACAGCTTTTAAATGAACAACATGACTAAATTAATTAAACATGTGCGTCAAGTGCCCAAAAATTTCCGTTCTTTTAGTGTCTTTTCATGTATTTCTTATTGTCTCTTAGTCCCTGCAGCTTAGTCATAATCACTTTGTCTATTACAATTTACAGCAGTTTTTTGTAATTCATCCACTATTCATATTTGTCCACTATATAGTCCCTGAATCATAGGTCTGTGTAGTCTTTAGTAGTAAATAGTTCATGGCAGTACTTTACTATATTTTGTTTGTCTATAATTTATAGTAGTCTAGTCCTTCTGTCCTTGTTTGCCAGTAAAGGGCTTATCCCTGTTTTCCTCTTTTAGTCTGCAAAAGTCCTAATAGTCCGATATAATCCTTATTATATTTCTTGGTATTCTTCTTAGGTTGTCAGGTTTTGTGTAACCTTAAATGATATATGTATTTTAATACTCATGGGAAGTAACTGCATATATACAGGTTTTTTGAGGGGATAAATTAAGCATGACTGACTTTCTTCAAAAACGAGAAAACAGTTAGAAATTCTATTAGAAATGTTGCGCGAAGCACCAAAGAAAAATATTAGTATTTTTTTCTTAATTGACAAAATTTAATAAAAGATGGTCCACAATAATAATCATGCTGGACTCAAGTGAGGGGGGGGGGGCAAAACTCGATTTGCCCCCTCCTCCCCTATGTTGCGCCACTGCTGCAAGATTTTATGTTAAAAGATATATTCCTAGGTTTCCAGTAAATAATAAACCCCGAAAATGTGAGGATCAGACGAACCTATGCAGAAGATGGAAAACTAATGGAGCTTGTGCATTGAACAAGAAATTTGTAACAAGGTAAATTTTTAATCTTTAATTTAAGTTTTTAAATGTAAAGCTACGCAAATCCTTGTAATGGGGTTTTTCAAATTTGTCTCATTTGATCCTTCAAACCTCTCTAAAGATAGGTCAATAAATCCCAAATCTGAGATTTAACTGTCCTTTGTAAGGTGAAAATTCAATGTTTAGTGAGGTTAAACCACATCAGAATTTTGTGACGAATGTAGACATGTTTCAATTTACTATGAAAGGATGTATGGAATCCTGCAATCGTTGTGGCAGCAAGGTATATATTTTTATCATAAAAATTAGTTGTTCAAAGTTAGACATTAAGACTTTTCAAGAATTCACACACACACACATAATATTTTTCATTTTGTAACTTTTGGAAATATTGATTCCCGCAATTTTGAGGATTTTAAATAGCAAAGATGATCCAAAATATCCCTAGCAACCATGGAAAATCTAGATGATGACGTCATCAATCACCTACAAGATGTCCATGTGACATAATCATTAGGGTGTTGGTAAGACGTAAATGTTCCACCATCTATGTCCTGATGACCTTTCTTTTAACATGTCGCTTTTTACGTCCTGACAACATCTCTTAGCATAAGAATTATTTTTGCTAAATAAAAAATAGGGCATTGTTTACATTCCTTTAAGAAAATTCATAATTTGAAAGTTTTCTGTTCTTAATTTTAAATAAATATTGGTATTAAGACTAGAGTTTTCATTTTTTCCGGATCATTTCTCCAAGATTTTATAAATTATAAACTATTAAAAAATCTATCAGTATTTTCTTTGATGAATTAAGATAAACCTGCCTTCTAGATGTTCACAGAGCTGTGTGTGACCTGTTAAAAAAAGTGTTTGGGACAATTATTCCAGATTAATTCTATATGGAATATTGTCCTATATAAACTATTTTCAAAATGTATACATTATTTTAGAGGTAGATTTATTCTAAAATCAAGTAAGAAATGTTCTATTGTCCATTTACAAAAGTTTTTAATGGTTTATCATACTTAAAGGCTTCAGGAAAGGACCTGTAGGGCCTAATTACGGAACCAAATTGATCCAGTAAAAATGGAAACCCTAATTAATACTGATCAAAAGACAGGGAAAGTCAATAATATTTAATAATTCATGAATTTTTCACCTATTTCACACCATGCAAAAATTTGACCAGTATTTTCCTTTAAAGCAATGTAAATTTAAATTTTGGTTATTTAAAGGATCCAAACAATTTTTCCAATTTTCTCTGCAATATTAATGGAGGTACTAAGTATTTGCACAGAAGTTTTTAAAATTTTATTTGATTATGAAATTGGTGTGACATTTTATCATTGGTAAATGTTTCTACTCAACAGGGTTGTGTTGATGAATTTCCATCATGTCCCCAATGGGCTAGACAAGGATACTGTACTAAAAACTCCTTCCTAATGGGTCATTCTTGCAGGTTCTAGCTAAGGTTTTTAATTGGAATTCCAATGAGAGAAATTGTGCGGAATCATGCAGAATTGTGCAAAAATTACAGGGCCTGCATTTGCAAAAATTTCACTAAATTTCATATTTCTTTTGCTTTTTTAAATTTCACAATAAAGTTTGCAATCACAATTGGACCTATTAAACAAAATTTTAGATTTTTTTTATGTTTTTATATTTTTTGTTGTTATATGAAAAAGTAAAGAATTACAACTCCATAAGCTTTAAGATTGTTGATTTATGAACCAAAATTTAATTCAAATTGAAGAAACTAAACACATCTCACCCTAGTTACAGAATAATTCAAGTCAAAGCTTTTGACTGGAACCTATTTTACACTTTAATTTTTCAAGAGAGAGTTGTGGATCCTGTGGATATTTATCAACATTAAACACAGAGAAACAAGTTTATAAAGGAAAATCCTACTCTCGTATTTCAGATCCGGACTTTGATTGTGGCAGGTAAACAATAATGTCTTTATCAATATTTTATATATACTACATATGATTTGATAAATATATATCATATTAATAATACTCTTTAATTCAGTTTTAAAAGTTTGGAATATCTTGAGAACATTGGTCTAGATGTTTTTAAAGGGTTTGATGAGGCACCGGAAGAGACCAAGTGAGTATATCAGGAATAACCATATCCCCAAAATTTTAAAGTATCTGAATTAACTCGAATAAATTGCTGTATAGGTATATAAGGATGTGGTGATTTATAGTATCCAAAATATCTTATTTTTTACGTTCTCATGTAAACCATGTCAAAAAATATTTTTATTCAAAATTAATTTATTGCTTTAGAATATTTTGTATTTATTGGAGTCTTTCATTATATCAGTTGCCTCATGCCTCCCAAACACCAAGTACAGACCTTTACACAATTCCACAATATTAAAAGAAAGATTTTCAGTAATATTATTACTTTTAATGTGAAATTGTAAGTCTCTTTCTATCAGCATGGTACTAAATAATATTTAATTTGATATTATCTGTTCTGATATCTAATAATACTTTTAATATATTAAGTGCTGATTACAAAGATATTGTTCAAGGAGTTCAAGATAATTGTGAGGAAAGGTAACAAAAAGAGACACAAAACATTGTTAAGTGTAAAAAAAATAAAAAATAATATTTTAAAAAGTCTCACAGTAACCTATAATAAACTTAACCTGTACACATATTTTAGTGACACAGTAAATGACGCTTCTATGAGTAATGCTAATTCTAACACATCCATTTTTTGTTCATCATCAATAATAGCAGACAAGTAAGATTTAAAGATAATCTTTTTAAGATCTAAATATTTGTTCTGTGATTAAAGATTAAAGATTTCATAAAGTTTTACAGTTATCTCAAAGAAATTTAACCACATATTAGTTTTTTAGAATTCACTTGCTGTAAAACAGAGTGATTTCTTAGAATGCCAGTGTACATGTCCACATCCTGGTATTGATTTATCTGTGCTAGGAAAACAGGCATCATAGTTTCCGATTTTTTCCATGGTTTTATCGGGACATATTGAACATATAGTATCCCGACAAAATCCAAACATAGGATTCACAAAATTGGATGGAGGATTCAGGCTAGACAAGGGTTAAGGTTACGGTGGAATGGTTTTATTTAGGGGTTTCAGGGTCTGCTCTGGTTTAGGTTTGCTGTTTTGTTCAAGTTCAGGATCAGGTTCAGGATCAAGTTCAGGATTAGGTTCATTTTCACCGTGTAAAATAATGAAAAGGTTCTTTCAAGAGAAGAGGATTTGGGTACTTTCTATCATTACGACGGAGCCTTAACCCTTTAAGATTGGTTGCACATTTGCTGGGTATGATCTAATTAAACCTACCAATTCCATACAAAATTGTATATATATGAATTTTCGTATTTATTTGACATAAATTTTGTATCAATTTCTCGGGACAGAAACATCAGGTATAACTTTCATGGGTTGCAATCTAGAGCTAAAGTGATTAGCTTTCAGCATATAGCCCCTTTCATTTTTCCTTTACAGTCCCTTTAATCTTAACAAAGTTTCAACAAAAACGTAGGCTCCTATTATTTCACATGTTTTCCAAAATTATGTAAGAGGGTAAGTAAAACATAAAAAATATTAAAGAAATTAAAATGATGAAAATGCTTGATTCAGATGGATGATAACAGCTGCTCACTGCTGTGATGAAATTAATCGCCCCCCTGATGCAGAAATACAATCCCAGATTCTTAGAACAGCAATACAAAGCCTTACGGTACACATTATAAGATACTGTATTAAAATTTACATAGATGTGCCCAACTTCAAATACATCAAGCTATTTGTCAGATTTAACCTATAATAAAAAGCCAAAATCAAACAGTTATTTTAAAGATTTCAAAATAGATGACAAAACTAACAAAATTAACAAATCAATATCTCAGGAATTAGTTGAGGTAAAAAATACTTATATCCATCCAAGATACAGATACGGAGAACTACACGCAGACATAGCTCTTTTAGAACTAGGACGTCGTGTAGAGTTTAAGCTAGATGAGTTTGGAGATACTCCAATCTGTCTAGATAAAGGTCTAGATCTACCAGGAAAAGTTGCTATTGCACAGGTAGATTTTAATGTACATTCTGCAACCAATGTTAGTCACATCTTTTTAATAAAAAACATTATATAATCAGAGATTTAAAATGTTTTTTAAGTCAAGGGCAGTTTCTTGAACTTCTGCTAAAAAGAATTTCCAATACTTGAAACTTTTACTATGGTTTTAATTTTACATGGCATTTTTTGTTATCATCTTATGATTTTTTAAGCTTTCCAAATGTGTTCTTTTTAATAGACTAAAAAGTAGATCAGCGGTGGATACAGGGGGGGGGGCAGCAGGACCTGTGCACCCCCTAAGATTTTAGAATAGCTACTTAATAGCACTTTTTTCATATTTTTATTCAACTACAAAGCACAAGATAATACAAATAAAAAAATCACAATTTACTATGTAGTTTGGACCCGCCTAACCAGAGTAGGTTGTTTTAATTTGTTGGCCCACTATAAACGAATGAGAATTGCAAATAAAAACAATGTACATTGTACATTTTAAACATAAGAATGATGATAGATCAGGAAAAAGATAAGGAGGAGGTGAGGGAGTATAAAGGAAAGGTAGGATACTCAGGGTAAGGGTTGGAACAGAGGGTAACATATGTTATTAAAATCATGTTTATGAATTACAGGGTGAAGAAGATAGTAAAGACTAAGTTTATCTACATGATACACAGTTTTTTTTACAGATATAACTTGCATAACTATCTAAATAGATCTTGGCAACTTTTCTTTTAAACGATTTTGCAGATTTAGTTACTTTCAGCTCTAATTCAATCTAATTCTATATTTTTGGAAATAAAGCAGAGGGAAAACATTCTAGAGTTTTAAAGAGAACCCATTCAAGTTTATATGATTTTGTTCTATTTGGGTAAGCTAAAGAATTAAAAAAAACCTAGTGCAAAACAGGAACAGTATCTATCGTAAAACAAATTTCGCCAGCTGCATGTCTTTTTGTTTCTAAATCTGGATTTCTTTGTTCCAAAATAAATCTAGCACCCCCTCACTTAAATCCTGTATCCACCGCTGAAGGAGATAAATCCAGAACCATACCCTAATTTTTAACCCAGAAATATTCTACACTTAGGGGTTTGGAATGGGTGATAGGCTCCTAGAAATAAATGTGACATTGATGAACACTGATGAGTGTATCAATCAGCTTGACACCTTCTTACAAACTCGCCAAGTAAGTTTTAAATCAATAACTATACCAGTGTGAATATACTTTAACTTCTTCAAGTTGGCAACCTTATATCCCCTATGAGGAAGTTCATTACCTTGTAGGTTCTGAAATATCTCAGGCACACCTTAGGAAATAACTAAAATCTTTAAAGTTACAAAATCTATGTTTCCAAGATTTCCAAGAGTTGTAATGTTTTCTTTAAACTATTGAATTTTTAATATGTTGGAATTTTATATTTTCTAGAGAAAGAAAAAAGAATTTTGTTCTACAATGCCTCTTGGAATATCTGATGAGCAAATTTGTGCCAATGGAATTAAAATGGTAACTATTAACTAGTAATTTTTGTTTAAAATTAATTAATCACCCTAAATATGAATGTTTTTTTAGGAGGATGGTATTACAACAGCAACTTGTAAAGGAGATGGTGGGGGGCCACTTTTCATTGAGGTTAAATTTGCCATATTTTTTATGTTTGCAAAATTTTTGTTCAATTAATTTTGAAATATTGAGCCAACTTGCTTTATAAAGAACTTTTCAGGTTTTTGGTTTTTGACCTCAAATTCCAAAACAAACTTATCTTTGTTTGGTTTTGCTAGGCAAAGCTTGAATATTTGATAAGTTATTACTTAATAAAATTTCTTTATGAAGTTTCATGCCTACAGGTTAGGATAGCAGAGCTCTGCTCAGAAAGATCTCTGCAGTATTTGCAGGCAACGCTGAGAAAGGTGTCAGCACATAGGCAGAAAGGAAGGCCAAGTGGACCTGAATCCCATGCTCAATTATTTAGAATCCTTTCTTAACTACAAACAAAGCCCTTTCTGGAAAGGCCCTGTCTCTGCTACCTGAGCAGAGCTGATAATAGGGGACAACATGCATTCTGCATGAATTCGATACTTCGTAAGGAATTTTGCTGGACTGGGAAACAGTTTGACATGTGAACAAATGGAGTGATTTTAACAAAATAATCCTGATACCCCACTCCTACAAACCCTTATGCACATCTCCACTCTCCTCTACATACCATCTAACCTTCTCACAAGCAACGAAATGAGACTCAAGAACATTTTTCTGTTGGATCCTACAACAAAATTACTTCTGAGCTAGTCAATTGATTATCCTTCGATAATTAGCAACTCTGCTAATATAGGAAAGTAAAAATGTGTGGTTCATAGCAAGGAAGCTATTGCTGTCTCACTGCTAACAGAAACTAACTGGAAGTGCTATGAGTGGTGAAGAAAATGCAAGTCCACAGGATGTGCAGAGCTGAGGCTGCAATTACAATTCAGCAAAAAAAAAAAAAGTAGAGGGGAAATATATACAATGAAAGGGTAATCCTGATGCAATGGTGCAAAGACAGGAACACATAAACATTCTTTCAAAAGCAGCACCATAAATAGACAGGCAAAAGGGAGGCATAAAAAAGAGAAACTGCAGACATGTAGATGCAGAAGGGAGGAAAACGATGAACATTTGAAATTCTTAACTATGCAGCAGATCAATGAATGTCTTTGCATTTAGTCTATAGAGAGAAATGTGGGAAAACAATAAAATATTGAACAATTGATCACTTACTTTAACTTAATTTTTTTTACCATTTTTGGACAAAGTTAATAATTTTTTATTTCAAAGCAACTATCTATTTCAGGACAAGGAGGGAAGAAGAAATCTAGTTGGTATTGTCAGGAAATAAATATTAAAAATTTAACCTTTTGTTGATTTTTCTTTCAACCATATATGCATAACCATAATTTTGTTCTAATGGGTCAATAATCTTCCAATGCTACTGTGATTTTCTTGCTCCAATCCATAAACATCATTCAGAATATTTTTCAACAGTGGACGTCTGTCTTGTTGTGGAACTGCCCCAGAATGGTACACCAGTATTAAGTACAACAGGTTAAATTATTCACCAGTAAACAGTACAACAGGTAATATCATTCACCAGTATACAGTTAAACAGGTTATATCATTCACCAGTATACAATACAACAGGTTTTATCATTCACCAGTATACAGTACAACAGGCTATATTATTCACTAGTATACAGTACAACAGGTTATATCATAAACCAGTATACAGTACAACAGGTTATATCATTCACCAGTATACAATATACAATAGGTTAGATTTTCACCAGTATACAGTACAACAGGTTATATCATTCACTAGTATACAGTACAACAGGTTTTATCATTCACCTGTATACAGTACAACAGGTTATATCATTCACCAGTATACAGTACAACAGGTTATATCATTCACCAGTATACAGTACAACAGGTTATATCATTCAGCAGTCAATTAATTATTAACTTTAGAGATTGGGTGTCATGTATTCTGGACAACGCTCCTGCACTACACTTCAACAAGGTAGTTAATCTCCCCTCCTGCATCCTAATTGAAATGTTCATTGCCCATTTATAAGGCTCAAATATAAATAATACCGCTAACTTAACAACAAAGTTTCAAAGAGAAAGTGTCAAAATTGAGAGGGCATGGTATAAATGTGATGAGGTGTGGTCACTGAACACCTGGTTTACAGTTTTCCACAACTTCTGTCTAAGTTAAAGTGTCTCCAATTTCTTTCCTAATATCCCCTAATCGACTGTATTTTCTAGGCTAAAGTTGAGGCAGCATGTGAAAGCGCTGGTATCAGGAAAGGAAAGGTCAAAAACAGCATCTGCAAGGGGAAGAGCCGAGTTTATTAACTATTTTAACAACATGTACATTTACAAAAGTGCCCAATTTGAGAACTCCATGACACAAGTTTGGAAAAAAAAAATTATTTGTTTCTATGATAGACCATTATAAACTGTTCGAATACTAATTTTCATCAAATAAAGCATCTTTATATCCTTTGTTTGTAAGTTTGCTTAATTGCATCCATAATCATTACGGATAAAACTCACATGACCTCAGGAAAGGTTTATGTATAGTCAGAATTAAGCAAGTTTACCATCAAACATTTAATTTTTCAGAGAAAAAATCACCTGATAATTTTTTTGTTTTTGTTTTATAATGTAGAAGAGAACATGCTTACAGATAGAGCAAAAACTAAAAGTAATAAATAAAAGATGGGCGCATATAAAGTTTAGATAAAAGATGTGCGCAAAGCCCTCTGAAATTGTTATTAAATTACAAAATTAAAACTTCAGTTATTGCAGTTTTAGCTTTCCCTTTGGTCAAACATTTTTTTCTTAACATTAAAATGAATTCAGATCATAATTAGAAATCCATCTGTTTCTTAAGTTATCTGCAGATGTTACAAGGAGGATAATATTTTCATTAAAAATAAATGAAATGTTAATTTCTCAATTTATTACTTAATCAAAAAACAGATTTACATCCTCGGATCCTCAAGCAGTTGCTCCAATTTTTGGTGTTCTTGACTGCAGAATATTCCGGTATTTTTTCGGTTCGCATATTTTCAGGAAAGAGTAGGCGGATTAGTGTTATTTGAATATAAAAAACTACCAATTCATCAGAAGCACTCTATATCTCAGTGCGGAGTTTGTAGAGATCAAATAGTTTTCTTCATTTTCTATGATTAACAAAGGTTTTCCATTAAAAAAAGCAGAATCTAGTTTCCTTCTTTGTTGGTGCTAATGCTCTGATACTCCAGGTAATTGTAAAACGATTATTCTGCTCCTTCAGCTTCCAGATACATATGGAAAGAGATGTAGAATATGTGCATAGGCAGTTTTAGGCAGGGGGTGGCAGTCCTTAACCCTTCCCTGAATGAAAGAAAGGGGGTGGACCCCCCCATATGCCCCCCACCTCCTCTGGATTTTTACAAAGTCATTACTCCGAAGACTTTTGACCTGGAACATGCAGGTCATCCTTGACCATCTACAGTTTGGTCATATTTTTTTAATATTTTGAACAAAAATTCCTTTTTTACTTTCAGTCTTTTTATTGTATACTTTAATTTTTACTCTAAAAATAAACTCCTTGCAGTCCCCTGCAAGAAAATGTAGCATGATTTAATAAGCATTATTTACTTAAAGAGCAAAAATTATAGCAGGATACAAATAAAAATTTCTCGCTTCATTAAAATAATATGATTTGATATGTAAAAATTGGATTTAATTTACTTTATTCATTGCACCGCCGTTTTGTACTCTTTCTTTTTAATACAAACTAACAGCCATAGCAAATATTGTGAACCATATCCCTAATGTAACCCTGTTTCAAAGGTCGTCTCCGACAGATTGTATCTCCGTTGAATACTCCGTACTCCGGCCATCCGCCAAACCAAACCTTGCCAAGGATTTTACATAAATAACCTCATGGATCTAGTAAAACTTAAAGTGCATTAAAAAGAACCTATTTAAACACAAACTTCGAGTAACTTTTCCTTTTGTTCAGCTCACAAATATATATATATAATTCAACTCATAGAATTTAAGCTTAAGTTGAATTTTTCATTTTCAAAAATGTCTTTTACTATCTCTAGTTTAAAAAATAATTATTACTAACATAACAGTATAATAAAATGTCTATATTTTAGAAACAATGCTAGTTTTGTTTAAAGGAGAGATAAAGTTTAGCACATGCAAGGTCATTGGACTGTATGTGTACATTTAAAGTATATCTTATACTTATACCTGATATCCAAGAAGCCAAATGTTTTGAATTTACAGTTCATATTTTGCCCCCCCCCCCTTCCAGGAGGTCCTAGGGGCCGGGGGTCAAAATTTATTTTTGCGCTCGCGAAATTTTGCCCCCCCCCCCCTAAATTTATTTCTTTATAAGACCTTGTATAAGATGTATGAGGTTTGCGAGTTAAACTATAAATAAATGTACTATATGGAAATGTTTGAATCATAAATGCCAATACTTATTTTCAATACGGGAAAAGTAAAGGATGCAAATGCCTCTAAAGATTAAGAAAAGCTAAAGCATGAAAATCTTCAGTTTTCTCTAAACTAAAATTTTTATTAAAACTCCCCTTCAAGCCCATGAGGATAAGTAAAACAAACAGCTTCTCCTACCTGGCCAGTGGCCATATTTTATATTTAATTTAAATTTGTCTCCATATGTTACTTGTTGCTGTGTGATGGTTTATTAGAATCATTATATTCTTATAAAAGAAGGGATTAGGATAAGCTTCTTAAAATACAAAAAAATTAATTTAAAGGCCCTATCATTTCACAAGATAGCTGATAGAAATTAAAAATTCAAAAATAGTTAATTTGAGAAAAATTATCCTTTACACATCATATTGGTAACAAAAATTAGATTTTAGGCCAATTTTCTCCTCTTTTTCCATCTTTCTTTAATTTTTGTTTCCTGCATGATCTTTAATTGTTTCATTTTCATCTTTTTTGTCTCAGAAAGTTTTCCCCCTCCCCTGTGCTCCCCTTCGGAGATGAAAGAGGGGGCACGTGTCCTTGTGCCCATGCCCACCCAAGCTACGGCCACGGGCCTAATTCTGCCAATTCCTTATAAATCTCCTTAAATTCTCCGAATTCGCCTGAAAGTTGATTTATGGATTATATTATTCTGTCGTCTTATCTAGTAACGAGAAATCTCCGCGGCATTGATTGATTACAAATTTTTTCAGATCAAGCGTAAAATAAGCTAACGATGCTGGTTTTCCAAGGTTCTAGACCTAGATAAGCAATTTTCAGCCAGACGCGGTCTAATTTGCATCTATAACATGATTTTTGGGGTCCGTCCTAGTGAACGATTTTTGGACCCGCCCCCCCAGCCCCCCCCCCTCGACTCCCATCAATTTTGTACATGACGAAATTAGTAAATTAGTATTTATTTATTATTATTTAGGGTTAGGTTAGGTTAAGACAATTTCTGGGCCGAGCGCTGCGGCTAGGACAGGCTATGGGGCCGAGTGCTGCGTCTAGGACAGGCTAGGAGGCCGAGCGCTGCGGCCACATGGTCAATTATATCCATGTCTAACATATAAGATCCATGTACAAAATTGATAGGAGGGGGCGGGGGCGGAGGAGGGGAGGTCCAAAAATCGTTCTCTAGGAATATACCGATTTTTGTAATATTTGTTGTTTTCCTCAAAATTGCACAATGGATTTCTAACCACTCAATTTCGCCGAAAAATGAAAGTTGCTTTAATCACTCTGATTAATTGTATTTTGAATTATTCTTATTTTTTCATACTTAAAGAATGTCAACACATAGAAGTAGGAAGAGAATAAGAGAAGCTAAGAGAAAAGCACGACCAGAATTATCCAGGTTATAATTCAGCATAGTGGCCTTTCAACATGAATAGCTTCTGAAAAATCTATTAGACCCAATTTAGAAGCAACTCAATTTCGTCCCATGCAATGGTAACGGGAATTTTTTGGAGAACGAAGTTTGCCCCCTCCAAGCACTCGCGGCTAGCACATCCTAGCCTGAGCGCTCGGCCATGAAGATGTCCTAACCTGACTCAACTTAAATAATATAATAAAATTGAAATATAATTAAATCGGTTTGGGTAAATAGTTATAATTTGGATCATATACAAAATTCAAAAGCGGGGGGAGAGGGTACGGTACATACATTGCTTACTAGGACGCTGATATCCCTGAACACACATCTAGGAATTTGTAGAATTATATTCAATGTTTTCAGTAAAATCTGCGAATTTCAATTTCCCAGAATAAATTGCATCCTTAAGAGCTACGATGAACAGCTAAAAGACTAAAATTGTTATTATTAAAGGGTTGCAGAGTGTCCTGGATATCTAGATGTTATAAATTACTATAATTAATAAGGATCTGTCCTAGTGAACGATTTTTGGACTTTGTACTTTTGGATTTTGTATTTCATATTTGAACAGTCATAAGACATATTGTAGTTAAAAATCAAAGCAATAAGTCAACTGCCTGACTGATGAGATACGGTCTGAAAAAGTCTTTTTGATGTGATTTTTAAGGATTNGGCTAGGGGGCCGAGCGCTGCGGCCACGGGTTAGGTTAAGTTAAGACACTTTCTGTAAGATCAATGTACAAAATTGATAGGAGGGGGGGGGGGGTCCAAAAATCGTTCTCCAGGAATATACCAACCAATGATATGTTTGTATAGTCGTGAGTTGTGGGTTCAGAATGATTACGCTAGAACCTTTGACCTGAGTTGGGAGAATGTTAAAGACGAGATTGAGAGAATACATGTCGGAGACGTCTCACCTCAAGAGTTTATCCGCAGGTTTTAACCAGAATATTTTTACTCATTTACTTTATCCATTATATACCAAATTAACGAACCATAAACGATTGTTCTTGGTTTGTTTTTCCTTTTATTTTTCCTTAAGATATAAATATTGCCAACTTTTACAGCATACAGATTACAGATTGAAATTTTGGAAATTTTTATTGTTCATGATATTTGTGTTGTGCTTTAAGTCCAAAAATAAAAGAACCAATAAATGTCCCTTCACAACCCATTAGTTGCAGTTATTTTATGCACTCATTTTCCATTTTATTTCTTTATTTTTTTCAGCAATTTTCTTTATGCTTCCTTAACCCATTGTCAAATTTAATTTTCCGCTTTATTCTTTTATTTTCTGTATCATGACTGGTCAGTTTTTTTTTGTTTTTTTTTCAAAACCTCTTTTTTTGGTTAGGTTTGAAGCTCCTTACAAGACTGTTGTTATACAAGGGGCCCAGGATACCTGGCAGGCAAGGTGAGAAAAACTCTATTAATGCCATTTCCGAAGCACACCGTTATTTATATCTCATTGAGAAGACATTAATTATGCTCGACTCATCCATAGTCGATGAAATCACGATTTAAACTGAATATCGTCGTAAATCCTTAATGTTCCTCTTTTGAAATGTCCTATCAATGAAATGACTTTCTATGAAATGCCCCAACGCGTATTTCAGCCATAGGACATTTCATGGACAGATAATAGGACATTTCATGGACAGATAATAGGACATTTCATAGACTGGTAATAGGACTTTTCATAGACAAATAATAGGACATTTCCTTGACAGATAATAGGACATTTCATAGACAGATAATAGGACATTTCATGGACAGATAATAGGACATTTCCTTGACAGATAATAGGACATTTCATAGACAGATAATAGGACATTTCCTTGACAGATAATAGGACATTTCATAGACTGGTAATAGGACTTTTCATAGACTGATAATAGGACATTTCATAGACTGATAATAGGACATTTCATGGACAAATAATAGGACATTTCATAGATAATAGGACATTTCCTTGACAGATAATAGGACATTTCATAGACTGGTAATAGGACTTTTCATAGACAAATAATAGGACATTTCATAGACAGATAATAGGACATTTTAAAGACAGGTAATAGGACATTTCAGAGACAAATAAGATACATTTCTTTTTCGCCCAAGTGATCTTCTCTTAAATCATCCCTTGTTCTTTCTACGATCATTTGATTATTATTTTATATTTTTGCTCTAACCTGATAAAATAGTATAGATTGTTGATATCTTGATAGTTAAGACTCACACATTGAAAAAAAATATATATTTAATCTGAAATATATGTATCTCAAACTAATGTCATTTTCTAGAATTGTGACACGTTTTTTCATTGATTAAAAACCTTAGATTGTCCCTGAATAACAATGCCTTTCTGTCAATGAAAATACCTATTTGTGAATCTGCACTGTTTATGAAATGTCCTATCTATGAATTGTCCCATCTATGAATTTCTTTTTCTGTGAAATGGCCTATCTATATTGTCCTTATGAAATGTCCTGTCTATGAAATGTATTATCTATGAATTGTCCTATCGATGAAATGCCTTTCTATTACCACAGAATAATCTTATCTTACATTTTAGGGAAAAGTGGACGTTGGAAAGAATTGCCAAGAAGTATAGGAACCAAAAGTTCAAGGTGAAATTTTAATTTTATTCTTAAATTTGAGAATGAAATATTCCCCCAATTTTTTAATAATTAAAAATATTTCTGGCATAAATGTGAGAAGAAAAAAAGTAAAAACAAAACAATTTCTGTTTATGTCGGACATGAGAGATAAAGAATGAGAATAATTTCTGAAAAAATCAATCCCTTTTCTCTTTTGAAATAACCCCAGAGCCTTCCCTGTATATTGTGAAAGGCTGAATTATGGAAAGAAATGACTAATAGGGTAAAACGTATTTTAAAAAGGGGGCTGGGGGTTAATATCCAATTCATGTACTATTTTTTTTTATTTTTGTCCCCGATTAATCCCCCCCGCTCTCCCCTCCCCCTGTAGTTTTACCATATATGATCCTGCATGCTAATATTTTTATGGATTTTAACCTAGAGATTATATTTGGTGGTAAATCTCAAAATATATTTCCCTGATTCTACTAAAAATTTGGACTAGATGATGGGGATTTAAAGGTCTAGTTAGAACAGGGGCGGGGCAGTGCACCCTGCTGCCTGGGCGGTCTGGGGGGCCCACAATGGGGTCTCTTGCAGATTTCACTTCCTTATGATTCCTTTATTAAGTGTGGGGAGGATGATGAGGGGTACTCTGTCAAGATGAAGATGAAATATTACATGGAGTATCTCAAAACTACAGATGATGACAGCCCGCTGTACATCTTCGACAGCGGGTACGGGGACCATCCCAAGCGGAAGAAACTGCTGGAGGATTATGAGCTTCCAATTTATTTTAGGAATTTCTTCATTTTTTCACTTCAATCACGTTTTGTTTGAATAAGGGGGAAAGAAGGAATCATTTTTTATATTAATGTTAAATCAGTAAATCTTACATAAATGTTCATGACCTGGATTGGGATCCTTTTTTTCAGGGCGGATACAGGATCCGGATCCGCATAAACATAAATATGAGATGGATCCTAAGCACTGCTTTAAATGATGAATAAAAGAAGAATATCTAAGGGATGATCTGTTTAAATATTGTGGGGAGGAGAAAAGGCCACCTTATCGTTGGGTAGTACTCGGGCCTGCTAGGTAAACCATACTGAACCTTATCGTTGGGTAGTACTCGGGCCTGCTAGGTAAACCATACTGAACCTTATCGTTGGGTAGTACTCGGGCCTGCTAGGTAAACCATACAGAATGTTGGTGAGCATCATTTTGAGGTTCGTTTTGGAACATTCAAAGTTTTTCTGCTTTTAAGTTGATGTAAACAGATCTCAGATTTTTCACATGAAGCACAATTCTATTTTTCATAAGTTTGCTTTTATAACGGGTTGTTACTATTTTTTTCTCAACAAAGAAGTTAATTAAAACGATTTTACCGATCATTTTGAAAAATCCTTTTGGTTGAAATCTTTGGTCAGAGTGAAAAGTTTTGCAAAATGAAAAATAGCAAACTTTTGAGCGTATAGTTTAAAATAGGAGAAACACTTTAGATTATTGTGTAGCCTTTGAAAAGTCTAAAAACTTATTACGTTTAAAAACGAACCGCTAAATGATGCACATCTCTATTAAGCCATCCTAGGTTACTGTAGAAAAAAAGAAACACTTACTTTGTGAGACTAATTTTTTTAAAGATGGAGTAGAAAAATACATTTCCTCCCCATTTTACGTTTTTCGAGCTTGTTTCTTAATAATTGCCAGTAAAGTTTACTAAAGAGACTGTAAGAGTAATTTCAAGTAACCCTCCAACCAAAGATGGCAGTGTCTGATTTACAACGGTACCATTGAACGCTTCGTCTGTGTAACTATGAATGAAATATCAATGTTTTCGTTTATTTAAACTGCTTAATTTTAGTTTTGGTTTCTCGGAAAAATTTGACTTGCGCATTTCTTACTTAGAAGAAACAATGGAGAAGTTGCATACTTTATCGGTCACATTTTTGATTAGATAAATGTTTTAAGAGTACCGTTTAAATCAGGCATTGATACCTTTGCATGGAGGGTCACGTGAAATTACGATTACAGTCCCTTTTAGTCGTAAAAAAATAATTATTTGTCACTGATTATATGACTCTTATTATGATTATGAATGGTTTTAGATAATTTTTTTTTCTGGATGTTTTAATGGAAAAAAATATCTAAAGTGGGATTGGAGGGTATTGGAAATTACGTCGACTCTCTTTAAAACAATTTTTTTCAGATCTGGAACAGGAATTCATATTGATCCTCTTGGAACCTCAGCATGGAACGCTCTTATTTCCGGACACAAAAGGAACGCTAATAATTGGAAATTGAACCTTCTTAGGCTTTTGAATCCGGTCATTTTGAATGTTTTGGTTAAGTTTGATTCTCTAGCAATAATTAAATATTTGTTGGGATAAATAAGCAGTTTTGTAAGATTGAGAATTAGGCAAAATGTAAAAAAAAATCCAAGAATTATTTTTTAAAAGATGGTGCTTCTTCCCCACCGATACACCTAAAGATCTACTAAAGGTAACCTGTTACAAACATTCTTTCTGATTTTATTTGATAAATTTGACAAAAGATTTGAAAGGATTTGAACATAGAGTACTTGGCTTCACGTCAATTTTCTAGTGACTGATTGTTGCTTTTTAAATCGTATATTTTTCTTTGAACATTGGAAAACTAATATTTTCGTGGATTTTTCTGCAAAAATGTATGAACTTTATGACTTACCAGGTTACCTCAGCTGAAGGGGGGAAGCAGAGAGACGAAGCAATCACTTGGTTTAATATAATATATCCCAGGTAATCTCTCTCCGTCCTGGAAAATCAAAACCCGTAACTTGATGCATAATTTGTTCCCAGTATGTAAGGTTTATTTGAATAAATGAGTTCAACTGAAAGGGAATTTTATTTATTTTATCAATTGCTAACCCTCGGTTTTTTTCTCTTCCTTAGATTTCGATTTTCCACATTTTTGAAATTAAATTTCAATGTTGGGTCTCAAGTATAAAAGCTGATTGGAGGTGAGGGGCGTGGTGCATTAGAAGGGGGGGAGGGGGGTATTTAGTTCAAATTTTGATTGATTGATTGATTGAGGTAATTGATTATTTGATTGCAGGACCCAGAGACCTGATTGGCCGGAGAAATATCGTCCAACTGAGTGTATTCAGCATCCAGGTTAGATTTAATTTTGTGCGCTCCCCCAAGGGTAGCTAAAAACTTTTTTTTATGAAAAGGAGTTTGCATGAATGAATGAAGGTTTCGTTAACGAATTTATGTGAAATCGTCTTAATTCAGGAAGTTGAAGGAAAAAATACATACTAATAACACATTTAAAACATTTTTATCTCGAAAATTCGTTTAATTTCGAATTTAACTTTTCTTGAAAAATGTATATTTTAAATTTTATTGTTATTTAATTTTATTCTATCAAGGAGAAACAGTTTTTGTACCTGGTGGCGTGTGGCATGTAGTTCTTAACCTAGGCAAATTTCAATTAAAAGCCTTGGCTTTAATTTTGATCTGGATCCTAGTTCCGTAAACAAATAGATCCGAGGCCGAATTTAAAGAATTTAAGTGGCGGCTTAAATCCGCCAAAACCCGGTTTAAATTAAGCGCCGACTTAAATCTTGAAACATTTGATACAATTTTATGTGAAACCAACCATAATTAAGCCGCGACTTAAATTTAAACCGCGGCTCAAATTCTTTAAATTCGGCCTCCGGATACAGCGAATTTAATAATAAATGTCTTCTTTTGTATGTTATTCAATGATATGGCAGGTTTGAATTATATCTCTTTAATTGATATTATGGTTGGATTGATATTTTGAACCAGATCCAGGTAGCTAAAATGTTTAGAGCTGGGAACTTTGTGTTGGATATCTGATCTCTTGATCTCCATATCCTCAGTGGGCACTTCTACATTTTACGCAGACTTTTATCCAAATTCTAAACTGAGTACAAGGCAGAACGATAGAAGCAGCTTAGAAGAATGAAGGAAGCTTTTAACTAAACATTAAATATAGTCCTTATTTGGAAATCTACTCTCTATATTTTAGAGAAATTGTTTAGAATACTGCGGGTTATATGGTTTCTAGATATCCTTACGGGATATTAATTCAAAATTAACTAGTCTAGTCTAGTCTAGTTAATCAAAAGATCGAAATCAAGCATTGATCTTGATCTCCACAATACAAAAGTTTTGGCTTCCTAGATCCGGATCCGCAAAAATATGAACAGATAACTGCAAAAATAATCTTTTGCTCTCAACATCTTAATCTGAACTGTTGAACAAAGAGAGTTTAATACATATTTCCGTATCTATAAAAGGTTCGTAAAGTTTTAACATAAAAATGAGCGAAAAAAGAAAGAAAAATAAATTAGAATTTTTTCTTCTAAAAAATGTTAAAGAAATGTTTATGCCCTGTCCTGGATCCGAATCCGGATCCATTTTTTACCAATGCAGCTCCAGTATCCGGATCTGCATCAAAATTTTATGGATCCTAAGCACTGTTGCCTGGACTGCCTTGAATTTAATTGAAATGTTCTCCAGATACAACGATAGCTGTCACACAAAACTTTGCCTCTAGAACAAACTTCCCTATAGTGTGGCACAAGGTGGGATTTAAAGATATTATTAATTTTAAAAATTAATTATTTTTAAAAACATTACAGGGAAAACTGAAAAAATATTGAAGTAAATGAAAAAATGGACATTAATATTTAAAATTTTTCTCTTCCGTTTAGATAATTTTTACCCAAAAGTTAATTTATTTATCTAAATGAAACTAATTTATTTATCTATATGAATCATTTATTTATTTTCACCAATTAAGCTAATAGAATTCTTACCAAGATTTTATGTTCCGCGCACACATAACTAAAATTTAAGGGGAAAACATTTTAAAAGAGGAAGGAGTGGCGGTTTATTTACATTTTTACTCCCAAGCTTAAAAAAAATTAAAAGTTGAAAATTTTGTCAAGGAAAAGATTATTTATATAATCTAACATATTTTGTATAAGGAAAATTAACTTTGTATAAGGAAAATATTAATGGGAAATAAACGTTTGAAATGAAAAGAAATAAATTAATCTGCGATATAAAGTTGATTAAACTAAACGTTTTTTTTCTTGATTAAATAAAATGTTTGAAAAAACATAGGTAAACTTTTTTATTGCTTCATAATAGACGGTACGTGGGCGACCTAAGCTGTCAAAGAAATGGTACAGGGTTCTCAAGAAACATGAACCAGATCTAGCCGAGATTGCAGGTAAATGAACCCTGTTTTTTCCCTACTTATCTAACAGATCAATGAAACACTACAATATAAAAAATTGATACCTTTTATTAAAAATTAAGACAATATTTTCAAAACCCCCGTGTCTCTTTTTATTTGGCCTATCATGTTTTCTCATCGATTGACAATCCTTATTATGATCCCTTGTAAAATCCCTTTTTTAAGACTATGCAATTCCAGTAAAATTTCTCTGTAACACAAATAATACTCTGTAACACAAATAATACTCTGTAACACAAATAATACTCTGTAACACAAATAATACTCAGTAAGACAAGTATTACTCTGTAAAACATGTATTACTCTGTAAAACAAGTATTTCTCTGGAAAACTCATTAAAGAGTCATTTGATTGATTGGTTGATTGATTGATTGATTGGTTGATTGATTGATTGATTGTCTGATTGTTGAAATATTGCGTCTAGATGAGAATCCTGAGTTTGTTTTGGAGGATGAGGATTCAAGCTCCCAGGCAACACCATTATGAGCATTAATAAAAAATATAAAATCTTGGAGAATATATTTCTTTTACAAATACATTCTTTTTACTTCTCTAAATTTGAGTTTTTAAAATAGAGTAAATTAAAGATTTTAAAAATGGAATGGTGGTTTTTAGGGAAGTACAATTTTTATCCTTTTTTACCCATGCAGGCTTGTACAAAGAAATATGGAAAACATACTCTCCCAGAATTTAAAATTGCATTGTCTCTTGTAATAAATCTCTATTTTTCCTAGCCTTAGTGTTGTTGTCAGGATGAATCCGAGTCCAGTAGTAGAAGGTTTTATCCTGTACACCTTACACCTCCTGATACTCAGGATCTCACTTGTACAGACTGTCGGCGTATTAGGAACACCAAACCAAACCTTAAATTCACTCTACCGCATTTCTTCTCATAAAACTTGATCTCCAACATTTTCTCCTCCTAAAACTTGTTCTCCTGCATTTTCTTCTCCTAAAACTTGTTCTCCTTCATTTTCTTCTCCTAAAACTTGTTCTCCTACATTTTGTTCTTCTAAAACTTGTTCTCCTGCATTTTCTTCTCCTAAAACTTGTTCTCCCCCATTTTCTTCTCCTAAAACTGTTCTCCATTTTCTTCTCCTAAAATTTTGTTTTCCTCCATTTTCTTCTCCTAAAACTGTTTTCCTCCATTTTCTTCTCCTAAAACTTGTTCTCCTGCATTTTTTCTCCTAAAACTTGTTCTCCTGCAGTTTCTTCTTCTAAAACTTCTTCTCCTTCATTTTCTTCTCCTAAAGCTTGTTCTCCTGCATTTTCTTCTCCTAAAATTTTGTTTTCCTCCATTTTCTTCTCCTAAAACTGTTTTCCTCCATTTTCTTCGCCTAAAACTTGTTCTCCTCCATTTTCTTCTCCTAAAATTTTGTTTTCCTCCATTTTCTTCTCCTAAAACTGTTTCCCTCCATTTTCTTCGCCTAAAACTTGTTCTCCTGCATTTTCTTCTCCTAAAACTTGTTTTCCTCCATTTTCTTCTCCTACAACTTGTTCTCCTCCATTTTCTTCTCCTAAAACTTGTTCTTCTGCATTTTCTTCTCCTAAAACTTGTGCTCTCACATTTTCTTCTCCTAAAACTTGTTCTTCTGCATTTTCTTCTCCTAAAACTTGTTTTCCTCCATTTTCTTCTCCTAAAACTTGTTCTCCTGCATTTTCTTCTCCTAAAACTTGTTCTCCTTCATTTTCTTCTCCTAAAACTTGTTCTCCTGCATTTTCTTCTCCTAAAACTTCTTCTCCTTCATTTTCTTCTCCTAAAACTTGTTCTCCTCCATTTTCTACTCATAAAACTTGTTCTCTCGCACTTTCTACTCATATAACTTCTTCTCCTGATATTCTTCTCCTAAAACTTGTTCTCCTGCATTTTCTTCTCCTAAAACTGTTTTCCTCCATTTTCTTCTCCTGAAACTTGTTCTCTCACATTTTCTTCTCCTAAAACTTGTTCTTATGCATATTCTTCTCCTAAAACTTGTTATCCTGCATTTTCTTCTCCTAAAACTTGTTCCCCTGCATTTTCTTCTCCTAAAACTTGTTCTCCTTTATTTTCTTCTCCTAAAACTTGTTCTCCTGCATTTTCTTCTCCTAAAACTTGCTCTCCTGCATTTTCTTCTCATATAACTTGCTCTCTCACATTTTCTACTCATAAAACTTGTTCTCTCGCACTTTCTACTCATAAAACTTGTTATCCTGCTTTTTCTTCTCCTAAAACTTGTTCCCCTGCATTTTCTTCTCCTAAAACTTGTTCTCCTTTATTTTCTTCTCCTAAAACTTGTTCTCCTGCATTTTCTTCTCCTAAAACTTGCTCTCCTGCATTTTCTTCTCATATAACTTGCTCTCTCACATTTTCTACTCATAAAACTTGTTCTCTCGCACTTTCTACTCATAAAACTTGTTATCCTGCTTTTTCTTCTCCTAAAACTTGTTCCCCTGCATTTTCTTCTCCTAAAACTTGTTCTCCTTTATTTTCTTCTCCTAAAACTTGTTCTCCTGCATTTTCTTCTCCTAAAACTTGTTCTCCTGCATTTTCTTCTCCTAAAACTTGTTCTCCTGCATTTTCATCTCATAAAACTTGCTCTCTCACATTTTCTACTCATAAAACTTGTTCTCTCGCACTTTCTACTCATAAAACTTATTCTCCTGCATTTTCTTCTCATAAACCTTGTTCTCTCGCACTTTCTTCTCCAAATATTTGTTTTTCCGCATTTTCTCATGTTCTACATTTTCCTTCCATTATTTTATGATTTAGGCATGAAGGATTTTCGATCGAGATACCTACTATTTGTCTACTTTAATTTTCTTACTTTTTCTACTTTTTTGTGTGTAAAGGGGAATACGAGGTTTGTTAATATTTTGCTTCTTGGGAGATAATTTACTTTTTGATTGGTTTGATATTTTAGTTTTGAGCAGAGTGAAGGTTATAATGAAAGTATATGTATTGATCCTAAACTTGGAAAGATCATGCTTTGCAACCCTGGACAAAATTTTGTGAAAACCTACACGGTTAAAAACCGTTCAGTCCACGTTGAACTTTTTTTACGACGAGAATCTGAACTGTTTCCGGTTCATGAACATGATTCGGAACATCCCTTCTGTAAATATGAACATATTTTCCTACTCGATCAATCGATAATTGATCTGGACAAGGGCGGTATCCCTGAGCAATACTAGCATTGATCAGTGATCGGTGAACAATAGAATTTGACTAATTGTGATATGGTTTATGAAGTTGGTGTTAAGTACATGCAATTAATATGTAAATCGAAAATAAAGCTGCTCTCTGAACAGAATATTGTAATAAATAAAATATTATAAATACTAAATATAACCTAGAAACTGATTCTTAAGTGGAATTTTCAATTTATTCAAATAATATTTCATTTGATTGTAATAATCTTACAGATATATATTTTTACACTGAATGAATGAATTTAAAATTAATGAATCAATTAAAAACGATTAGTGTATTAAAAAAATAAGCTAGTAAGCTTTAAATACGATGAGAGACAGAAAACTGGAGTACACAAGTTGCAATTTATTGGTCTCTTAAAATGCAAATTGCTGAGTTTTTAGTAAGTAATCATTTATTTAGGATAAATAATTGAAACCTATATTCAACGATAGGAATGTGATTTATAATAATTTCAAGTAACCTTTCATTTATAGCGAGTCATGTCCGATTCACAACAATACCTTTGTCCGGACAACGATGAGGTACATACACTCATTTTTTGACAGATACCAACCAACCAATGGTTTTTAATTGGTTAGCCAACTACTGGAATGTATCTACTTTATTTCTCTAGATTTGGACTAGAAGATGGGGATTTAAAGGTCTAGTTAGAACAGGGGCAGGACAGTGCACCCTGCTGCCTGGGCGGTTTTGGGGGCCCACAATGGGGTCTCTTGCAGATTTCACTTCCTTATGATTCCTTATAGCTAAAGATTGAGTGCCGGGAGACTAGAGGCACTTAATTTCCCGCTAGATAAATAAGAATATCTACGAAATCCTTGATCACTTAAAGGTTTAAAGGGTATCGTTTAAATCGGACATGTCACTATAAATGTAAGGTTATTTGAAATTACGCTTACAGTCCCCTTAATTGTGTGAACATTAGATCAGGTTGATACTGCGACCAGGTCGGGTCAGGCCAGCGATAGTTCAAGCGATTCTAGTTCGAGCAGTTCGAGCAGCGACAGTGAGTCCGATTCAGGTTTGATTTTTAATTCAAGGGACTTTTTAAACATTGTAGTATTACAAATATAATAGTTGTATATATTGTAAAGAATTAGACATCAACTGGCTAGTTTGGGCCGACAGCAAGTGTTAAAAACCTTAAAATTGGAACTGTCCCGGCTTCTGCGACATTCCCAAAGTCCCCGGACTGCCCCAGGCTTCTGGGATCTGCCAAAGACCCAGGGATCCTGGGCTTTTGGGACGGGACGGTCTCAAAAACCCAAAGTCCCACATGTTTAAGGTTTGATTTTTCTTGAAATCGTATGGGTTGACTAAAAAACTCCCATAATTCGGGACTCTGGGTCTTTGGGACAGTACGTAAGTCCCGGAACAGTCCCAGGCTTTTAGGACTGTCCCAAAATCCCAGGGTCCCACATGTTTATGGTTTGATTTTTCGTGGACTAGTTTGACTAAAAATAAAACCCCAAAATGTCGGGACTGTGGGTCTTTGGGACAGTCCCAAAGTCCCGGGAATGGCCCAGGCTTCTAGTACTCTGCCAAAGACCGAGCGATCTTGTTACTGTCTCAGGCTGTAGGGTCTCTGAGATTGCGATAAAAGAAACGCGTCGAGACTCTGGGTTTTGGGACAGTCCCAAAGTCCCAGGACTGTCTCAGGCTTCTGGGACACTTCCAGTCCCAAGACACTCCATGGGCTTATGGGACAGTCTCAAAGTCCCGGTACTGTCCCAACTTAACTTGCTGTCTAGACATCGACTTTACATAAGGCAGATCACATTTTTGAAATAGCAGGATAAGGGGCTATTTTGTGATTATCGTTTCATCAATCACATTTGTAAAATAAACTTGCCACGTCGTCTGATTAATTGGAAATTTTTTCCGGGTCTTTCTTATTAGGACTGTATTAACTGTCATCCTCAAGATGCTAGTTTAAGTTTTTTTTGATTTATTTTTTTTTCTATTTGTCAAAAGAATGTACAGGTTTTTTGTTCGGTTTGGATTCCTAAATTTTGAATCTAATTATCTGATATTTACAGGACAAGAGTCAAGCGAAGGACAAAAAAAGAAGAAGATGAAGAGAACTTAGATCTATTGATGAGAAGAAGAAGTTGAAGATATCGAAGAAGAATTAAAACAAGACTAAAATGAAATATTTTAATCTCAAAAATCAAGTATTTGATTTACTTCAATGAAATCCAACATTACCAATTCCAGGACGATCCAATGTATCTGCGAGTTAAATCAAATCTTGTTAATACCAAATGCCAGCTGTTTTTATAACTAACTTTGGCTACTAAGCACTTTCTATATTACATAGGATTAATTTATCTCTTTTTTATTTTAGTTGTTTACACTTTTTAATTAGTTTCATGGCGTTAAATTGGTTAAAAATGATTTTAATTTAAAAAAATTAAGAAATGTCAACATTAATTGATCTAATCCGTCCGCGAACCATTGATTTTTCTAATATGACAAATCAATCAAGCAATCGATCATCATGATCTTAGATCAATTTAGTTGTCTCCGTTTTCTGCATTCAATAATGTATCTTCTGAATTGTTTTTTTTTTTACAGTTTGAATCACAAGTTTCTTTCCCCAGCTACGCTATTTCGTCCAAAGAACCATTGTCTGTTAGAAGTAATTAATGTCTTTTTTTTTTCATAGCGAATTTTTCAGAAAAATGTCAGATGCTGATTTCTGATAAGAAAGAAGAAAAAGATTAGAATGGTTGATCCTATTTTTGATTATCAGTTCAGACTTATTCTTATAGGTAAGATCTTTTTAGCTGTAAACTTAAAAAATAAAATTGTCGGTAGTGCAAAAATTTTGGGTTGGTTCTTCCGAATTGTCATTGATTTCTAGGCTTCGCCGAAACCTTATTTAATAGCAAAACCTTAGCCGCAGATGGCAGAATTTATTTCAGTATGGAAATTATTTGATTGTTGAATTTAGGATGCTAAGATTCTGCTTAGACTTTAAGCCCGCCAACTTAAAATGGATATTTAAATGGAAATTACATAGCCGGATATGAAATTCATAAATTCCTAGCTCTGAGTTCTGGAAAAATTAAAATTCCTGTATTCAATCAATAATTTTTTGTTTTATTGTTTTATTTTAGATTAATAAGAAATTGTTTTAGGTGATAGTACAGTAGGTAAAAGTTCGCTGTTAAAATCTTTTACTGACGGTAAGTGCCTTTTTTTCTATTCACAGATATAATCTTTATTTCTGATATGAAATATTTCAAAATTGTTAATAAAAGATATAAATCTAAAAACTGACTGTGCCAGAAAGGAATTAAAGGACTTAAGACGTAATTTCTAAGTTACTCTTCATATAAATGTGCCATTAGTGATTCACATCGGTACCCTTTAAATTCGTGTCTAGCGAAGGATGAATTTTTTCTCTTTGTGGTCTCTATTTAAAAGTAATTTGCGGATATCTGCTGCAGGAAAAATAGATAAAATTGTCAAAATTAAACACAAGGCCAGAAAAAATATAATGTTTTCATTTTTATCAGAATAAAGAACAAAGAATACCTTTTTGTCGGGCATTTGCATACACCTCTTTAAATAGTGGGCCTTTAAAAAAACTGTTCAGGAGATTTTCTTCTTTTCTTAAGTTGTAATTTTTTCTATTTCAGGAAAATTTGCAGAAGTCAGTGACCCAACTGTTGGAGTGGATTTTTTTGCCCGATTAGTTCAGGTAGAAAGGAGTTAGGAAAAACAGATTAGTTCAGGTAGAAAGGAGTTAAAAAACTAGATTAGTTCAGGTAGAAAGGAGTTAGAAAAACTAGTTTAGTTTAGGTAGAAAGGAGTTAGGAAAACTAGATTAGTTCAGGTAGAAAGGAGTTAGGTAAACTAGATTAGTTCAGGTAGAAAGGAGTTAGGAAAACTAGATTAGTTCAGGTAGAAAGAAGTTAGGAAAACTAGATTAGTTCAGGTAGAAAGGAGTTAACAAAAACTAGTTTAGTTCAGGTAGAAAGGAGTTAGGAAAACTAAAGTAGTTCAGGTAGAAAGGAGTTAGGAAAACTAGATTAGTTCAGGTAGAAATCAGTTAGAAAAACTAGATTAGTTTAGGTAGAAGGGAATTAGAAAAACTTGATTAGTTCAGGTAGAAAGGAGTTAGAAAAACTAGATTAGTTCAGGTAGAAAGGAGTTAGGAAAACTAGATTAGTTCAGGTAGAAAGGAGTTAGAAAAACTAGATTAGTTCAGGTAGAAAGGAGTTACAAAACTAGATTAATTTTTAATTGGTTTATTTGGTGAATTTATGTTATTGTATCACTGGTGTGATAATTAAAACATCTCAATCTTTTGTCTATGTTGGCCATTCAGTAGTTAAGCCATTCATCTAGTTTATTCTTGAAACTATTCAGGTTCTTTGCATTTTTCACATCTTGTGGGATTTCGTTCCACATATTAACACATCTTGTGCTAAAAAAATTTCGATATATTTCAGTCTTTACAGCTGGAACTTTCAAGTTTAAAGGATCACTTGACTGCCTGGTTTGAATACCCCTTCCTTCTTTTGGTACATACGCAGAGCTGAACCATTTGTTTTTGTCCACATGGTCGTGTCCATGTAGAATTTTCCAGACTTGGATCATATCTCCTCGCTTTCTTCTGTTCTCCAGGGAGATCAAACCAACCTCTTTCAGCTTCTCTTCATAGGTTGACCCAAAGAGTCCAGAGGTCATTGTTATTGCTCTTTTTTGAACCCTTTCTAGAGTTTCTTTGTCTTTTACTAGCCAGGGATTCCAGACTTGAATACAGTATTCAAGGTGGGGCCTGACATAGGTTTTGTACAATGAGATCCATACAGTTTTATTCCTATAGGAGAAAGATCTGGCCATCTGGCCTAAAATACTATTCGCCTTGGCTGCAGCAGTAGCACACTGTTTAGATGGTTTAAGATCCTCCTGTATCATTACACCAACATCTTTCTCTTTGTCTGAAACCTCCAGATTTACACCATTCATTTGGTACCCATATCTTGGATTATTCTTTCCAATGTGTAAAACTTTACATTTTGACTCGTTGAATTCCATCTTCCAGTCCTGTGCCCATTGAGTTAATGCATTTAATGAACATTGTAGTGCTTCTCTATCCTTATCTGTATTAACTTTCCTTCCAGCCTTAGAGTCATCTGCAAACTTGGACAGAAAAGTTTGGGCATCTTTAATTACTAGGTCAAGTATGTTTATATATATAACAAAACACAACGGTCCAAGGACACTCCCTTGGGGCACTCCAGACCAAACTGGTTTCCAGGCTGATGATTTATTATTGTAATAAACTCTCTGTGATCTATCGTTTAACCAGGAGATGATCCACTGTAGGATTTTGCCTTTGATACCATGAGCTTCCAATACTTTTGCAAGATGTTTATGTGAGACCTTGTCAAATGCCTTGGCAAAGTCAAGATATATAACATCGACTGAATCACCTTCATCTACATTGGTGAGTATTGTCTCTAGATACTCAAGTAGGTTTGTTAAGCATGATTTTTTCTTCATAAACCCATGATGTGAACTGTGTATGAGTTTATTCGTGTCAAGGTGGTTAACTATTCGGTCCTTTAGTACTGACTCCATTACTTTGCATATCACAGATGTTAGGGAGATTGGTCTGTAGTTTCCTGCCTCAAATCTGGACCCTTTCTTGAAGACTGGGACTATATTTGCATTTTTCCAGTCTTTTGGAAGAATTCCTGTATCTAGTGATTTCTGGAATATCATTTGGAGTGGGGCAGCAACCTCATCACTTGCTATAATTAAGATCCTGGTTCTTATGTTGTCAGGCCCAGTAGAGGAAAAAGGCTTGAGCTTCTTTAATTTCTCCTTGACATCATTTTCTGTGATTAAAACATCATCAATTATTTGGTCAGTGAGGTCTTCAATGTTGATATTTCCGTCAGAGTTTTCCTCCTTAGTAAATACTGAGCCAAAGTGATTACCTAGTTTATCACAGATTTCTTCACAATCTGTTACTAATTTTCCTTCATGCTTCAATGGTCCAACTGCCACTCTGTTAGATTTTTTAGAATTTATATAAAAGGTAGAAAGGAGTTAGGAAAACTAGATTAGTTCAGGTAGAAAGGAGTTAGGAAAACTAGATTAGTTTAGGTAAAAAGAAGTTAGGTAAACTAGATTAGTTCAGGTAGAAAGGAGTTAGGAAAACTAGATTAGTTCAGGTAGAAAGAAGTTGCATCGGGAAGGGGGAGAGGGAAATATTTTGATGAAGGGAATGGAGAATTAATTAAAATACTTGATTTTAATTTAGGTTCGAGATGGGGCAAGGGTTAAACTGCAGCTCTGGGATACTGCAGGACAGGAGAGATTCAGGTTGTTCTTCCTTAAATCAGCGCTTAGGTCAAGATTTTGGCTTCCTGGATATGGATCCGCAAAAATATTCGAATCAAAACCAAAAACTGCAAAAAGTAATTTTCTTTTAAAACCCAAATCTGATAAGAGAGATAATAAAAATTTCCTGATATCTGAAATTTGAATGGTTTAACAAGTTGCATCATAAAAATAAGCAAAGCAAGAGAAAAAAAGATAATTTGACAATCCTGCTTTGTTAACAAAATTCAGTAATCTCAAAGAAATTAACTCATGACCTGGTTCTGGATTTTCCAGTGCGGATCCAGGATCCGGATCCGCATCAAAATTAAATGGATCCTAAGAACACTGCCTTAAAATCATCATTTAGAAGAAATAGACTTTCGAAATTTTATAATACCAAGATGTTAGGGTGCTTCGCTAATAATAATTTTTATTTTGAACTCTGTAATTCACCATTTTAAATCGTTTTAAAATTTCGCAGATTTTTTGGTTTAAATTGGTGCAGTCATGTGAGTTTCCTCAACAAATTTGGCTTAATAGGTTTCTATTTTTATGGGACACAAACAGACAGAAAAACAAGCAAAGTATATTTATAGATTATGCTTAGTAAGATGAAAATTCGTACACTAATTAAGTTAAAATCGTACACTTTCGCAAAATCTTAATTTACGGTAAACGGCGGAAATAACTATGAGTACACTAAGTAACGCAGGGTTCTCAAGCTAGTGGTAAATAAAGCTTCTAATTTGAAACTGCGCCTAAGAAGCTGAATTTTGATTAAACTGGTTTATAGTTATGTTATTGATATTTTTGTTTAGGTCGATAACTAAATCTTATTATCGGAACTCAGTTGGAGCTGTTCTAGCATACGATATTTGCAACAAAGAGAGTTACAAGGTTAGCAATATCTTTCAACAGATAATTAGCGAGATTCATTTTCGGAAAAAGTATATTTTTTTTTTGGTGATTTTTTTTTTCGTTTTTTCTTCTATGACTGATCGACCAAAATATTAGTAACCAGCAATAGCATAACATTGTTGATGAAAAGTGTTCTGCAGTTTCTGGAGTTTATTTTAACCTGTTGTACAACTATTTCTTGACAAATATATTCAACAATTAATCAGACAGCTCTTCTTGAGCTTGAGACAGGTTAAAGTTATATGTTTGAGCCTTGTTGTTTGAAATTAACCGTGAATATCCTTTTAAAAGGAATATAAGCGTAATTTCAAATGACCCGCTACGCAATGAAATGCAACGGTATCTATAATAGGTCTTATCAAGTATAGAATAAAAATCTATGTTTAAAATTTCGAAACTGATTTTATTTCAAGGGTACCGTTGTGATTTAAAAATTGCCATTTTTGCATGGAGGATGACTTGAAATTACGCTTACAGTCCCTTTAAGCAGATTTTTATTAGTGTGGCTTGAAATAAACCATGCCCCATTCATTTAAACTGATTTTTCTTGTATTTCAGCATATTCCTGTTTGGCTAATGGAAGCAAGACGACATATAGAACCACACAAGGAACAGTGAATACTAAAACTTCATTTTTCTTCTGCATTTTGGTTTCAAGGAAAAAATGTATTNTATTTAATTTTGTTATAAAATAATGTTCACTCTTGTATTTTACTCTAGTATGGCATTACATTCATTTCTTTCCTTTAGCGCTTCTTTCTGATGGGGGTTCGGCCTTGAATTCTACTGAATGGTGATTGACCCATTATTCATTGATTTATATTGTTATTAGTATGAATGTTACGTATTGTTCAAAAGTCGGTGAAAATCTCTAAAAAAACAGATGATTGTATAACTGTATTTTTTGCTCTTTTGGTGGGTCAAGTCTCTCTCTCTATCCCCCCCCCCCTCCCTCCTATATATATATCTATTTTACGTTTGATAGGACCTATAGTATTACTGTTCTATTGTAGGCCACCTTCCTTCTAGTTGGTTGTAAACGAGATATGGCCCAGGAAGGATACAGGGAGGTATCAGTAGAGGAGGCTCAGGTAAATTCATGAAAGGGACTATACACAAAATCTTTAAGGGATTTAAGATGTTGATCAAGTGACCTTTAATTTATTAAGTGGAATATCTTATTTACAGCATTAACAATTAATCCTTCGCTTAATCAATGATGAAAAATAATTATTTTTTCCAAACTGAAAAATGTTATTTGTAATTTGGATTAAAATTACGTACAGTCCCTTTAGAGAGTAGCGGAACATCCTTTAGAAGACTAGTAGGTTTCTTACAGAACTGCCGTGCTCATTAGCTCTAACAAGTCAGAATGCAGTATTTTATAAATCTGGTGCGGGATACCTCAAAACAAATGCTCTTAAAAGTATTCAATTGTTCCCCCCTAAAAATAACACTAGAACCTTTATTGAGTAAAGAAAACTTAAATAAATATGCTTATGATCAATAAGAGTTTCAACCATTTTTTGTTTTGTTTTTACAAATATCGATTATAAAATGAAAATACCGTATTTAAGGCTCTGGCTGAGTATCATCAAATCTCTTTCCTTGAGACCTCCGCCAAAACAGGGCTCAATGTAGAAGAGGCCTTTACTGTTATTTCTCAGCAGATATATGATAGAATAAAGGTAGAAGAACTAAGAACAATTGTGACGAAATTCTGCAAATCCATTCCCAACATTCAATATCAAATTTATTCAATACGCAACCTCTTACACTTTTTGGGTATTCACCACTTATTCACCATTTGCATTTTCATGAATTAAGTGTACAGCCCTACCACATTGGTGATCATGGTCAGCATTGATTGATTGATTGATTGATTGATATATAGTCTGGCGAGTACAAAATCGAAGATGGTTGGGACGGGATAAAGACTGGATACTTCCAGCGCACCGGAAGACAGGGTTTAGTGGAAGCACAGCCACAGAGATCCGACTGCTGCTAACACAGGTATCTTAGATATGAGCAGTGCAGTGGGGACAGTAAAGGGGGTGGGGGTAATCCATCAAAGCCCAACCTGCAGATTTTAGGGAAAAAGAAATTTAAGAATATTAAGAAGCTGTTGGGGAAACTTTTAAATTATATTTTATCAGAATTTATTTTCGTTTTGAAAGTTTATAGTTTTATATTTTTTATGTTTTTAAGGAACACTATCAATTTAACTTGTTCAGGGCACGAGCACAAAGTGATTCTTTTCTCGAAATCGGAGATTAAACAATAAACATCTTGGATTAGTACTTTGGTACTTAAACGTGTTATCAGATTTTCGAGGAATGATTTAGAAGTATTTTAAGAGGCATCATGAATCTTGTCACGCTATTTTAAGAGGCATCATGAATCTTGTCACGTTATTTCAAGAGGCATCATGAATCTTGTCACGTTGTGTCAAGATGCATCATGAATCTTGTCACGTTGTTTCATGAGGCATCATGAATCTTGTCATGTTGTTTCAAGAGGCATCATGAATCTTGTCACGTTGTTTCAAGAGGCATAATGAATCTTGTCAAGTTGTTTCAAGAGGCATCATGAATCTTGTCACGTTGTTTCATGAGGCATCATGAATCTTGTTATGTTGTTTCAAGAGGCATCATGAACCTTGTCACGTTGTTGCAAGAGGCATCATGAATCTTGTCACGTTATTTCAAGAGGCATCATCAATCTTGTCACGTTGTTTCAAGAGCATCATGAATCTTGTCATGTTATTTCAAGAGGCATCATGAATCTTGTCACGTTGTTTCTAGAGGCATCATGAATCTTGTCACGTTGTTTCTAGAGGCATCATGAATCTTGTCACGTTATTTCAAGAGTCATCATGAATCTTGTCAAGTTGTTTCAAGAGGCATCATAAATCTTGTCACGTTATTTCAAGAGGATTGGTAATATTGTTGCGTAGTATTGTATAGCTGGAGCAAGAACAATTATTAAAGATTTAAAAAAGAAATGTTTGAGAAAGAAAACATAATTATTATGTCAGCCACGTAACAAGGAGATTTATTTAATTTACCTTTTACGTTAGAAGGAGATCAAGTTTATTCATATGCTTTGTTACAAGCAGATTTAGTTAGATGTCAATCATCTTTAAAGGAGAACTTTTTCATTCATTGTCACATAACAAGGAGAGTCAAGCTTTCGCATATGAACTTTTTGTTAAGCAGAACAAGATTTACCTGTAACGTAACAATCTAAACCAGTTCGTTAATCTTTCACTTAACGAGGTGAACTAGTGAAGTCATAAGTTACGTAACAATCTGAACCAGTTCGTTTATCTGTTACATAACTTGGAGAACTAGTGCAATTCTCTGTTACATATCAATCCAAACCAGTTTTTTATCTGTCACATAACTTGGGAGAACTAGTGCAATCCTCTGTCACGTAACAAGCTGAACCAGATCGTTATTTTTCACTTCTAGGTGAACTAGTATATTGATATGTCGCATAACAATCCTAACCAGTTCGTTTATTTGTCACGTAACTTGGAGAATTAGTGCAATCCTCTGTTGCATAACAATCCAATCCGGTTTTTTATCTGTCATATAACTTGGAGAACTAGTGCAATTCTCTGTTACGTAAAAATCCAAACCAGTTTTTTATCTGTCGCATAACTTCGAGAACTAGTGCAATCCTGTCACATAACAAGCTAAACCAGATCGTTATTTTTCACTACTAGGTGAACTAGTCCATTGATAAGTCACATAACAATCCTAACCAGTTCGTTTATCTGTCACGTAACTTGGAGAACTAGTCCAATCCTCTGTTACGTAACAATCCAAACCAGTTCGTTTATCTATCACGTAACTGGGAGTACTAGTGCAATTCTCTGTTGCGTAACAATCCAAACCATTTTTTTTTATCTGTCACATAACTTTGAGAACTAGTGCAATCCTTTGTCACGTAACAATCTGAACCAGGTGTACTAGTCCATTTATATGTCACGTAACAATCTGAACCTGTTCATTTATCTTTCACGTGACTTGGAGAGCTAGTGCAAACCTCTGTCAGGGTTCAAGCTGAACGAGATCGTTTATACTTCACTTTACTAGGTGAACTAGTCCATTTATATGTCACGTAACAATCTGAACCTGTTCATTTATCTTTCACGTGACTTGGAGAATTAGTGCAAACCTCTGTCAGGGTTCAAGCTGAACGAGATCGTTTATACTTCACGTAACAGGACAAGTAGAAGGAGAACCAAAGTAACCCCTAAAAATAACGTGACAAGATTAATTCTGCTCTGTTCCTCTACGGAAAGAAATCACTGTGCTCTATCTACTGAAATTATAAAACTGTCATATCTTAACTATTCCGCATATTTTGGAAAATCATTTTTAATGATCAACGCTAAAATTCTAAAACGCTCATATCTTCATTTTTCTGCATATTTTGGAATACTATTTTTAACGATTAATGCTGCTGATTTATTTCATGCATATATTATTCCTTCAATTAGATTTGCTTTTTCACGTTTTCTATGAATTTAATGTTTAAAGGTGTGTGAATGTTATTTTAAGTGATCCTTGCTAAAATCTTCAACTATTCTCTAATTCTGGGTAATTTCAGTGAGAAATGATTGGTTTGCAGAAAAAATTAATAAACGGTTTTAACAACCTGCCAGCCTAAGTCACATTTTTAAATTTTTCCTAATTTCAAAATAGTTTTCCTCCTCACCTATTACTTCTTACCACTGAGCTAACCTAAACATTTTTTCAATTACATGTTTATTCTGAATTCTAAAATACTTCTTTTTTGTTTTGAAGAAAATAATTGTAAAAGAGAAAAGTTCATTTTTAAAGTTTTTAACCAAGAGTCACTTTTAATTATGTCCTATTAAATCTAAGGAAAACTCTTGTCATTCATTCATATTTATGTCTGCTGTCAACTCGGACTAAATTACACCAAATCAACAATTATTTATTTGCTAAATGATAGTTTTGAAAAAGTATTTATTTAAAATGTTATGTTTTTGAAATGGTTGAGAGATTCGAGAATTGAATTTAATGTTTAAGGGACTGTAGACGAGATTTTAAGCGACCCTCTGTTAGGATTTCCGATTCGCGACGGTTAATCCTTTTGTTTCTTAATAATAAATGATAAATCCTTTTTTTGTGCACACTTAAAGATTCAAAAACATTGATAACTTCTATATTGTTACTCAGCTAAAGCTTTAATTTGACCCGGGCATGGAAATCTGTAAAAAGAGGGTCATATAAAATAGCCTCCACAGTCCTTTAAAGGAAATTTGGCATTTTCTCTGTGATACTGATATTCTAAAGAGTACAATCTAACAATTTATGGAATAATTTGTAAACATATGATGATTAAAGAACTAATCCACATAATCGTATTAATTAATATCCTCATTCCTTATTATGCTATTGTTATTAATCTTTTATTTAATCCTTAGATTATGCAAAACTCGAAAATTTCAGAAATAATATAGCTTGTTAATATTAGCATTGTATAGATTTACCAATGCAATTGATTTGTCTAGTCGATTTTTCTTTCAAATTATACAAATTAAACAGATAATTCTTCTAAATTTTGAATTCCAGTTATTTTCACCAAAGCACGTTAATTTTGATTAATTTTTAATATGTTTACAATGTATATTGAACATAAATTTATCGATTTATATATTTTTCAGAAAAATGACGCATTAGTTTTGAAAGCCAAACTTCAACATGGATTACGAGTTTAAGAAGAGAACTGAATTGAACAGGTATTCAACTACAGAATGTTTCTGATTACTGATATTTGGATTCTTACTGATTGATTGATTAATTGATTATTTGATTATTTGATTTCGTAGAGTGGAAAATGCAAATCAAACCCAATTAAAACCAATAATTTTATATACATCATGATATTTTTCTAGGGGGGGGATTGGTTGGTTGGTTGGTTGGTTGGTTGGTTGGTTGTTTCACAGATTGATTCACTGATTGATTCACTGATTGATTGAGTGACTTATTTAGAGAGAAAGTTGAGGACCAGTTTGAATATGAAGGCTGTAAAGTTGGACGAGGTACATATGGTCATGTGTACAAAGCCAGACGGAAGGACGGGTAGGATTCTTAAAGAGACTTTCACGGATTAAAATTTTTTAATTCATTTATTAAAATCCCTTTTGTAATTGTAGCTGAAAACAACTTTCGTTGATTTTTTAGATATTATATGGAATTGAACATTTTCATACTTATTAGTGTAGTTTGAAATTTTTCGAGAAAATTTAAAATTTTACTTTTATAGGCTTTTAACATTTAACATTTAATATCTGTAAGCATGTTCTCGTACAATATAAAACAAAGAAAGTTAACAGATTTTCAAATATTATCTCGATAATTTTTTAAATTTCACAAAAATCTAAAGATTTTGGAGACAATTTTTTGTAATTCTGAGCATTCATAAACCTTCCCTGGTGTCAAGCGAGGTCCAAAACAAAATTTGGTCCAATCGGTTCAGTCGGTTTGACGTTTATTGGATACAAACAAACAGATAAGCAAAGTAAATATACAAAAGTCTACATCGTTAATATCAAAATTAATCTAAATCTTGAAATTCTTTAAATTGGGTTCATTCTAATTGAAAGATTGAATCCACCCTCACGTTATTCTATTTTAAGAATAAAAAATTTATTGAAATTTTATTTAAAACAAATAATGGAATAAATTAAACTTTTTTTTTTGTGATTTTACTGAAAACGCTGAATTTAATAACCACATTTGTTTAATGTACAATAATTAACAGAAAGATAAGTAATCCTTATTCTGATCACATGTAATAAGAATATATGTGAAGAAAAGGATGAGCTGTTCTCGTCTCCGGAACTACTAACTTGCGGATTTTTAAGATCTTGTTGGTGGATTTCTTCCTTGACAAGGGAAGACGATATTGATTTTTGAACCCTGTTTTTTTAGGAATGATAAGAAGGAGTACGCTCTGAAGCAGATAGAAGGTGCAGGCCTATCTATGTCCGCCTGTAGAGAGATAGCATTATTAAGGTGTAAATCTTGTTTTAAATTGTGGTAAAAATAATCTTTTTAAATGTTCATTATATTTATATTTTAGAGAATTGAAACATCCGAATGTGATAAACTTACAACGAGTATTCCTATCACATCAAGACAGGTAAAAATAAGGAACTGCTGACGTCATTTCAAGTGAGCCTCCAAAAGACGATTGTAAAGTCGTCTGACCAATTGTCAATTTGGTTATTTGGTGAATTAATCTCTAGAGCCCAATTAGGGGTATGTTGAGAATATCTGCGAGTCTAGATTCACTGAGTAACTATTTATATCACTATTTTTACTCAAACAATGTCTCCAGCATAATATAATTAATTCTGGTTATTTCTGAATATGAGAATAATATTAACTATATTAGAAAAGTTTGGCTGTTGTTTGACTACAGTGAGCACGATCTATGGCATATTATCAAATATCATAGAGCAGCGAAAGCAAATAAGAAGCAGTTCAATGTCGTTAAGGTAAGCAGTAAGCTATAGTTTAAAGTTAGCAGCAAAAAAATAAGTTAAAGGAGAGATTTTCATTCCTCCATTGATTAATATAATTTAACCCTATCCTTCTCGAAAAAGTAACAAATATAAAGATTTTATCTCTCAATTACAAATATAAGGAAAGGTTTTATCTTTCATTTACAAATATAAGGAAAGGTTTTATCTCTCAATTACAAATATAAGGAAAGGTTTTATCTCTCATTTACAAATATAAGGAAAGGTTTTATCTCTCAATTACAAATATAAGGAAAGGTTTTATCTCTCAATTACAAATATAAGGAAAGGTTTTATCTCTCAATTACAAATATAAGGAAAGNCTTCTTTGAAAATCATTTTTTTCTCAACATATTTGGTATGTTTGCACGGAGCCCCACATTTTTGTATGGTCTTATTTGCTCTGTTGGAGAAAATACAAAATGTTGGGGGCAAATAAATGAATTTTTGGGTTAACAGTTTTAAAAAGAATATAAAAAACTTTTCTTTTGATTTTGATGTCCAATTTTTTTTTTTTTTTTAATCATTCCTCTGTTCCTGAAAACATTTAGCCTTGTCTCAAGAACGCTGATCACTAATATTGTTTTCTTTTAATCAAAATATAATATTAAATCGTATTAGTCGCATGATTATATTGAGATTGTGCTTAGAGCACAATCTAGCAAGAAATTCTGGAAAGAATTGAATTCAGGAGCTAGTCTTTTGAAATGAATTATAAATAATATTTTCAATTGTGTGTTGAAATTTTCGGGGTTTGGTTAATGAATTAGTTAAGGAGGCCGGGGTTGGGGGGTTTAACTCGTTAAATCGTTTCGTTAATTTAATTGTTAATGGAATAAAATGGTTAAAAGTTTACTCTATATACCATATATTAATGGAATCCATTATCTCTAGTTTATATGTTGTAGGGAATGGTTAAAAGTTTACACTACCATATATTAATGGAATCTATTATCTCTAGTTTATATATTTTAGGGAATGATTAAAAGTTTACACTACCGTATATTAATGGAATCCATTATCTATAGTTTATATATTGTAGGGAATGGTTAAAAGTTTACACTACCATATATTAATGGAATCCATTATCTCTAGTTTATATTTTGTAGGGAATGGTTAAAAGTTTACTCTACCAGATTCTTGATGGAATCCATTATCTTCACTCTAATTGGGTGCTACACAGGTAACTAGAACAAACTTGTCTTTTTTATAAAAAGAAAAATAAAAAAAAAATATTACAAAAGCATCAATTGAAGTTGTAATACCTCTTGGCTGGCAGGGTGCTTCCATTTTAACAATTTTAGCTTTAGAATAATGCTTTTCAGTTCGGAATTTTTTAGTTGAACAACATACAAAGATGACAATGCCATGTTTACAACGGTGCCCTGAAACCCTTTGTCTGACCGTTTCTTAGCTCATATTGTTTATTTCTGACGATTACTTGTTTTCCTGCAGTATAGAAATGCGCAACTCGTTTTTGTAGAGAAACCACAATTGAAAATATTTAGTTTTCAAAGTAGTTAAAAACATTAATATCTAATTCACACTTTATCCGTAAAGCTTTTAAGGTTACCACCGTTGTAAATCGAGCATTTCCATTTTTGCATGCGGAGCCACTTAAAACTACGCTTACAGTCTCTTTAATTATAAATATTGTAGAGACCTGAAGCCTGCCAATATACTTGTGATGGGGGAAGGACCAGAGAGAGGCCGAGTAAAGATTGCAGATATGGGGTTTGCTCGACTCTTCAATTCACCTCTCAAACCTCTGGCTGATCTAGGCACCTTCAGATTTATAGTTCTCATAATAAGATCATTGTATAGGGAACCCCTTGCAGCGATTCATAAACAATATTCTTAGAATTTTTAAGTACTTTTACTAAAACAATCAATAATAGAGTCCTATGTCCTTTCCAAAATACCGATTTATTTTATGATTTTCCATATTTTTTTTGTGAAAATGTTTTCGAGAAATTTAAAATTTATTTTTAATAAACATTTTTTAAGCTTAATTTTTTATTATTGTGCGAGCGGGGTCGGTTTTCTTCAAAAGAGAAGAATGTCTCCCTTGAAGTTTTGTATAACTGACAGGTTTAACTAGATCCTGTCGTTGTTACCTTCTGGTACAGAGCTCCTGAACTACTCCTGGGGGCCAGACATTATACTAAGGTATTATGATTATCATTATTATTAAAATAATTATCATTGTCAGTGTCATTGTTGTGTCATTGTCAGTGTCATCGTCATCGTCATCGTCATCGTCATCGTCATCGTCATCGTCTTTGTCTTTGTCTTTGCTATTGATATCTAGCTGGGGTTTTAGCTGTATTTTATGTACACAGGGTGGGCGCTACGACATCTGCTCTATTTCCATTTGCTCTATGCCATTTGATCTATCAAGTCATTTGCTCTATACTTCATTTGCTCTATATTCAATCAGCTCTATACCTCATTGCTCTATGACTAAACACGTCATTTGCTTTATAACCTAAAAATACACTATAAAATAGCTTTTATTGGAATTCCTGAGCGTAACTTGACCATGAAATGCGGGATTTTTTTTTGGAAAATTCGCAAATTGCAGTTTTAATCAGTTCTTAAAAGTTCATCATGACAGTAAGACTGCTCAATAATAAGAGGGGTAAAAAAAACCTAGTTCTACCGTGGCTAGAACTTTCATAGATGGTAAAGATATTCTGAACTTGCCTGAGCACAGCCATCCATCAGATATTACTCAGATAAACTTCCTGTTAGCTGAATATGATGCGTTGAATAAAGCAATAGAAAACCCAGCTTTGCCTCCCAGAGTAATTCTTTCAGAAATAGCCAATAATCTTAGGCAACAGGGTGGCCATCTAATGCCAAAGACTTCCAGTGCATTTATACGATCTTTACATAGAGGAAATGTTGAGTTGAGCAATTGAACCATCACAGTCATAAAAATGTTTATAGAGCAAATGACGTGTTATGTCATAGATCAATTGACGTATAGAGCAGATGACATATAGGGCAAACGTCGTGATCTATGAGCTATAGAGCAAATGGTTAATAGAGCAAATGGAACTAGAGCAAATGGCCATAGAGCAAATGGAATTAGAGCAGATGTCGTAGCGCCCACAGGGTGTCCTACGAAATCTATTTTACGAAAGTAGCAAGGCAACTTGAAATTTGTCTTACAACTTTGAATTTATTTATAACACTAAGTCGTCAACCTACTTTAACATGTATAGTTCTTGAAACAATAACCACAAAATTCGTCTAGTCCTACTCTTATACCGCTTTCAATATTACCGGATATATTGAGAATTTCGTTGAGATTTCACTTAAATTAAATAAAACCAAAATTTTTGAAATCTGGAGGAGATTCGTCATATCTACGGTAATATTGAAGCACAATAAAGGCAGACCACATTTTGGAAATGGCAAGACAAGGGGTATTGTGTGATTATTGCCTCCAGAATTTTACTTCAAAAATTATTTCAAAGGTCTAAGACTACCTTCAAACTCCTCTTGTTACGTCATGTTTCGTGGGACACGCTGTATACTCTAGGCTATTGATATCTGGGCTATTGGCTGTATATTTGCTGAGCTACTGACAAGTGAACCTATATTCCACTGTAGACAGGAGGATATAAAAACTAGTAATCCCTACCATCATGATCAACTTGACAGGTAACCAGGGTATATGTATATTCCACTGTAGACAGGAGGATATTAAAACTAGTAATCCCTACCATCATGATCAACTTGACAGGTAACCAGGGTATATGTATAGTCCACTGTAGACAGGAGGATATTAAAACTAGTAATCCCTACCATCATGATCAACTTGACAGGTAACCAGGGTATATGTATATTCCACTGTAGACAGGAGGATATTAAAACTAGTAATCCCTACCATCATGATCAACTTGACAGGTAACCAGGGTATATGTAGATTGTTAAAGGGAGTGTTTGCAAAAAAATAAAGGGGACTGATCTCGAATTGAAATTGGTCTTGATTGCTACTAAATTTGGTTCGGGTGGAATAATGCAACTCCGTTCATGGCGTTATAACCCTTTTCTCCTTTATACGCAACATATAGAAATAAAATTAGTAGCGATCAAAACCGAATTCAATTCGAGATCAGCCTTTGCCCCAGCCTTTGCCCCAGCCTATACACCTTTTCATATTTCGCGAACACTCCCTTTAAGGTATTAACACATTAACTCTCTAGTATCTATGGCCCTTCACTTTTATCAATTCATTGCTTTTCCCATTCACAATAAGTTTATTCTAAGGTCATTGAAATGAATAATTTGTGGAAAAATGCAAATTTTGCAAATTTAAGTATTTTTTTTACTCGCAATCTCAATTTAATTTGGACATTTTCCATCTTGATATCTCCAATTTCAAAATTTTACTCTGTATTTTGAATTTGAGGTTAAATTCTGATACTTGAAGTATAATTCCTCCATATTTTTCATAATTGAAATTTTAAAATGATAATCATTAAGCTGGGAAGGTCATGGCGGGTGTGATGTCTAACTCTATTCGTGGTTTTATTGTATAAATAAATAAATTATAATTAAAATCTGTTATGGAGAGTGGAGACATATGCATTTTAAAAAAATACTTAAGTTTGTTTTTACTTCTGTTTCCGAGTCCCGGGCTGTTAAAACTGCACCCTTTGGCTAAATTAAGACTTTTAAAGGGACAGTACGCGTAATTTTAAGTAATCCTCCTTGCAAAGATGGCAATGCCACTTGAAATGCGCAAGTCAATTTTGTAGAGAAAAAGCCAATTGAAAAAAAATGTAAATTGTAAACATTGATACATAACTCTTACTTGGTCATACAAACTGATATATTACCGTTGTGAATTGATCATTGCCATCATGCCATTTTTACATGGAGGCTCACGTTTACAGTCCCTTCAAGATCGATTTCTGGAAAGGGAAATTAACTTTATTCCAATTTTACACAGCTTTAATCTTGAGAAAATTTGATAGGGAATTAATTGAATTTAAATATCGAACTTTTTGTTTTAAAATTTACTCTTTTTTCCACCTCTGGAAAGGCATGATGATAGATGAAATTTATCTAAAAATCTCATTTGTTTTTATAATTTTTAGGATATTTAATGTGATGGGATTCCCCCTGGATAAGGATTGGGAGGATATGAGGAAAATGCCAGAACATCCGACTTTAGTAAAGGTAACCTTTAAAGGGATTGTTTACTTATGTAAAAATACACCTAGCAGAACTGCATTCTCATTTCAACTACCATATCTAGCCAGACACTCCCTTTAAGATGTCCCTAGGATGAAAATGATGGATACTTACTTGTAAGAAACCCATGAGGTTTATCCCGTAAATACCGTTATACCACAACTACAACTTTTCTAAATGTAAAGATAGTGACGGAGGACAAGATGTACCTATTCTGTATTTTTTTTGAAATTGTTGAACACCCACTTCTAGAAACCTTAAAATTTATAGAAGTTCAAATAACTAGGCCTAGTTTAACTACTCCTTAATATTAATCAAATTTGAGCTCAGTACAAACTTCCTTGTTTCTGACAGGGGCGTACTGAGGAATTTGTCCAAGGAGGGGGGGGGGCTTACGCTGGGGCAAAAAAACCACACATTTTACTGATTTAGGGGACTGAGACCCCAAAGACCCCCCCCTCCCCCTTCTTCTTAGTTCTCCTCTGTTTTCTGATATTGGTGTGCATCTCGTACACTTAATCTATTTTAGGACTTCAAGCGTTCAAATTACCAGACTTGTTCCCTAGCTAAATATATGGATCGACATAGGATTAAACCAGACTCAAAGGTAATGAAATATATAGTCTAACCCTCCCCCTCAATTTTTTTTCTGAAATTATCATTTTTTTCTAGTCTACGAATTTTTCTTCAGTCATTTTTTCATGTGACTTTTTACCCAATCTTATTTGTCTAAATTGACAAATTTTGGATTATTCCGATTACAAAAATTGGTATTCGGAAAAAAATTGAATTTTTTGAGAATCAATTGGGCATGATTTTTTTATGTCGTTAACAATTGCAGTAATAACCCCATTTTTATTAATTTCATTATTTTAATTTTCATCTTATTTTGTCTGTTGTTTCAGCCGTTTCAGTTGTTGGCTAAACTGTTGATAATGGACCCTGTAAAGCGGATAACTAGTGAGTCTGCCATGAACGATGATTACTTCAAGGAGGACCCACCCCCGTCTTCAGATGTTTTTGGTAAATTAGTCGATCTTGATTATTTTCGGGGATTTTAGGTAATCTTATTGCGCATTTTTAATAATTCATCGTTTCGAATATTTTTTTCTTTTTATTCTTTTTACATAACTACAACAGTTATTTAAGTTTCAATTTTGATCTTTTATTTTTTTAAAACATAATTTATATAAAAAGGAAGTACCATTTCCCTACTATTTTCAGCCTAAAAGTACAATACTAATAGTAATGAACTGCGCTTCAAATCAATACGTAGCATGATTAGCTTAATCATGTGATATATAATGACGTATATCTTGATTACGTCGAGTTAAACTGTGCTGTAAATACGTAACATGATTGTCTTAATCATGTGATATAAATAACGACGTAGGAATTGTAATTACCTTTAACTTGTAACATATAAACCTCAAATACATCAGTTGGTATAGAGACTCCGCTTTGATTACTGCGAGAGAGTAATCGTGTCCGTGTTGACATCGATAGCTGACAATATTGGGTCCAGGTTTAGACATTGATAGCTAAGTGAAACTGAACTGTACCTGGAAAGATACGGGTTTGAGATCCCCTTATTGAGTAGGTTATTTACTACAATCATAATAATAGTTATGTAAAGGAAGGTTTTCGTATTCGCTATCCTAAACATACAACTTCCATAACAATAGATATGTACAGATAGCTTCCCTATCCCCTATCCTAAACATAAATTTATTTTACAGGAAGCTACACTATCCCCTATCCTAAACATAAATTCATTTTACAGGAAGCTACCCTATCCCCTATCTTAAACATAAATTCATTTTACAGGAAGCTACACTATCCCCTATCCTAAACATAAATTCATTTTACAGGAAGCTACCCTATCCTAAACATAAATTCATTTTACAGGAAGCTACCCTATCCCCTATCTTAAACATAAATTCATTTTACAGGAAGCTACCCTATCCCCTATCTTAAACGTAAATTCATTTTACAGGAAGCTACCCTATCCCGTATCCTAAACGAGAGTTCCTGTCTGACGATGATTCTGAGGATAAAGCTGAGAGCAGGGCTCGGGAGAGGAATAATGCCAGAGAAAGGAACTCAGGTACCTCTCGGAACCAAGGTTAGTCTTATCACGCAGACAAAGATTCTTTCTTAAGAGTCAGGGATTTTACCAGAGATTCAGGGATTCTTCCTTAGAGTCAGGGATTCTTCCTTAGAGTCAGGGATTTTACCAGAGATTCAGTGATTCTTCCTTAAGAGTCAGGGATTTTACCAGAGAGTCAGGGATTCTTCCTTTAGAGTCAGGGATTCTTCCTTAGAGTCAGGGATTCTACCAGGGAGTCAGGGATTCTTCATTAGAGTCAGGGATTCTCCATAAGAGATAGGAATTTTTACATCCTACAATTTTGATTGTCTGCTCTAAATCGTCACCAAGTTTGAAAAATATTTTAAAATTTTTAATTGTTAAATCTGGTGTAGGTCAGGAGATGGGTGGAGACGGAGGGCAGCCTCCAGCTAAGAGGGTTAGGATGGGTGGTAACAATGGAGTTGGAGTTCCAGTAACCTATCATCATCAAGTTCAGGTAAAAAACAAGATTGATCATAAAACATCAAAATTTTAATTTGTTTGACTTTCGGAATTACTTGAAAATTACATTAAATTATTTAGCAACAACAACAGCAACAACAGCAGCAACAACAACAACAACAGCAACAGCAACAACAGCAGCAGCAGCAACAGCAGCAGCAACAGCAACATCAGCAGCATCATTCCCATCAGCAACAGCATCATCAGCAGATGGTTTATAATAATCAACAGCAAAACAGTGGCAACAACTACAACCAGAGATATAACTAGGTACAGATAATACTCATAGGCGGTTACAAGGGGGTAAGGCGCTCTCCACCTTTGGAAACAAATATATTTTAAGCTTCCCCCTCTGGATAAATCGATCAATACAATGGACTTAATTTATTATTAAATTTAAGAAGAATAATTTTTCAGAAAAAAAATAAACGAGCTTACAGTACTCCAGTCCGGTACAACATGTACTGTACTGTATATGCATTCAGTCGTATTGTCCATTGTCCAGTCTGGACTATCCAGTGTAGAGTCGACCCAGCACGTTTTTTGCTACAAACATATTAGCTGCAATTATTTAAACATTTTGTTTTTCTAAATCTAAATCCATTTTTTTCTTATTGTTCGTCAATCATCCATCATGTTCGGCTAATTTAAAAAAAAATATTTGTGACATCCTTGCAATTACTGCCGAGTTTTTTTTGCAAGTTTTAAACTACTCCTCAATGGAGCACAAATAAAAAAACTCTTTCTTTTGAAACCAAAATCAAAATTAGACTTTATATTTTTAAATTTCAGAATGGGAATTCGAATCCTGAAATACAGATGGGATACCAGGCCAGATCTGCAGTTGAGATTATGGCGGGGCAGAGACACCCTTCCCACCTCATCCCACCTAGACACCCGCAGATACCAAGATACTGATTTTAGTCACGTGACAGAATTCCATGGGCGTATACAGGATCGGCAGACAAATTTCTTTTTCGTCCCTGATACTAAATATATTTTGTAACTAATTCAAAAAACATTGATGAAAGACGAATGAAATTACCCACTTTAAATACAGATAATTAATTCTCTTTCTCGGTTTTTCGCCTCTTCTTTCCTTTTATAATTTCTGGATTCGAATTTGTATTTAAGCTTTAATAAGAAGTTGATGTAAAATACAGTATTATATATGCATACTTGTATAATGTATTCTATAAAGCTAATTTTCTTCATGTGGCTGTTTTTAATGTTAATGGTTATCAACTGTAGAAGGCTTCCTTGGACTTCCTAAATACAAGAACTTCAGATGAATTTTCGCCTCGTTTTGGTGTGTAGTCCCTTATCTACGGTGCTAACCAAAAACAATGGAATAGGAAGACGACACTACAACAATACTGAAGTGTATTTGATGTTGATTCTAAGCAAAAAGTTTTACAAGACCTTATTAATCAGTAATTTAGTCAAATGAGTCTGTTTATACTAATTTTTTGGAGTATTTAAAGTTATAATCTATATTCTAAACTAGGCTCTCGGGGCGTATTTTCTATTTAGACTTTATCAGTGAGCATCTTCTCTTTGTTCAGTATAAAACAAAAATGAGAAAAGTTTCCGCATTTCATAATATTTTTCACACATATTCAATATTTTACTAAATAAAGAACTTTGAACACAAATTTTTGAAATTTTCATCATTCATAAACCTTTGATTTTTCGAAGTCCAAGCAGGGACCTTATTCATTAAGCAATCTTAATTTTTTTTCTTCCTCTGTAATATACATGATGTATACTAACATATAAAAAACGACTAAAAAAATTCTAAAAGAAGATTTTCAAAAAAATCCAAAAAATTTATGATTTCCATATCTTTCAACACTCACTGAGTTTCAGACATATCATACATCCATACTCAGACATATATACCTAGACAGTTAGACATATCATACATCCATACTCAGACATAATTCATACTCAGACATATATACCTAGACAGTTAAACATATCTTACATCCGCACTCAGACATATATACCTAGAAAGTTAGACATGTCATACATCCGTACTCAGACATATATACCTAGGCAGTTAGACATATCATACATCCGTACTCAGACATATATACCTAGACAGTTAGACATATCATACATCCGTACTCAGACATATATACCTAGGCAGTTAGACATATCATACATCTATACTCAGACATATACCTAGACAGTTAGACATATCATACATCCGTACTCAGACATATACCTAGACAGTTAGACATATCATACATCCGTTCTCAGACATATATACCTAGACAGTTAGACATATAATACATCTGCACTCAGACATATATACCTAGACAGTTAGACATATCATACATCCGTTTTCAGACATATATACCTAGACAGTTAGGCATATCATACATCCGTACTCAGACATATATACCTAGACAGTTAGGCATATCATACATCCGTTCTCAGACATGTATACCTAGACAGTTAGGCATATCATACATCCGTACTCAGACATATATACCTAGACAGTTAGGCATATCATACATCTATACTCAGACATATATACCTGGACAGTTAGACATATCTCACATCCATACTAAGGCATATATACGTTTTTATATGTTAGTATACATCATGTATATTACAAATTAAGATTGCTGTATGTATAAGGTCCCTACTCAGGCTTTGGAAAATCGTCAAAAAACGGCCGTTTTTCAAAATTTAGTGCCCGAGCAGATACCCATAGGACCAAAAAAAAAATTTTTAATAAACCTGTCCTTGGGCATAATTATCTACCACTTTCTTCTGCAGTACCAAAAGTTGACCAATTTTGACATAGGCTAATGTAACTAAACTCTGATTTCTTTTCTCTATCAAAGCAATAATTCCTCCTGAGAAAATTGACATTAATAGAATTTCAAGTTAAATTTAGAGTTAAGAATTTGTATATTTGATAATGTTGTACCCGGTAAAACAAGATGATTACTGTATACGAACTTGTCCATCTTCACTGTTCATCTTGCAGAGACATTACAGTCACATGATTACAGTCTTTAACCTATATTTCTTATAGCGAACTCCAGCAAGCGTAATTTAATTTTGAGTCAGTAGGATCTGGAATTCTTATGTTCATTGGTACACGGTTAATAAACTAAAATTACATGTTCTTGTTGAAATAAACACAGTGTGACGATGAGAAATATATTTACAAACAATAATATACAATAATTTAACTTGGTTCAAATCATATGTACAAATGTAATTTACAGATTGAGTCAATAATTTATAGTTGAACATACCAAAAATATCGAATATCATGCATATTTGATGTTTTCTGTTCGATAAAGTTGGTGAATAAAATGTAGAAACCTTCATTTAAAATTTTTGAATTATCAGAACGCACGACCCTGTATCTTCAAAATAAGAAATAATAATTTTTAAAAATGGTTTTGAAGATTTTATATAATGAATAAAAATCATGTCATTTTAACGACCAATGGGGTCCCAAAAATGAAGATCTATTTGGATTTAATTTATTCGAGGACCAAGTTTTTGAGAAAAGGAATCATGTCTAAAATCATTTACGCAGATTTTGGAAAATTAGTTTCGGTTCTAGTTAAATAAATCCATGGTTTCATGGACACCTTGTACTTTTTGCGACAGATTAATTACAATTTGGTAAATATATTAAAGTCCGTAACTTTTCAATTGGGCAAAAAAGTGACAGGTTTGATTAGTGGAAATTTTCGTTTTAACCGTTTGTCCGTCTCAAAGTATCATTTTACCACCCCTCGCGGTCCCCTCTGGATCAAAACTAATATCTCAGAAATTTTTAAATCGACTAGAAAATGAAATGAGAAAAAAAATGGAATTTTGCTTGTTGAGTATTCGAACATTGATTAAGATTGAAAAATTTGAAAATATAACTCTATAATCTCTATAACTCTATAAAACATTCAGAACAGTTGATTGGAGTGTTCCACAAAAATGTATTTTTCCCAGTTCTAATATGTCTTCTGTGTCTGTAAATAGTAAAAAAATAAGATGTCTTATTCAGCTTTATGTAAAAGTTAAACTATTGTAAAACAACTTTTAGGATCATGACAAGGGTTACCTGCACAAGCGATGAGACTGTAAAAACGACCCAAATCAAGCTTGAAGCTTGATTTTCGGTTTCTGCATTTAAATTCATAAGTCAGTTTTGGCCTACAAGGTTACTCTGAATGCAAGAAAACGGACTAGACAAGTTCAGTACAATTGTCTCGGAAGTCTCATCCTTTGTGAGTAACCCTGTATATCAAAATGAAATGAAATTGAGTTTACAATTATTCAGAATTAAAAATTTAGAGGAAAGGGTTTGACTAAAGTTTCCAGCGAAAAGGGTAAATCGTTTTTTTCTCCGAAAATTTCGCATTTTGTTCGCTCGAGAAAAATGCTAAATTTTACTTTTTTGCGAAATTTTACTTAAATCTGTTTCGCGAAAAAAGAAATATGAAAATTTCGCGTTTTTTTTGGCGCAATTAGTTGTTGCATCTACAACACTTGTGGTTTTCGCGAAATTTCACGAAAACAATTTTCGCAAAATACGAACGAAAAGGTTTGCCTTTTTTCGCAAAAGTTTTTCGTTCGCTGGAAACACTAGTTTTGACCTTGAATTTTTTTTTTTAAATTTCAAATAAACCCTATTGTATAAAAAACATATTTTTTTTAAATTTTCACCCAATGTTTCCTTCAAATTTTCAAGATTTACCTATTAAGCATTTAGAGATTCATCACAATGTTGTTGCATATGTTTGACCCAGGGAACTAGATGAACGGGGAAAAATATAGAGTAAATCAAAAATCTGAAGTTTTTATGAAAATTGATAATGAAACACCCAATAGTGCATGAGAACAAGAAGTTCATGTATACATTTTACATATATTACAGATTAAAATGAACAATAAACAATTCTTTACTTTAATTTACAGTAAGTTCCAAAATATATGCGAATCAAGTGACATCTTTAACCCGCGTCTTTAGCTGCTGATCAATTAAGATTGAAGAAATTTGTATTAATTTGCAAAAAATAATACCAATTTAAAAAAGTTGTAAAAAATGGACGATCTGAGTCAATTTTAGCAATCTCTTTAAGCTTCATAAATCAATTTCACAAGAGTTGATAAAAGTTTTCACTTAGCTTCCATGATTTTAGAAACTAAAATATTCACAACGAGATTATTTAAATATTTGAACTTGAGTTGAACTATAAGATCAAAAATGGCGTTTATAAATAATATTTGAGACAAAAATGGCAACTATATGTTCATAGAATTTTTTGGTTCGTCGGAAGAGATTCGCGTTAAGAAGCGAATAACACGTTTGGTTGGTTTGCGTTGAGGCATATTTAAAGGAACCGTCGACGCTATTTTTAGGGACCCGAAATAAGTATTTAGGAACCCGATATAAGAATGCCTGCCTTATTGTTAAGCAGATACAGGTTTACCGCTGTAGACTTCGAAAAGGACGGTCACCTGCAATTTCGTCCACAGTTTCTTTAATTTGTAGATTAGGCCGAAATCTAGAGTATTTAAAGAAAATGCAGTTTAAGAAAATCAAAAGTAGTATCGAACGAATCCCCAGCACTTTCGAAAAAAATTTAAAATGGCACTTTTGTTTGAACTAAAAAGTTATTTATAAGATAAATCCATTTGATATAAGATCAATTATGCTTATAGCACTGACAGTTAATCCCCAGGATATACAAGAAATAAAAATGAGAACGTCCCTTTGAGAGGTGGGGGGGTGGGGTAGTTTTCTGCGGGGATGCATAATTTATGATTTTTGTTAAATTTGGGGGAAATATTATGAAAATTTTGACACCAGAAGGTAAGTATATTTATCCTGTTTATTCTTAACCATAGTTTCAGAAGAAGTAAATATTTCCATTTACTGATAGTGCCGTTTTAAGGATTCATAACTCTGATTGGATAATGAGATAGATAGAAAGATAGATGTTGCCGCCATACTATTTCTATTGGTTCAGAATAGCCAACAAACACATGACTGAGCCCTGATTGGATCAGGCGCTAATGGACTCGGCATACAGGAGTGACTTCTTACAGAAAATCTATGTATTTCCCCCAAATTGAAAAAACAAACCTGACATCCAGGGAAACAAAGGATTTTCAAATAGAAGGAGAGGGGGGGGGAGATTCTTCAAGTAAATGTACACCCTTGGTTTTATAAGAATTCGAAAATTGCAGGTGTATGTCAAACTTTTTCGGCGCATTCACCACCCTATTTGCGTTTGAATAATGATTTTGATCGACTTCGTTTTTTAACATCAATCGGTCAATCTTTGGGTTGATGATGTCAACTGGACTATTTAGCTGTAACTAGGGTACACAGATGAATCTGTCTCCCACGGCCTCCCTGTTTAAGGCCTTGTTAGACTTGGTTGACTTGTAGGCGAACACAGCTAGGCTGGACGCGAGGTAAGTACAAACCTGAAATTAATAACATTCTCTTTCATCTCTTCTTGTTCATTATTCATAACACTTGGTTTATTCTTGAAACTGTTTTATATAAAATTTAACCAACAAACGTACATTTAGGATGAATATCTTTATGTTTTATTTGAACAATGAGCTTTTAAATCCTTAATCATCCTCCTTCGTGGAACTTTATTTTTATCCAATGTCACCAACAAAAGGATTTCATTTCGAGTCTTTGCCACAAACTGAAAATCACTTTATTTTTGAAACTCAATATTGGAATGAAAACCTTTGATAGTTTATACTTTAATTATTTGAGCTAAAAGAATTTAAAGTTTGAAATATCTAATTTCTACTACGTTGTTGGATTGCAAAGATAAAGAGATTCGAAAACCAGCGTTTGTGGTAAATACTAGATTCCTTTACAATTTTTAAGTTTTCTTGTAATTA